TTTTGAGGTTTTGAGGTTTTGAGGTTTTGAGGTTTTGAGATCTTGGTTTGTATGGATTTTGTGGAAGGGCTGTGATGGGGGTAGTGGAATGGAGTGGATTGGATGTTTGTGGAGCAATGAGGAGGGTGAGAAGAGCTCTGGTGTTTTCTTTTCATGTTGCGCTTGTTGTGGTTTGCTGCGTGTTTGCATTCTGCTTCTAGCACTTTACCGAGGAGGTCATTAGGGGATCCATTTCAAGGGAGTATATGTGGGGATTTGGAGAGGACTTGGTTCTGGGTTTCTGTTTGTGTATCTACTACTACTGGAGCCCTGGGTTTTGTTACATGGGATTGCTGGGGTTGCTTTTGTTTCTTAGGGTATGGTCATGGGTTAGGTGGTGGGTTTGGGTGATTGGGATGTGTTGTGAGGGGACGTGGTTTTGACACATATATTCGTGCAGTTATAATTGAATGTAGACAGAGATTATTTACGGTGGTGTGCTTTGAAATGTATTGAGTCTTGGGTATATTCGAAGCCTAGTCAGTATGTATAGCCAGTCTACTATTTCGCTCTCTCTTCTTTTGCCACACCACACTATGAGGATCCTTCATCATTATTGAAGCTTCTAGACGTTGATGACGATTTTCCCTCGTACTCTGCCGCTCTCTACTAAATCATACGCCTGTTCGAAGAGTCAGATATCACCGCCTCATAGTATATGGAGCTTCTTACATCAAGTGCCCTGTCCAACTCGAACGTCTGGTCAACTGGTACAACAAGCTTACCTTCGCCAGCCCAGTGTGCGAGCATGCCTAGCTGCTCTTCGTCAATGTTGTTGCTGAACATGATGTACTTCCTGGGTATGCCGCCCAACAGAAGAGGAAGGTTGGAATTGAGAAACCAATACCAGAACCCCAGCCACGGACCGTTGGCCATCGCCCCGACATTGACGAAGACGCCGGTATTCTTGAGATAGTGTGGGCTGTCTGTGAAGATCGACTGTATGCCTACAGTGTCCATAATGACGTCGAACGGTCTCGCAGAGAACTTGTCGATCAGTTGCTGCTCAACAGGCGCGACGTTGTAGTCCAAGACCTGTGCTGATCAGAGCAAATACTGAAATTAACCTCCTCGTCACGTACCTCATCAGCACCAAGCCTCTTCACAAAGTCTGCATTCTTTCCCGAGCAAACAGCCACAATCTCCCGCACACCCAAGTTCCTCAAAATCTGCACCAGCAAACTGCCCACCCCACCGCTCGCTCCATTCACCAGCACTCGCTCGCCTCCCTTCAACCCAGCCCTCAAACACATCGACACAGCCGTGGACCCACTCGCAGACATAGCAGCAGCCTGCGAAAGCTCCACGCCCTCTGGAACCGCAACCATCACAACCTCACCCTCCTTCACCAGCAGCCACTCCGCCAACGCGCCCTTACCCCTAACATGAGCACGCTTATCGAGCGTGCCAAAGACACGCGTGCCAGGCAGCAGATTCGTCTTCGAGTACGACGGGCCAACAGATTCAACGACGCCCGAGAACTCGATGCCAGGCGTGCAGGGCGGGCTGCGGAATAACATTGGAATCAGGGTCAAGAGGAGGTTGCTGCCACCGTTGAGCGAGCTGTGGGTGATACGGATGAGGACCTCGTTGTCTATGGGGCGTGGTGGAACGGGGATGGATTGGAGCGAGAGAATGGCGCGTGCTGGGCCGGTGCGAGTGAATTGCCAGGCTTGCATTGTGCTGGGGAGTTTGTTTTGTGAGGAGGACACGTTGGGCTCTTGGGACTCGAGATGAGGCTGGGGTGATTTATGGATGGGCTCAGGTGTTTTGAGAGTCTGTCTTGGGGAGACTTGGATATGGCTTCTTTATATACCATGAGTACGCCTAAGCTACGCGAGTGATCTTTAGAGCAGCACTCTTGTTGGAAAAGGCGTTATATGATGCAGTTATGTTTGGTTCTCATTCTATGGACAAAGAATTCGGTCTAATTGCGACGCATGGTCGATCCGAGTGTATCTTTGACAGGAGACTTTAGCTGTCTATCACGAGTCGGAAAATTTCGTGCGCCAACATTCGTCCGCACTCTTGAGAGGTCTCATTAGCCCGTCTTGATTAAGTGTAAGCACTTAGCGCACGTGTAATGTCGCTGGATACTTCTTCTTTGAGATGTACATGATACCATATAAATGATCGAACGTTTGGAAGCTTAAAACCAAGGGATGCCAGCTGGACTTTGTCGGGACTCAACACTAGTACCTGGCATGCCATTTAGAATTGTTCCAAGGTTGGGCCGTGGATCCATGCCTGTTATGTATAAGATTGAAGCTGAAAGAAAATCCTCATCAGACCACCTCCGTATACTGACCAGACATGCCCGAATTAGGTTTGGCGATTGTGGTACACTTGTGCTCTCGTGTTTACACAGGAACGGGCCAATCAAGAGCGGCCAGCGCAAGTTCACAGCACCAAATCAGGCCTAGTGCGTGACATGGCGCGTGAGGACTTGGCATAGTCGAGCGGAAATTAGGCTGCAAGGCTCCGAGCTCGCGTGTTCTACGGGCTTCAGTGGCCATCCAAAGCTCAAAGAACATTTTAGCTGTTACACACTGCGCCCACAACAACCTTCCCCGCAAACTTCCACATTCCATCTAGATATCTACTTGTCAAGCATACATCATCTCAAACATTCACACTACAGCTCAACACCATGTCGTCCGACGTCGTAGCTAACCCTCCTCCACCCACCGAGTCGAAGAGCGCTCGCAAAAAGAAGGCCAAGGCTGAGTTGGCTGCTGCTCAAGGTTCTGCGTCCAAGGCTCCAGGTACGCCTACGTCCGAGGTGCCAACTGAGGAAGCCAAGGTCAATGGCATCGAGACGAGCGGCGAGAATGCCTATACTAGAGAGATTCAGAAGTATGTTGTGACGTAGCTTTGCTACACTCTTGCTACTTTCTACCATCGAACAGCTACTCACCTTCATGACAGGAACATTCGCAACATTAACAAGAAGCTGGTCAGTAATGATGTCTCGGGGTAGAGACCATTTTAGCTAACAACCATCTAGAACCTTATGCAAAAGGTCGACACCATCATCTCGGAGAATCCTGACTTATCACTCGATGACCTTGTACTCGCAAAGAAGATCAACCCAGACCAGAAGGCTCAGGCTTTGAAGAAACCAGGCCTTCAGGCACAGCTGGTACAGCTGGAGGAGCAATTGATCCAGTACAAGAAGGTTGAGCAAGACTTACAGAGCAAGCTTAGTGCAGAGCGAGAGCTCTTGCAATCCGCGCACAAGCAGGAGCTAGAGACCCTTCGAGACACTATCAATGCCGAGGCCGCGGCGAAAGAGCAAAAGCAGCACAAGCTTCAGTATCTCACACTGTCGAAATTTCTGCACACTGCTGCTGCGAAGCGTCAGATCGAAGAGGCAGACACTGAGGAGAGACAGGCCTTTGAGGGTGTGCTTCTTCTAGTTTACGGTGGTGATGCTCAGGCGGTTGAAGCTATCGAGAAGCTCGTTGAGGGTTCTGAAGATATCGTCAACAACATCGAAGGCGCGCCAACCGGTGTAACCTGTAAGTCATCCCGATTGATCTGAATGAATTGATGTTAACTCGCGGTTTAGTCTCGCAAGTCCGCGAAGCCTCTCTAGCCGGCGGTCCTGCTGAAGAGCTTCTCCAGGGATCCGCTCAGGGTTCTCTTGTTGACGATGGCACTACCACTCCAGCTACCTCGACCGACCCGACTATTGCCAACGCTAGCTTGACTGAGCTTCAATCCAACCCGTCTGCCATGATTGGTTCCTCTGAAGCAGCAGAGACTGTCCAGGTTCCTGCGGCCAGCGGAATTGGCTCAGAAGCCGCGAATGCCGCAGGACAAGAGCAATGGGATCAGACTGTCAAGTCCACCGAGGACCCTCTGACTGAGTCTTTTGAAATGGTTCCGCGCGACCTCGCAGAGACTGATACCGGCTCCACTCCAGCCCCAGCTACCAGCACCCAGAGCTGGGCCGATGATACTCCCACTGAAATAAGCACGCCTGCGCCAGCTGCCGCCGCCAGTGGTGACGGGTTCCATGAGGTTACCCACCAGCGAGGAGGCCGTGCAAGAGGTGATGGCCGTGGACCATTCCGTGGCCGCGGTGGTCGTGGCGGTGAGCGTGGAAGAGGCCATCGTGGAGACGGGCGAGGTCGTGGACGCGGATTCCGGGGTCGTCCTCGTGGAGATGGACCGCCACCACCTTCATCCTAAGTTGATCAACAACGACTTCACACAGAAATTTCCTGGGCGCATCGCATTCTCGATTATCTAAACTCCTTGTTTGCCAGATGTTGGTAGACGAGACAAAAGTGATGGAGCTCTAGGGCTCTCTGTTAAATACAATCATGTCTTGGGCATTTCGGCGAAAGGCTTCTACGGTCGGTCCTTTGACCAATAAAAAGAAGAATTTGCAAGGTTGCATAGCACGCGTTCGGAGCACTGGTGTCTGAGCTGATTAGTAATACGACTGGATCTGGTCCGGATCGGGAGATGAATGTTTGGTTCTCAAAAAAGCAAATGAATAGTAGTGGGTAGAGAAGCATGTATGTACGATGTCAAGATGGGGGAGCTGGACGGGAATTAAGCAATGAAGGCCAAGCAGGCCATGTCGTCTGTGTAGCCGAACGTGAAGAAGTAACATGAGTTGCCTGACTGACTCAGGAGCCAGGCTGCGGGTTGTGTACAATAGATTGTAGATCGCTGATCTGCCACAGGGTCCGCCGCCGAACTGTGTCTTGCCTTTGCGTGTGCAGGTAGGTCATCGTGGGGTAATTGGAGGAATCCTGATGGATGGCAGCCCCTCGATCTAGGCATTTTATCTGCACCTACGCCTACATTTATCATCTCGGCAGTAATTAACTCGATCTCCGTTCTCCCATTGCCCTGCCCAGCAGCCATGTCTCACACAAGTATGTCATGCCATGCCTCGTCTAGGTGACGCGACGAGCGGGAAAGTCCCTGAGCGGCGGGTAAGGCTGAAAGCACTGCTGAGCCTCCTCTAGAAGTCTACGAACTAATGTCTCAACATGCCAACAGATAGGATTTGTATCGTTGCGGCGGCATTTTTTGGAGCGGGGCATGCCGTGTAGACAGATTGCGGCCGCGCTCCATTTTTTGGGCTCACATAGTGAGTGCTTCTGATGATTGGATGGATGGATGAATGGATGGATGGGCGCGGTCTATTCGCTATTACTCCACCTAACTACTACCTACCTACCTACCTCTGAGGCTACCTAACTTGCTCGCTTACCTAAGCAGCTGCACGCTCTCCCACGAGTTCGCAGGTACGCGGTACGCCGGACTAATTATTTAGAACAGGGAAAGGGAAAGGGGGATTGATTGGAAGGGTGGAAAAGAAGGGTCTAGGCTGATGGAAGGATGGAAGGGAGATGGAGTAGCTGCATGTCATGAAGATTCGAGGGGGGACGATGATGGTGCGGGAATGGTGTGATTTGTACACACCGCTACTGTGACGATGCGAGAGTGTATGTGAGTGTGTGTGTGGAGAAGAGGGGGAAATGGATGAGGGGCGGCGGAGGGTTTTTGGAGGTAAGATATGCGCGGGCGGTTAGGATGGATTAGTGAGATTGTGGGATTGGTTGGGCTGGGTGTGCTCGTGGGTTGAGCGATGTGTGTATGGTGGTGCTAGGTTGACTGAATGCTGCATTGTGTGCGTGTATAAGGAAAGGAAAGGGGTATGTATGTATAGGGCTCGCTTTGTAGCGGCTTTGTGCGAGTGTAGGTAGGTACCTAGGTACAGTACAAGGGATAGGATAACAATGGGCATTCATTCATTAGATGGATACATGATACATCGTATACTGGTGAAAGCGAGCTCGGCCGGTGAAGGGCTATATGCCCTGACTGGCCTTCACGGATGCATCGATGCTTGTTCATGACGCGGGATAATGAAGCTGTTCATCCGGTTTTCATTCACATGCTGTTATCATCCGTTATTCATTCATTCATTCATTCATTCATCCATCCATTGTACGATAATCAAGCATCAATTGCCGCAGAGAAGCACTACTAAGGTACTTACTCCACGTCGGCTCGTCATTTTCCAGACTAGTGCTCGTCTCTGATAGGCTGATATGATTAGACAGTCTCGATTAGGCCTAGCACGACTATTCTCTGGCTCACACCTCAGGCTGCGACTCTTCAGGCTCAAACGCCAACGGTTCGTTAGGGGACTTCACACTCGCATTCACTCAGTGTTTCCTCCCAACGACTTGCACCACTCTTCTTGTCTTCAACATCTACCCATTCCGCCCTCAACGACGCTCGTATGGTCTCTGAGCACTCATGCGATAGCTATCCCTCCTCCTTGATTCCCACTGACCACACTCATTTGGGCCCCCCGTCTGCCCGATACTGGCGCAACCCTTCCGCCTGTTCCTCCGGGGAGTCGTCCCCTCAGCCTCCCACTTCCCACCCTCCCAGCACGACGGGATAAATTCGCGATAACGCACGTCAGCTGCGCGCAGAAGCTGGCAGATTGTTCAGTATGAATGTCGTAGAATCGACCGAGGTGCCGGCGCCGCCGCCTCCGCCTCAAGATGACTTGCACATCTCCAAGGCTGCTCTGACGCCACCCACGAGCGAAGACTTGGACAAGAAGGACGATTCGTCGGATCTGTCCGATCCCGAGGACGACGAGGACGATGACATTGGCGAGATTGAGCCGGATCACTACTGGGGTGATGGCAAGATTCCTGTCTTCAAGCCGGTATGTAGCGGTGTTGGCCTCGGCTGGGTTCCCGCAAGAGTGCGCGACCGTTCGCGGGAGCTTCACAATAAAATATACTGCTATCTGGACGATATGCGGGAGTTCAGACGCTTGGTACTGACCTTGTCCGCAGAACATGGCTCAATTTCGGAGCTTCCCAAAGTTTATCGATAAAGTAAACAAGTACGGCATGAAGTCGGGTATAGCAAAGGTCATCCCGCCTCAGGAATGGTAAGCTCTCACCCACCCGCCCACTCCAGCAATGCGATGTAGCGCGTCAATAATAAACTAACGTCAATTCAATTTGCCAGGACCGGCTCCCTTCCTGACCTCACCGAGATGGTCAAGACTATCAAGGTTAAAAACCCAATTACTCAAGAGTTCGCCGGGCAATTTGGACAGTACACACAGGCAAACATTGAGAAGCAACGGTCCTACAATCTTCCGCAGTGGAAGGCTCTCACCGAAGAACACAATCACCAGCCGCCTGCTAAGCGCGGAGAGAGACGTCGTGGCGAGCCTGCGTCGAAACCTCGTCCAAGCCGGAGTGCGGCCACTGCGACCACGACGTCCAATGCAGATGGAGCTAAGCGCAGACCTGGAAGACCGCGCAGAGGTCCTGCGAAGGATGTCAAAGAAGAAGAGAAGCCTGCCGAAGACAGCCTGGATGAAGGAAGCCAGCTGCAAGTTCCGCCCACGCCTACGTCACCCGAGTCGAAGCCAACGCCAGCTACTTCTTCCGCAAAGGGGGGCAAAGCAAAGCGGATCAAGAAAGAGGAAGGCACTCCGACAAAGGGACGTCAGCCCAAATCCATCTCGTCGCGGCGTATGAACAATCGACGCGATGTTTCCGACTACGTGGATGAGGCTGCATTTGAAGGCTTCAACTACAGACTTGAAAACGTCGACGAGTACACACCGGAGCGCTGTGCAGAGCTCGAGGAGAACTACTGGCGTACTCTGAACTACGGTTCGCCGATGTACGGAGCTGACATGCCTGGCTCTCTCTTCGACGACTCGACCACGACCTGGAATGTAGCCAAACTGGAGAATTTACTCGACGTTCTAGGCACGAAGGTGCCGGGAGTGAATACGGCCTATCTCTACCTGGGCATGTGGAAAGCGACCTTCTCCTGGCATCTCGAGGACATGGATCTCTACAGCATCAACTACATTCACTTCGGTGCACCAAAGCAGTGGTACAGCATATCGCAAGCCGATGCCCGGAAGTTCGAGAATGCCATGCGGAGCATCTGGCCGAATGACGCAAAGAACTGCTCACAGTTCTTGCGCCACAAGACGTATCTCATCTCTCCTGCCGCCCTGGAAAAACAGCACGGAATCAAGGTCAACAAGCTGGTCCACTACGAGGGAGAATTCGTCATCACGTATCCATATGGTTATCATTCCGGCTACAATATTGGTTACAACTGTGCGGAGTCTGTGAATTTCGCTACAGAGGAGTGGCTGAACTATGGTCGGATCGCGAAGAAGTGTGACTGCGAGGCAGATAGTGTGTGGGTCGATGTTGCAGAGATCGAACGCAAGCTTCGAGGCGAGCCGACACCTGAATATATTGAGATGACTGATTCGGAAGACGAGGACGACGGCGCTCACGATCTGCCGAGTCCGCCCGCAAGTGTTTCTGGTGGTAAATCGAAGGGACCTCCGCGGAAACGTAAGCGAGATGTCAAGGGCAAAGACGGTCCTGGGCCGAAGAAGAAGAAGCTGCGGCTTCGAATCAAGGTGCCCTCTAGAGAGCCTTGCATTCTCTGTCCGAACGATGTTGTCTTTGATGATCTCCTGCCAACTGACAACGGCAAACAGGCGCATAGGTCTTGTGCGCTGTACACGCTCGAGACGTTCATCACAGAGCCGCCCAACGAAAAGGTCTGCAATGTCGCCGGCATTGACAAGGCTCGATTGGATCTCAAGTGTAATTACTGTCGCTCGAAACGCGGTAGTTGCTTCCAATGCGACCACAAGAAGTGCACGAGAGCATATCACGCAACCTGTGCACAGGCTGCTGGGGTGCAGATCGACACCGGGAACATGCCCTACTTTGACGACGACGGCCAAGAATACTTCTACGAGGGCACGGACTTCCGATGTCGCTTCCACCGCCCGAAGCGACAAAAGCAAGCAGATTCTGAGAGTCTGGAGAACAACAAGTTTGTTGCAAACTACGCCAAGGGTCTCAAAGTGAAGGACGTCGTCCAGGTGCAGTATCTGACTGGTGAAGTGTTTGCTGGCACGGTGGTGGAGAATCGATTAAGCGAAGGCACTCTCTTGATTGATGTCGTTCCTGCAGGGTAAGTTTTTGTAGATTGGGCTGCATAATTGAGCGCAAAACGCTAACGGTCCCACAGTGATCGAATCGAAGTTGAGCACAAGTACTTACTTGCGCTTGATCCCGCCGACTCCCTGCGACCGAAGCCTTCCTCCAACGCGAAGCCCTTACCAGATCATCTTACTAACAAGAACGCCGAACTAAGCGAGAAGAGTCGGCCCGAAGGCGTGCCTGAAAAGGGCGATCCGTTCATGGATCCCAACTGCGAGCACAAATGGGACGAGTTCAATCGCTGCGAAGAATGGGAACGGAACAAGTTTCAGGCCAAGGTCGACTTCTCGAAGCCGGAGCAGATCTGGCACTACCTTCCGAAGAAATCCACGGAAGCACGGCCACAATACACCGAGGACCCGGCAAAGCCACGCTACAACATCAGGAGTAATTTCTTGGACACGGTCAAGCCTGCACCGGCGGCGCCAGCGTACATGCAGCAGAAGACGACTCTGTTCAAGCCTCGACAGTCGTACACGGCATCGTATCCGGCTGGTGCTAATGTGAATGCACTCAACGGCGCGATGGCTGCGCAGCGGCAGAACGCACCGGGCTATCACGTGTATCAGTACGCTCAACAGTCCCAACAAGGGTCTGGTGCTCAGTCTGTGTACGCGCAGTCTCTCCCGTTTACGAGTCAACAGCAACAGCAGCAACATCACCAGCAGCAATACAGACAGCAACAGGAGCAGCAGCAGCAGCAGCAACAACAACAGTCTTCTCAACGTGCTATCCAAGCAAAGCCGAGTACATATCCGCGTATCGACATGAACGCTCCTCCGCCTCCACATCGCGAGTACCGCGCCGGGCTACAGCAATCCCATTCGCCCACGGCCATGTCACCTACCGGCTCTACTCGTTCGCTACTGTCGGATCGAGATCGACCATCGATGCCTAGTGTTGACAAGAAGGACTCGCCGTACCAGTGGTACCACCAGTACTATCAGCCACGGTCATCTGAGAAGAACAACTATGTTGCGAACCCGTATGCACTACCGAGGAGACTTTCAGGTCAAACGGCGGGCCAGTCAAGCCCATCTCAGGCGTCGCAGTCGTCGTATCTCCCGCCAAATACGACTACAGAAGAATACCTTGCTCATCTGAAGATCTATCCTTATCTCCTGAATTGCTACTTGCGACGACCCAAGGCGTACGTGTCGCCATACGCAATCGGTGGAGGGTTCACTCAGGAGTGGCAGCCGCTCAAGGTGCACGAGAAGGCGAATCCTGACGGCCATCGTTATCAAGCATACCAATCGCCATATGCACGGCAGCCCAGTCGACCGGGCAGTTCCCACACGGGTGTTGCCAGCAACAGCATGTACCCATCCGGCCGTCCCACCGGCTTGCTCTTCCAGTCTCCATATCAATTTCAACAGGATGTGGCGAGAGGCTCCGCAATCCACCAGCAACAGCACCGCGGGATTGAGAAGTTGGCCCAGGGCCTGAATCATCCTCTACCCTACCAGATATCCGGCGGTGCGTCGCATGGTCCGCAGTCTTACCATGCCCGCAGTTCCAGCGCTGGACAGACGATGCCGTGGACGTACACAAGTCCGGGCATAGCTCCTCCTCCTCCCCGGCCGGCGCAAGCACAGCCTCCTCCTCCTTCGTCTTCTTCCTCTTCTTCTTCTACCACGCAGCCCAATAATTACTCGTTCAAGAACTGGTCGTCCACCAAGCAGCAACAGCCGACGACTACGACCGCAGCACCAGCACCCGCACCATCTCCCTCTCAAGCGCAACCCCAATCGCAAACGCAACCACACGAACAGGCGCGGCTGCAGGAAAGCATCAATTACGCGACGCCGACGCGGCCCACAGCTACCAGTCCGAATGGCGCGCGCACGGGCAAGGAGAGTCCTGCAAGACCTGAGTATAGTCCGATTAGCGACTTTGGAAAAAAGTCGCCGCTCAAGAATCCCGGTGGTGCGGAGACGTGGCGGTATGTCTGAGGATGATGGGGGATGGTGGTACTTGAGGACGGCGGCATGGAAGCAGGGAAAGGAAGGGAAGAGAGCGACATGGAAGAGAGCGGCATGGAAGCAGGGAAAGGAAGGGAAGAGAAGGAGGGATGGAAAGGAAAAAAAGGCAAACCAAAAAAAATCAACCCGAAAAAGAAAATAAGCAGGTTATACAGTGTCTTTACCACACACAAGGTTTTTTGGTTTATATATATAGGAAGTTCAGAGTGTCCCGTTTCTTCAGGGACATGCACAAGCTCTGACTTCACCTGCTCCCCCAACACCCTTACTACCTAGTACCTACTACATAGGTTAAGCTCTTTTTTTTTTTCTTCGAAAGAAGAAGAAGAAAAAAAAGGATCTAGAAATAGAAAGGAAGATGATTTGTTAAAACTTTTGTGTTGTCTGTGTTGTCTGTGTTGTCTGTGTTGTCTGTGTTGTCTGTGTCCTCTATATAAGGTGTTGTCTGAGAGAGAGAGAGAGAGAGAGAGAGAGAGAGAGAGAGAATCTGTCTAGTCTATCTGTGCTGCCGCTGCTATTCTGTAGGGAAGTAAGGAAGGGAGTAGGTGAGTAAACAAGCAGACACGACGTGATGTAGAAACCCTCACTCTCCGTCCGTCCGTCCACGTGTGTTAGAGTGTGTTTTGATGTATACCGTGCCATGCTATACCAGTGCATAACAGGACAAACGGGGGGTTAGAGGGGTGGAATTTCTCAGGTGTATTGTCATTGCGTTGTTGGGTATTGGGGGTATTGGGGGTATGTGGGTAAGGTAAGGTGGGTAGTAAATTGATTTGTAGCTGAGGGAGGAGAATATAGTAGATGGTATAGTAATAGTAAGCTTTATATCTGGTAAACAAGACTCTTATACTTTTGTTTTCGTTCTATATCTGTTCTGGTTCTATCCTGGTTCTTAATTTCTATCCCGTTCTATTTTTGTTTCTAGTCATGATTTTTTTTTTGGAGTGTACTAATTAATGTATATATATAAGTCTTGTTTTCTTCTTTGGTTTCTTGATGACTTGATGTCTTTATTTAATATTATTCACTCGATTCTATCCCTGTGCTTTCTATCTGATCTAGACTACTCTCGTCTGTTTTCCACGGCGTAGGCTTAAGCTTTTATATACTTTCTTTGAGAAAACTCTTGATTCGATACACGCGCGCTTTTCCTTTTTCTTTTTTGAACGGGGCGCGATTAGACTAGGTTTGTGTTAACATATTCTACACGCAATACACAAAATACACACGTAGCACGGCGCGCAATAAATGTTACTTCACGCGTGGCGTACGTGAGAAAACACGTAACAATGCGTACAGTAGTAGACTTATATACGTGCCCTTCCTTGTATACATTAGAACCTTGGGCTTGGCATTCTATAGTCCTGGCCTAGCCTAGTAGTGGTCGCCGGCATATGCTTTTCCGCCCCCAAAATTCCACGCCTGATACTGTATCTATTTCAGCGGCGCCGCCCGCTGTTTCATCAAACTATGTCCTCGCTGGAGGTTCTGGTGTGAGGCACGGGGCGCTTATGCATGCATGCATGCACCTGCTTCTTTCCTTTCTGACCATGCGTTGTGTATGATATATGCCCGCTATGCTATGTTCGGTTCTCAGCCGTCCGTGCCTCAGTCCGATGGACGCGCCCTTCGGCCGAGTCTAGCGCTGCTTCGGGGGTACAACTCCGATATTTGGTTTTGGGGGCTGCGTTTTTTTGTGTGTTGCGCTGTCTGTGACTTGTAGTTTTGGGGGCTGAGAAGAAGGACATGTAGTCCGTTGCGCGGAATGGGATGGCGGCCGGGCTCTGGTGCTAATATCTGCGGCTCGGCAGTTGCTTTTACTTCCTTATTGACTGACTGACTGACTGACTGACTGACTGACGGACCTAACTAATTGACTTGACTGGTACGTGTATGTGTGTGGTGGACGTGGTGATAATAAGGACGCGGGCCCCCACCCCTTTCTCAATTTGCTCTTTTCCGCCCTTTTTGAACCATAGATACGCCAGAAACGACGGGAAAGGCTGGAAACTGCGGAGAACGCGATTAGAGTTGTCCTGACTGCCTGCTGAGTTGGCGCGAACTGGTTTTGGAGGAATACTGGGCTGCTTGACTGGTTGGGTAGAAGGACGCGCTGGACACGCTGGATTGTTGGTTTACGAAGAGGACGACTTGGATCGTTGGTGTGCGAGAGGAGATATCATCGTATACGCGCTTTACAGTACGACGACGGCGGTGCTGGGATTTGGTCGTCGAGTCACTGAGGACTGATTGACTGTTTTGACGCTGTTTGACGAAGGAGAAGAACCACGACGAACGACCCGACGGAAGACGAGGAAGACAAATAAGACAACAACTAGCGAGTAAAACGACTCACTGGCCGACAACAACGACGACGACAAGGAGGACCAAAACACTCAGTCGACCAACACTCACACCCACACACACTCGACTCAACACGAACGAACCCTCACCACTCCCCAAAATGCCCTCCTTCGCCCCCCTCCCAACGAAAGATACCCCCCAACCCACCGTCTCGGAGGAAGAAGCAGACGCAGAGCACAGCAGCAGCAGTCATAGCGACAGTAGTAGTCATAATCCTCACGCCGACGCTGCAGCGGATGGATATGCCGGTGAGTTTACTGCATTCCTCTTTCCCCACCCTAGAATCCTCCATGATATACAAGGACAGAAACGAAGTATTCAACTAACAACGAAAAAAGACAAACCCCGCCGCCGCCAAACCGTAGCCAACATGCTCCGCCGCCGCGCAACAACATGGCCAGACCGCCCGCAAACCGTGGAAAAGACAGCGCGTGCGCGTCTCGTGGATTGCGCGCCGTATGCGGCGCTTCTGCTTGTGCCTGTTGGGTTTCTTGGTATGTTTCTGTCGTGCCTGTTGTCCTTCTTACCCCCCCTATCATCCTTTTTTCCTCCACTTTTTTGCTTTGACTTTGACCTTGCTATCTATGGCTTTCGCTGACTGAATGATGATGATGGGCAGTCCTGGCAGGGTTTATATGGCGGCTCGGCGGGCGCGAGCGGTCCGAGGGCGGAGACAGAGTGGTGCTCGCGATGGGTGTAGCGTCGACGCTGTGGCCGATTGGATTCGCGGCGGTGATGGGCCCGATGCTGAAGAGTGTAGCGCTGTGGGCGGCGGAGAGGGGTGTGACGCTGCGGGTACGATGCCGTCTCTATTCATCCTATTTCCCCTCGTTCCTCATTCCTCATTCTCACCCCTATCATCTCCAACCAGGAGCTTGTCATGAACCCCGAAGCAATACTAACAACACCCAACGCCACAGATGCTCGAGCTCCTCTCCTCCAGCGACACGGTCGTCAGCACGCTCAAGACCTGCTTCGACCTGCAATACATCAGCATCTGGCCGCTCGCCCTCATCGCAATCTGGCTGCTCAGCCCGGCCGGCGGCCAGGCCGTGCTGCGTGCCCTCACCCTGCACACCCCCGTCCTCACTGCCTCATACCCCCTTACCTACCACCCGTCCAGCGCCATCGGCATCCCCCTTGACACGCTCACCTGGGGCAGCGCATCGAGCGGCTTCTACGGGGCGGCCGGGGGCGTGGTACGCATGGCGTTTGGGGCGGTGATCTCTGCGCCGAATGCGGCGGCGTTGTTAGTTAATGGCACGACAACAGCCGGGAGCTTTGACGAGGCGGTGGAGAGGCTGGGCGGGGTGGAAAAGGTGCTTGCTGCGGCGCGGACGGATATCTGGGGGAATGTCCGGATGCCGTTGCTGGAGATGCTGCCTGGGTATGATGCCGGGAAGCCGGGCGAGTGGGTGGATGTGCCCACGGATCAGGTGCCGGTTTATGAGTCACTGGTAGGAGTCCCAGTGCGCGGGGTGCCGATGGGCGAGGTGGGGAATCTGACGTTTGGTATCGCGGCGGCGTATACGCGGCTGACGGTGAGTCTCTTTCTCGGATGGATATAGGGGGTAGGTAAACGACTGACACAACCAACCGCAGTGCTCGGACTGGCAAAACACCACGACCTGGGAAACGGACTACAGCAACCGGCTCGACGGCCAACCCTACAACGCCTCCGAGGCCTTCGGCTCCGCCTCCGACCCGGGCTCCTCAAACATCAAACTCACCCTGCTCTCCACCCGCCTCTACCCCCTCCCGACAATCAGCTTCGGCACCCGCACCGACACCACCCTCTGCACCATCACCACCACGCACATCGACGCCCTCGTCTCCTGCGCCCGCGGCACCCCCTCCGGCGACCTCTCCTGCCGCGCCCAGCGCGCCCGCCACTCGCCCGAGTACCCCGTCTCCAACGCCACCGCCCAATTCGACCCCGCGAACAGCGGCACCGCCGCAATCCAGTTCTTCGCCAGCATCCCGCGCATCCTGACGACGTATCACGCCGGCACGCAGACGCCGCTGGAGTCGTATCTAGCGAATCCGCTGAACGGCGGGATCGATGCGAGTGTGGGCGGCGTGGCGATTAAGGATGAATACAAGGATCTTCCGGCGGGGGTGTTTGAGGCGCGGCTTGCGGTGGTGGTGAATTCGGTGCTGCGGTTGACGTATGGGACGGCGATTGTGCTGGGGACGTCGGGGATTAATACTACTGCTGCGTCTGAAGACACTACCGCCGCCGACTACCAGCCTACCTACGCCAACACAACAGGCACGTGGACGACCTTCTCGCCGCCGATATACGACCTGCATAGGGGCTGGCTGGCGCTGTACACGCTCTCGATTGGGGTGCTGGTGCTGGCCGTGCTGGCGATGGTGTACTTGCGGTCGCGGATCCGGATCCCGGATATGCTGAATAGCATGTCGATGTTGGCGCGTGAGTCGCCGTATGTGAGCACGGCGCCGGGGGGCGGGATGTTGGATGGGATGCAGATGGTGGAGGTGCTGGGGCGGAAGAGGGTGCGGATTGGGGATGTGGCGCCGGAGAGGGCGGTCGGGAAGATTGCGTTTGCGGATGAGGAGCGGGTGGAGAGGGTGCGGAGGGGGAGGTTGTATTTGTAGGGCTTTGGGGGATGTTGTGGGGTGTGGATAGTTGGTATTGGTATTTATTGCTTGTTTTTAACTTTGTGTGCGTGTGGTGCTCGTTCAACTGTTCTGGTCGATTGAAAGTATGGAGTTGATGCTGATGAGTACGAGTCTGTCACGTTGGCTGATTGTAACTGAAGTGACCAAATTACGAACACCTCGCATAGCTCTAATTCCCAGGAGACTGCCTTTTAAGCAAAGACTGAGCGCAAGAAAGGGGTATTTCCAACGTTGTATTTACTGCTACTTCTCACAACCAAGATAGTCCAACGGATAGCAGCCACAAAAGTCCGCCATCAAGTCTTGAGTCCCTCTGCAGTAATCCGAAACTCCAGCCCGCGACCGCTCGTCGGCGCGGTCCACGGCGCAAACACAACCTTCATCCACCGCCGCCAGCGCACAATCTCCCTCTCGCGCGTCGCTGCGCTCTCGCCGTCCTCTTCCGCATTCAGATGGTCCCCCCGTGCCAACATGGCGAATATGTCTGGCGGGGCAGCGAATTCGGGCTCTTTGATCAGCGCGATCCGGCACGCGAGCTGGTTTGTCCACACGAGACCTAGGGCGGGCGTTTTGAGGCCCTCTTGGTGATGATCCGGGTGCTCCGGGCGAGTGTCCCCCCAGCCAGTCAGCCAGCGCTGCTGGTGGTCGAGCGACATGGGATCCGCAGTTGCGAGGGATATGGGCGTTGGTGTCCCTGTCCGTGGTGTTCCTACTCTCGGTGTTCCTGCACGCGGCGTATTATGGCCTGCAACATCTGCACGACCTCCAGTAGACTTGGTCATGCTGGCCTGGCTGTTGTACGAAGTGTTCCTGCTCGCATTACCCGACGGTGCGCGGTCCTGGCGGTCGAAGCGATCAGCGACCTGATTCGCAACAACGACAGCAACATTCTCGCGCCGCGCAATGCCGCGTAACAAAGCGCCGAGTTGGATCAGTTGAGCACTGCGAGTTGCCATTGCGTGGGCAGCGGACGAGCCACCACTACCACCAGCCCCATTGCTGGGCTTGTCAAACTCGGCGCGATAGTTTGCGGCGACGGAATCGAGGACGACAAGACCAATGTTGTGGCGCTGAATGGCAACGGGGAGCTGGTAGCGCAAGATGTGGTCTTGAGATTCGAGGTCGGGCGTCTTGATGCTGAGGATTCGAGAGAGAGTCGGTCGTTCTGAGGGCGGCAGAGAGTTGAAGTACGGATGGGAGTTGAGCAGTTGGGAGAGGCGACTGGTGGAGAGCGAGGCTTCGGTGGAGATGTAGATGCTGGAGCGTGAGAGGCCGTGAGGCGGAGGGAGTTGGGCGCTCAGGAGCAGAGTGAGGAGGGTCTGTGTTTTGCCTGCGCCGCTGTAGGAGTGTCAGAATGTAAACGGAGAGTATATGTACGTATGAATGCGAACGCGCACCTCTCGCCGGTGATCTCTGTCAGGTAGCCAGCAGGTATGCCTCCTCCAAGTAAGGTATCCAAACCGTCGTCCAAAGTACTGATGCTGCTCCATTCATGCTTCACCCGACGCGTCTCTTCCGCCGTGTCCACCTCCGGCTGAGCATCATCGCCATGTTTGAAGCAGAGTTGAGCATGGAGTTCGACGAGCAAGGCGTCTTGTAGCTTGCAGACTTCCGCGACCGGCACCTGAGCGCGCTTGGCTACGTCGAGAGCCTCGAGGGTAAGGAGATCGCAGGAGGTGACGAGGTTCTTGTCGAGCGATGGCAGTATGTGCGAGAATGGCTTTGTGTTGAAGTGTGGCACGACGTGGAAGAGGTCGGTCATGGCATGGTGATTATGTGTGCGAAGTGCGAAGTGTATGCGAAGTGTGAAGGACAAGCGGTGGGGTAAACACAACACGGACCGGCCAGGCCAAGCAAACGACGTCAGACGCCGGCCGGGGGGGACTTGGTGCCTAATTTTAGCTGCGTCTGGTGCGTTTGGTGCCCGTTTCTAGGGGAGTTTTGGGGAATCTGGGGGGTCTGGGTGCCTAAAACTGGGGCAGTCCGGGGCAGTTTGCATCAACCTCGGCGTTCACTTCCTCTGGTCCGCTCTGCTATACTAGCCTTTATACTGAACGACATCACACTTAAGACATAATACACACTACATCAGAAGTAGTCAAGGTACTACTACCATGTCATATATCATCCACACTACACACTACATACCTCTTGGCTGAGACGTCCCTCGCGCCCCAGATCACGCCTCTCCTTCTATCAACGCTGACATCCGCTCCCACATCTCATCCACCACTGCTCTGTCAACACATCTACACACTTCATATACCCAGCAGATTCTCCAAGCCCGTACCTTGTGAGCCTCCGCTTCATACATCACATATAGTGGAAGTGGAGCCAGTCCAGACCCACCACGTCCAGACAGAGACCCTGCCCGCAACGCACTGTAATACATTCACTTCCTCTCGTCCGTCCGTACTTCCATCTATCCATCTGTCCATCTGTCCATCGCGAGCACCCCTCCTCCATGCTCTCTATCCTTGTCTCTGCCTTCTGAAACTAAACCTCCGCAGCTTCATCCTCTTGACCGGCGTCACCCGCTGTCCCCCGGGAAGCCTCCCCTTGTGATTACGTCTATCTGAGTGCCCATCAACAGCTCGCATCGAGGGGTCAAGACTCGTTACTAGGTAGTGGTGAGCTTCACATTCAGTCTAACTCTACAGCATCCGTCGACTCGACCATTCACAACCCATCCTTCAGGGCCCCAGTCTGACAAGGTTACCAAGGTAAGCCGGAAGCATGCATTACGTGCCATGCTAAGCTTCCATATCTGTTATCCCTTCGACTTCTATCTATACACCCGAGTTTAGCGGCCATTCTTCCGCTTCTATGGTCCGCTGGTTATCATACCGTGTCGTGTCTCAAGCATATTTCAAATGCAAGTGCACACAGCTCCCCATTCACATGTTCACGGCTGATGACGGGCTGTTCCGGTCGGGCGGACCCCCCTGTTTGCCTCTTGTCCTCTGCACGGAGAAACACTTTTCATTCATATAAGTTCATCTTGTACTTCTCATTCTTCTCACTTTCTTTCCTCTCTCGACATTCTGTTGTCTCGTGCCCTGCTCATGGTCTGATACCCAAATGCCCTCTTACTTCCTCCAAGACTGTCATCCCTACTTCTACCGCACGGCATTGCGGTTGCTCTCTATTTCTAAATTTATATCGCTGCTACACGCTTAGCTAACGCATCTCCCCTACCATGGCAGTCCGAACATTTCTCTCTCCCGCCCCTTCGTTGGATCGGTCTGTCGTCAAGCAGACCGACATGTCTCAGACCAACGACGCGAGGAAGGATGGTACGTCACAGGACAAGCAAGAATTCACAGAAGCGGATCGGAAACCTCTTGCATCACACACGAACCCAAACTCAAAGCCGGGCGTGACCTTTGCTCACCAGGACAGTCTGCCGAAGCTTCCTATCCCTGACCTGGAGCCTTCTCTCAAGAAATACCTGGCCTCATTAGAGCCTCTCCATAGCTCAAAAGAGCATCGCGACACGGAGCGAGCCGTCGAAGAGTTCTTGAAACAAGATGGACCGGACCTGCAGGAAAAGCTGAAGAAGTATGCTTCTGGAAGGTCAAATTACATTGAACAATTCTGTAAGTCTTCTACAGGCCATTAATTGTGAAAGTGCTGATAGATCCAGGGTACGACTCGTATCTCAACTTTGACAACCCGGTTGTCTTAAATCTGAACCCGTTCTTCCTGCTCGAGGACGACCCTACTCCGGCAAGGAACAACCAAGTCACCCGTGCAGCCTCTCTCGTGATATCAGCTCTATCTTTCGTCCGCGCCGTCAGAAAGGAAGAGCTTCCCCCGGACACGATCAAAGGCCAGCCATTGTGCATGTACCAGTTCTCCAGACTGTTTGGCACGGCCAGGATACCGACCGAAAACGGATGTCAGATAGGTCAGGACCCCGACGCCAAGCACATTGTCGTGCTCTCCCACGGCCAGTTCTACTGGTTCGATGCCCTGGACGCAAACTCTGACCTGATCATGACCGAGAAGGATCTTGCGCTCAACCTTCAGGTCATTGTCGATGATGCTTCGCAGGTGCCTATTCAAGAGGCTGCCAAGAGTGCCGTGGGTGTCCTGAGCACGGAGAATCGGAAGACGTGGTCTGGCCTACGAGATGTGCTGCATCGCGAGGAGGGATCGAATAACTCTGACTGTCTCAACATTGTCGACTCGGCGCTGTTTATCCTATGCCTCGACTACACCGAACCCCAGACGGGCGCAGAGCTCTGCATGAACATGCTCTGTGGTTCTAGCAAGGTCGAGAAGGGCATCCAGGTCGGTACATGTACTAATAGATGGTACGACAAACTTCAGATCATCGTCTGCAAGAACGGCAGTGCTGGCATCAACTTTGAACACACCGGCGTCGACGGCCACACAGTCCTGCGCTTCGCAAGTGACGTCTACACAGACACAATCTTACGCTTCGCCCGAACAATCAACGGACAGGCACCAAGTCTATGGGCGTCACAGAGCCCAGATCCGTCCAAGCGAGATCCGGATAGCTTTGGCGACGTCAGCACAACGCCGCACAAGCTCGAGTGGGACATGGTGCCTGAGTTGAGCACGGCGCTGCGTTTCGCGGAGACAAGACTGGCCGATCTGATCCAGCAGAATGAGTTTGCGACTCTCGAATTCTCGCAATACGGTAAGAACTTTATGACCTCGATGGGCTTCTCGCCAGATGCATTCGTGCAGATGGCGTTTCAAGCAGCGTACTATGGTCTCTATGGCCGGATTGAATGTACTTACGAGCCTGCCATGACCAAGACCTTCTACCATGGCCGCACCGAGGCTATTCGATCGGTGACCTCTGCATCTACCGAGTTCATCCGAACATTCTGGGGAGAAAACCCAGCCCACAAGAAAGTTGAAGCCCTACGGAAAGCCTGCGAGAAACATACGGCAAACACCAAAGAGTGTGCAAAGGCTCAGGGACCAGACCGTCATCTTTACGCACTGTACTGCATCTGGCAGCGGACTATCGACGAGGGCCTCGATCTCACCAGCAGCGTCGACTTGAACTCTGGCTCCGTGAGTCCAGTCTCAGACCAGATCAGCTCGCCAACGCAAAACTCAGTAGCCTCAACCGAAGGATCGGCCAGGGAGACATCTCCATCCGGACACAGCCACTCCCTCCCAGCACTGTTTGCCGACCCAGGCTGGGACAAGATCAACACCACCGTTCTATCGACATCGAACTGCGGCAATCCCTCACTCCGCCAATTCGGCTTCGGCCCAACATCCGGCGACGGCTTCGGCATCGGATACATCATCAAAGAAGGCAGCATCTCCATCTGCGCATCGTCCAAGCACCGCCAGACAGCACGCTTCATCGACGCCCTCGAAGCCTACTTCCTCGAGATGCGCAAACTCCTCCGCCAGACCAAGCGGCGCGGCACATCGACCGACAAGACCGCGTCCCGGGCCCGCGAGCTCGATCAGCGCTCCAAGAGCCAGCGACCAAAGAACCGCGGGCGTGCGATTGGCGCCGACGCGACAGGTAAAGCGCCGGCGACACCGGCGGTCGAAAGCACGGAAGAGTCGGATGACGAGGGCCTAAGTGGATGTGAGCATACCCGCAACACCTATTTCCGCGTAGAAGCAGGACTCCCGACACCTCCGAGCTCGCCGTTGATGCCGTTGATGCCGTTGAGGGCTAGTATATGCAGCAGTCCTCGTGTCATTACGCCGCCGCTGCCTCGGAGACGAAGTATCATGGTGCATCCGCATTCGTTCTGCTGAGTCTTCTGGGTGGCGTGCGCGCTGACTGCGAGTGGGAGCTGTGTCGGTCTTGCTATTCTACTTTCCTATTCACACGTCCTGTTACCCTTCCTCCCAGCGATGTCTCCCTTTAATCTTTCCTTTGACTAACCAGTTTCCCCGTAGATGGCTTCTTCGACGCCGGCATGCTCATGAACGCACTGAAGGCGAAAGAGAAGGCGCCCGAGGAACAGACGCAGAGCAGAAAGACTATCGGACGAAGTCTGAAGTTGGCAGAGTACTGAATGGGGCATTATACATTAGAGTTTAGAATGAATGGGGAGTAGATACATGGCCTGAGGCTGAAAACGCCAAGGATGGCTCATAATGAGGAGAATTACACGATCATGACACGGACCATATGGCAATGACTGTTTGTCTGTGATTCCAGAGTGTTGGATAATGTGGAGATGAGTAATTCATACTGTTTGGCATTTGACATAGTGTGAGATCGACTGAGTCATCGCCGAAAGCAGTAGACAAGCGACGACGACTCATCCATCCTGTCGGCCAAGCGAGCGCCACCTGTGGCTGGGCAGAACTCACTAGCGCTAAACTTCCAGTCCCCCACCTTGACGTCGCTGAGCCCGCGCGCTCTACAAATTTCATTCGGCCGCTTCTTATATATTTCGTTCCCTCAGCCAGCTCCTGTATACACTCTCACACCCCTTCACCACCTTACATTCGCTATTCGAGGACCATCTAGTCACTTCATCCCTTCGAGAACTTCCATCTTCCTCCACCATTCTACCACTACAAGCCCACGACACCCCACACGACACAGTCATGGCCGTCAGAGCTCAATTCGAGAACTCCAACGAGTGAGTAGAGACACATACACAAAGACCCCCGAACGCGCTCTTGTCTACGTCAAGTCGCGAATATGAAGAGCATATCGTGCTGATACAACTCCTAGAGTCGGCGTCTTCGCGACACTCACAAACTCATACGCCCTCGTCGCCGTGGGTGCGTCCGAGAACTTCTACAGGTAAAGAAAGCTCCCGATTCCTCCTCAACATGACTCACTGAACGTTCTCGCCGCAGCGTCTTCGAAGCCGAACTCCAAGACATCATCCCCATCTGCCACGCCACGATTGCCGGCACGCGCATCGTCGGACGTCTGACCGCCGGGTAAAGGCACCCCCCCCCTTTCCAAAGCTACATCACTCGGCAAGGAACAGATATGCTGACCGAACATGCGTATCTTACAGAAACCGCAAAGGCCTGCTCGTCCCAACCTCCACCACAGACCAAGAACTGCAACACCTGCGCGACAGCATCCCCGACGCAGTCAAGATCCAGCGGATCGAAGAGCGCCTGTCCGCGCTGGGAAACGTGATATGCGCAAACGACACGGTCGCGCTCGTGCACCCGGATATCGAGCGCGAGACTGAGGAAATGTGCGTCTCCACCCCCCTTTCCCTCCTCCCGAACCCCATGCGCCCAGAACCGCAGTACACACACACACACACACACACACACACACACACACACAAAAAGCCCACACACACACTAACAACCCCCTAGCATCGCCGACGTCCTCGGCGTCGAAGTCTTCCGCCAAACCATCGCCGACAACGTCCTCACAGGCTCCTACATGGCCCTCTCCAACGCAGGAGGCATCGTCCACCCCAAGACCTCCATCCAAGACCAAGACGAGCTCTCCTCGCTCCTCCAGGTGCCCCTCGTCGCCGGCAGCGTCAACCGCGGCTCGTCCGTCGTGGGCGCCGGCATGGTGGTCAACGACTGGATGGCCGTCACGGGGCTGGACACTACCGCCACGGAGCTGAGTGTTGTCGAGAGTGTGTTTCGGCTGGGTGAGGGGGGTGGGCAGGGCGCGGGGGCGATTAATACGACGCATAAGGATGCGATGGTGGAGAGTTTTTATTGAGGTTGGGTTTCTCGGTTGTGGGATGTGTGTTTGTGTACATATGCCTAGCTAGGGGAGCTGGGATGTTTCGAAAAACATAAGATTGGGTTTGCGGCGCTTAGGCGTTTGATTTTGTGCTTTGTGTGTTGTGTGTTGTGTTTTGTGTTTTGTGTTTTATGTTTTGTGTTGTGTGTTGTGTGTTTTGAGTTTTGTGTTTTGTGTGTTTTGTGTGTTTCGTGTGTTTTGTGTAGTGTGTTGAGTGTTGTGTTGAAAACGTGTAGGTTGTGGGTGGTGCGTGCGTGGCTGTGTGCTGATAGATATGCTGATTATGCTGATGATACTGGTGACTACTATGAAGTACGAAATACTGATTATTAAGGACAATGTACTGCCTATGTACTAGCTACGAAATATGTGTGCTAGCTATATGGCATGGCGTGCATAGCGTATATGATGTGATATGTTATGTCATGGCATGGCGATATGACATGTGAATATAAAATGCTTGCATCATTATGCCGGGGGTATCTGTCTATCTATCCATCCGTCTATCTATCCATCTACCCATCCATCCATCTATCCGTCTATCCACCCATCTATCCATCTATCCATCTATCCCATCTTCAACTGGTATTCTTGACTCCGTATACAATACTCTGCTCGTCCCTTTCCCCTTCTCCTTCCCCATTCCCCCTTCCCCCCAGACTCCGAATATCAAATCCCCTTTCCCTCCATCCCCCTTCCTCCCATCCTCTCATCCTCTGTAAAACCAGCATGATAGTCCAACCCATCACACACCTCCCACACCCTACTTCGTCTCCCTCCCCCTCCCACCCCTCCTTCACCCCTTTCCCCTCCCCCTCAGCACACCCCTCGGCGTCCCCCCAACCGGCGTCCTCGTCCTCACCCACGCCCTCTCCCCTTTCTCCTCCCCTCCACCAGCACCACCACCAAACCCAACCCCCCTTTTCGGCGTCCCCACCCTCTCCAACAACCGCCTCGCCGCGGGCGTCAAACTCCCATGCTGAACCGGACTGCTCGCGAAACGCGGTGTATTTCCATCGTCCCTACCACCACTACTCATACCACCACCACCACCACCACCCCCACCCCCAACCACGCCCAACACCCCCCTCTTATGCAACGCAGCCCGTCGATCAACAAGCCTATGATGCAGATCCTCGCGCCTGCTGACCCTTTGAATCGAGAACGGGTTCGGGGTTGAGTCAGCAGGGCCAAGACGGGCGAGCAGCGCAGACGCCGATCGCGAGTCGGGTTCAGGGGTAAGCTCAGACTCAGGCTCAGCATCGACAAAAGCATAGCCATTCACACGCGGGGTTTCCGCGCCGGAGGAGCCAGGGAGTGAGAGCGAGGGACGGGGACGGCGGGCGATGGCGGCGTCGATGGCGGAGAGGGAGGGGGATGCGGGGGGGATTGAGGAAGGGTGGAGAGGGTCGGGGGCAAGGCGGGTGTTTGTGTAGATTGTGCGTTTGGGGGGCATGAGGGAGCGGGAGAGGGCGGCGTCGAGGGTTGTGGGGTGGGTGTGTTCGATGCTGGAGGGGGGGAAGAGGATTGCGTTTGTGGGGGTGGAGGAGGGGCGGTGGGTGAGGGATGCGGGGCGGGGGTCCGGGGCGTGGGTTGTGCGGATGAGGGTTGTGGTGGTGGAGGAGGAGGGTTTGATGAGGTTGTTGTGCTGCGCTTCGATTGCATTTTCATCTTCTTCTTGTGATGAGCGAGCAGCGTGCCATGCGAGCTGTCGCTTCGACGGGATCCTGTTTCCCGCCCACAGATAGCCGTTCTGCTTCCGCTTCTTCTCGTTCTCCCTGTCGAGCACGGCGTTGAACGACTCGTTGTCTTCGGACGTGTATGTCGCCTGGAACTCGCCGAGCGACATGTTGAGATGCGGCTTCTTGTCCTTCTCTGCAGCTTCGCCCGTCTTCCCTCCTTCATCTACCTGCGTCCGCGGCGTATCACCCGTCCAGCCTCGCGGCGTCTCACCAGCAGATTCCATCGCCCTGGCAGGCGTCATGCTGACGCCTCTGCGCCCGCGTCGTCCGTCGGGCCGGGGCGTCATGACCTCTGTCAATTTCCTCTCTGCCTCTGCGATCCATTGGCTGTCTCGGGAGCTGATCGCGTCGAGGTATTCGTGCTGTGTTTCCGTCTCTAGCAGGCCGGGGAAGAAGTCGCGTTTGATGATGTGGTCGAGTGCGTTGGTGTAGGTGTCTTCGTCGAGGACCTTTGCCGGTCGTTTTATTCGTTTCGGGGGTGGAGGCGGCGGGCCCATGAGCGTGGTGGATGATGAGCGCTTCGTGAGTGCTCTGCAGGAGTCGGAGGCCATGTTGTGCTGCTGCGACTCCTCGAGCGGAGGGACAGGGTGAGGATGAAGCGTGAATGTGTATGATAATGCGCTGCGTGAGATGTCACACAACAGTGCTGACGGAGACAAAGGTGGAGGAAGAAGAAAGACAGACTAGGCAATATGACGCGGGCCGTCAGCCCTACAGACTATGCAAGTCCCCGCTAGCCCAGCCAGGTAATAATCAGGTCCGAGCTCAACCTTCTTCCAGAAATTCCTACACACAACAATCTTCCACGCCCACCACCCTCAAACCCTCACCACCACCAAAAACAACAACAATGCCCTCACTCTCCCCCTCCCCCAAGAAGCCCCCCCGAAAAACCCAAAACCAACCCAAATCCACACCCTCCACCCCCCTCCCCCGCTCAAACTGGACATATATCCACCTCGTCCTCACGTCCACATCCGGCCAACACCACCAACCCCCCCTCGACGCCCTAACAGCACGCACCTACCTCGCCGCCGCCCTCTCGCAATTCCTCGGGCACACGGGCGGCGCAATACCGGTTGATATCCTCGCTGTTGGGACGTCTGCTTACGAGGCCTACGATTACGACCAGCAGAAGCAGCATGACTACGACCAGCAACAGAATGACGGGCAGGGACGGCAGAAGCATGACGGACAGGGAAAACGGGGAGAACAACACGGAGAACAACACGGAGAACAAGACAGAGAACAAGACATGTACATCCGCGTGCCGCGCGAGGACGGGAACGCGGTTGTCGCTGCTGTTGGGGGGTGGGTTGGATCTGGCTCCGGCTCCAGCGGTTCCAGCGGTTCCGGATCTGGATCTGGATCTGGACCTGGATCTAATAGCGGAGGTGCGGGAGGAGGAGGAGGAGGAGGAGGAGTGAGCTGGAGGGTGCGCGCATGGGGCGAGTGGGCTGGGGCGGTGGTGTTTGGTGGGGTTGAGGGCGGGGTGGGGTTATTTGAGGGGGAGGGGGAGTGAGGTGCGTGGTTTTTGAGGGTTGGTTTTGAGCGGAGAGTGGAGGGGTGGATGGATGGATGGATGGACAGAGGGATGGATGAATGGATGAGATACCCGCCGATCATTATCAGGCATGTTGAGCACGACACGAGCACGAGCAGTATGTAAGTATGCATGCACGCAGCGCATCCAATGTACCGTACCGCACGCACGCATACCACCACACATGCACAATAAAACACACCAGTCAGTGAAGAGTGAACAAATAAGTAGTACATTGATCATATGTCGTCATGTCGACATGTATATAATTGCAGCAGCAGCAGTAACCGCACCGCATATGCAGCTGCCCAAGTGACCCAGACGAGTACGCCCCTGTCCAACCGGCGGCATGTAGCCAAAATCAAAGGGACTTTGAGCCCAGCAACCAAACAACAGCAGCCATGAGGAGGAGTATTAGCGCAGGGAATATAAAAGTTTAACGCAGTCAAGTACAATGCAGCAAGACCCGGTGTGGTATATAAGCATTCGCATCCTAAAACCAACATAGCAAAAGGTGGTAGTATCCCCTAGCGCAGATAGGGAGACGACCATGAGTGTGCCTTGAAGAACGCCGATTGTGCTGTGCTGGTGATGCAAGATGGTTGCAGGTAAACAGAAAGGAAAGTTGGTGGTACAGGAAACAATGCGAGCAATCACAGTAGTGTGATGAGGTGGTTTTCATACAGAATCGTCGGACTTGTTCACCGACGCGAGTATATAGAGCGACCCAGGCACATGCTGTCCTGTATGCAGACTTCTTTGTTGGTTGTTGGTCCCGGAAGATAGTGCCAGGCACATGCGGTCCTGTAGCTCTGCAAGCCGTACCCGTGGACGGTCGTTCATGCAGACTTTTTCGGTGGTTGCTAGTCCCGGACGATAGTGCCAGGCACATGCGGTCCTGTAGCTCTGCAAGCCGTACCCGTGGACGGTCGTTCAGGCAGACTTCTTCGGTGGCTGGTAGTCCCGGAAGATGGTGCCCGGCACAGTGCTGTACTGGCGGTGTCTCTTCTTTGGAAGAATCTGATCACCGCTCGTCGGACCGGCTGCCTTTGGGGGATGGATCTGGAATGCAGATTGATTCGGGTTCGCGTAAGCTGCCGAATGAGGCATTGTCGTTGGGCTTCGCGCGTCCGGAGCAGGAAGCAAGGGCTGCTTGCCCGGGACTTGAGGATGCGCGCTGAACGATCCCTGCATGTGTGTTTGTGGCGGGGGTGGCGGCGCGGGCGTGTTGTTGGCACTTCCACGGCTTCCACGACTTCCTCGCTTGCCGCGACCAGGACCACCATGTATCTGCTGTGGTGTTCGGTGGTCTGGAGGACCTGGAGGACCTGGAGGACCTGGAGGACCTGGAGGAGGGCCTTGCGACCGATGGTCGTGCTGGTACGGATAGTGTTGCTGATGAGGGTAGCCATAGCCAGGGTATTGAGGTGCAATGGGAGTCGGCGGTGGTCCATAGTTCCCTCTACCATGGTGCTGCTGTGTTGGAGGGGGGCCGCGCTGGTCTGTAGAGGGACCATACTGACCAGATGGTGGTCCATGTTGTGGATTCACGTGAGCAGAGTCGACAGGTGGATATGAAGTGCCAGGTGGTGGAGAGCCGTGAGTATGGTATGGGTAGTGTGGCGGCGGCGGCGGTGGTGGGTAGGGGGATTGCTGAGGAGCGTACTGTGGATAGTGTGGGCCCGAATAAGGCTGGTTTTGAGGTGGCCCCTGATACCCGTACTGTGTATGGTGATGATGAGGAGGATGAGGAGCATGAGGAGCATGAGGTGGTGGAGGTGGTGGAGGGTACGGTCCATGTTGACCATACGGAGCCGGCGAATAAGGACCAGCTGAGCGTGGGTCATGTGTAGTTGATGGGCCGGTTGGGCCTTGTTGAGTCCGACTTGGGGGTCGACGATTGGGATCCTCATGGTACACAGGAGGCCGGTCGTGGCTTTGCGAGCGAGAAAGCTGAGTTGCATGGGGTTGGACAGGTCCTTGGGAGCCATGTGAGCTTTCTCGCGTGGAGCTGAACGAGCCACGCCTATCGGTATAGCCGTGCAGCGAATTCTGACTGTGATCCTCACTTCTGTTTCGTGTGTGATGTTGCTCAATCAGAGGCATAGACAGACGAGGCGGCGGGTTGATAGGAGACGGAACAGACTTTGTCGGCGCCTGTGTGGATGCAGAGCGCTGAGGTGGCCCCATAGAAGCACTTTCAAGTACGGGTTTGGAGTCGTCTGGACCCTCCTTTTCGGGGGCCTTGCTCCTGGTCTCATATGGCGACCGGGCGGCTGGACCGCCTCTCTCGAGACTGTGCTGTCTTGTGTGGAGGTGGCTAGGCGACTCGGGAGCCTTGGCGATGGTAGACCAGAATTCCGAACTTGGTCCTGCAGCCGGTTGACCAGCGTGTTCAGCTTCATCCAACGTTCGAATCGGTGGTAGCAATGCAGGCGGTTGAGTTCCGACTTGAGCAGACTTGCCCAGAGACGGAGCAGTAATCTCACGTGCCGGAGAGAGAGGCTTAACCTGGAACGAATGAATGCTTTGAGTCATCGACGAAGATCTTGTCGCGTCGGTTGCAGACTGCTGTAGAACCGGAGGCTTTGCGGGAAAGTCGTGTTGGACAGGCTGGCCATTCGCAAGCTGTCGTTCGTACTTGGACGGCCGGAATGGCGATGGGTTGGGCTCATCTCGGTTCAAGATATCGCCAATCTTTGAACTCGACGGTTTGGGGGTTGCATCCACGGGTGGGTGATGCCCGAGTTGAGGGCTTTCGGTCTGGGAAGGCACCCGCTCGGCACCCTGGTCAGATGGAACTATCCGATCTTTCTCGACTTCAGGAAGGGCTTCCGAAGTTGTTGCAAGCGACATTGAGGCGGACACTACTGACGGCGGAGCTTCAGGCGATTTCTGTGTGTGCGTCGCTGGAGTCGTTGGCATATTCGTCGATGTAACAAACAGCTTCTTTGCAGGCGTAGCAGCCACTGGACCGGCGCTTGCAAACACATCTGCCAAGGCTTGCAAAGCAGTTGCCTTTTCGTTTGGAATAATCTTGGTCACCGGTGGGAGTAACGCTCCCTTCTCGATTGCATCTGCGGCATCGACCAACTGCTGCGCGTTGAAAACCGAAACAGCAAGCTCGCGGTCTGGTAGATTAAAGGTAGCAAAGCCCTCTCGTCCAGAAACTACTTCATCATCGTAGACATCCGGGTTCGCTTGCATAAAGGATCGTCGCATCTGGTCGAGTTCGTGCCTCTTGGCCGCCTGTTTGGCAAAGTTTTTGGTGTCGCAGAACAGCTTGGCTCGTGAAGTGTGCTTTGATGGCATGGGAGCATGTGACTTGACTCTGTTCTTCTTTCCGTTTAGAAGAATCTTCTCCGGTGGAGGTATGAGATCGAAGTCGGGCTGAGTGGCTTCGTCATCATCAGCCCTGATTCCACGCTCCAATTCGAGTAGTCGGTATTGGATTCTCGTGACAAATTCGTCCTGCGTATCGCGAATTTTGATCGCAGCTTGCTCCTCGAGTATGGCTTGGTGTGCATCATGTTCGCGTGCCAGCATGGCCCTCGTGTGGATGCGCTGCTTCTCCAGATCCGCGAGTTTATCTTCGAGGATCTTATCGAGCTGATCAGTCACATTTTTGTAGTCTGGTAGCTTCTCATGGGCCTCCGGGTCTTCTTCAAGCTCTCGAATCGATCTGTTCACGAGCTCGAGATTGACGAGTTTCTCAAACTTGGCCACTTGACGGTAGCCTACTTTGAGGCCGAGTTGCTGCCGTAATCCGGCCTCGACGTAGTTGTTTTGATGTGGCGCACGGCGTCGTCCAGGAAGTTTCTTCTTCACCTCTGGGACACCATGAGCGACAGCAGAAGTTGCGACTACACCAGGACTTTCGAGAGCCAGCTCTTCGTCTGGTGGATGCAAGGGTGGTGTAGTCTGGGTGCTTGAGGCTGCCGAGTCCGCATTTGCGACTTCTACAGAGCGCCGCGCACGGGTACTTCGACGATTTGGTCGTTGCACAGCTGGCTGGACGTCCTCGACAGTGTCAATGGCTATCTCGTGATCGGCGGCGGCTGCTGCAGTCTCACTCAGATTACCATTGGTCTTGGCAGCAGGGTCTTCCAAGGGCTCGGAAGTACGCTTCCTCTTTGAGGATTTAGAAGAAGAAGACGAAGACAGTTGCGACATCTGTGAATTTGTTCGCGACATGTCAGTCGCATCACTTGGAAGAGAGTCCTCCATGTGGGCATCCGCAAACTCTACAGAATCAAGAGTTGGAGCGGCGGCGTTGGAAGGGTTTGTTGATGCCGCTTTTGCACGTTTGCGCGGCCTCGAAGGGTCGCCATGATCAGAGGGAGAAGTTGGAGAGTGATGAAGAGTGTTCAGCGAGCTTCTGCGACTATCTCCGCTCGTGGCCGAGTTTGTAGCAGATGCTGTGGCCGCTCTGGAACGAGTTGTCATGTGCAGAGGTTCTGAAGGTAACAGACGGGAAGAGCGCGCTGGGCCTGAGCCCGAAGTTGCGCTTTTACTCGCCCTACTAGTCCCTCGCTTAGTCCCTTCTGGGGCTGTGGCTGAAGACGCCGCCATAATTAGCTTACGGTGCTTTCGGAGGATTGCATGATCATCGAGGGAGGGCGAGAGAGGGAGCGAAAGAGAGAGAGAGAGAGGAAGAGAGAGACAGAAGAGAAAAATGGAGTAAAAGAGTGAGGATAATAATTATGCAAGTGAGTTGATGATGATGTTGATGATGATGAGGGAATGGAAAAAGAGAATGGCGAAGAGCGACATGACATACCTGTAGGATTCGCAACAACGGCGCCGTCTGTCTTTGCAGCAGCCCGTACATTGGTAGTCCGACGTCGTTTCATCGTGCACTTCAGGACTCGTGTGTGAGTGAGTGAGTGTGTGTGTGTGTGTGTGTGAATGTGTGTGTCGTAATAGTAGTAGTAGTTGTAGTAGTTGTTGTTAGTAGTAGTAGTAGTAGCTAGCACGCGGCCGTTAGAAGCACTTCTTGTTTCGGATGGATGTCAGTGCCGCCTCGAGGACGACTCACCGATATTCGAATTGCATCGGCAGATGAGCCAAGCTGTACAGTAAAAACAAGATGAATCAGCTGCAGTGTGACGGTTTAATAGTTATTTAACCGTGACGGTAGAAGCGTTTGTCTGCAAATAAGGTCAGCATTGCGTCCGCCCTTTACCGTGAGTGAGCTCAAAGATGCCAGGAATGGTTTCAGAGCGCAGTGCAAGCTCAAGGGAAGAAGAAAAAAAAACAATGATAGAATATACAAGACAAGGCAGTAATGTGATTACCATGCCTCGCAATACCATCGTCTCCAACAAATTGCAAAGATGCCCAGGAATGGGTGAAAAAAGACTTACATATCTCTCTTGCTTTGTTGGTATGTCGCCCGCTTTGCTTTGCCGCGCGAAGGAAATTTGCTCCAGGTTATCACTAACTAACGGACACGCGAACCAAGACGGTCGGCGGATTTGCAGGACGACGGAAGATTTGATGAAAAAGACCAGTCAGAGGCAGAAGAGACTCCTGACGGTTCGAGTGAAGATGAATGAGCAGAGAACTTTTTTTGGAAAGGGTTGGAGTGGGTGTAAACGTGAGAGGAGTAATTAGCAGGAATAGAGAGCAACAAACCCTTGCGGAGGCGAACTAAAATGCTCGCTCGCGTTGCGCTGACCCCGGCGGGCTTCACAGGCGTATTTTTTTGGCGGAGTTGAGCTCGACGACGACAAGAGCAAGACAGAGCGGGGGGATTTAGCAGCAAGAGTAGTAGTAGTCAATAGAGAAGAAGAGCAGAGAGATAGAGATAGAGTGAGTTGTAGTAGAAGATTCGGAAAATTGGTTCTTCTGAATCTGATGCTGCGATTCTCTTCTGTCTCTCTCTGTCTCTCAGTCTCTCTCTCGGCTCAGTGGTTGGCACAGTAGTTCCTTCCTTGTCCACGGCCTTTCCGCTTTCGGAATGCGCTAAACAACCTTTCAGCCAACCAGAAGGCCTAAAGCTCAGACGATTCGCCCGCTGTTGCAGAAAAGTGATAACAAGCGGTCGTCTCGATATATATATATATATATATTATTCACTTTGCTCGTCCGTCCTTCCACAGTCTTACACTCAAGCAGTCTGTGAGAAGTGCACTTATCTCATGCAGGCACCACTCGACGCTGCTCTGCTCTGCTGCAGCCCCAGGACCTCGAGACTGACTGACTGACTGACTGATCCTCCGGTGACACGCTGTCATCTATTCACCATCCCATCCTCCATCCAACAAAACCCCAAGTCTCTATTCACAAGCCACCTATGCCCATTCTACTTCCCTAATCGTCAACTCGCAATGCCCATGTCATTTCATAATACCTTGAACATGCCTTGACGTCACTTAGTCGAGTTTGAGCTGGTTTATTTGCATATCCTGACTAACCACTATACTACTACTACTACTACTGTGGACCTTACCTTACCTACCAGGGACCGGACCGGACCCACTTTTCTGTCGCTGCCAAGGCCCATCACCTGTACCTGTACTCCTAACGAAACAGAAGCCTGTGACCATCACACGACGACAAAGTTACAGCCAACCTATGTGCACGACCTTCCGCCTGATTGAGATCTTGGAACAGTACACATACATGCATACATGCATACATGGAAGTACCTACTTTGTCTGTCCTGCGCAAGCTACCAGACCAACTCGATGCCTCGCGAATTGATGCGCCGTGTGTTTACTTAGACACGCCACCTAATTCGTCATCGTTGGACCAGGGCAGGGGATCAGCAGTTTAAAGATATTAACTTTCACCATACATACATAGTGATATCTACCACTCACTGATAACTACAAACCATGTCTCCGTGTTCAAATCTCAGACCTCGCTTCGACAGCGAGAGAGAGAGAAACACACTGCGTATCACTATTGTTTATTGATAGTTCGGTTCCTGCTACTTTGTTACAAGATAAAAAGCCACTCATGGGCGCTGTACATGCCATGCCCTCAATGGCTTGAGCCAGACAATCGCATGCACCATAACTCCGCCTATCATTCCCCAAAAAACACCTCTCGTTATAGTCCCCTCAGTGATCCCTGTACCCTAAAAAAGAAGCGCCTCGCTAACGAGCATTGACCTACTTGGTTCCTCTCCGATATCTTGATAACGGCAAACCACAATTACCTGCGACGAATGACTGCCTCCAATAATTACTCCCGCCTGCAATGCTCCAAGAGGGGTGGATAAACAAAAGAAGAAAAGAACCACATCCCTCATATCTCATACATGGCGGCACAGCCACCTCATATCTCTACAGCTCCGCATACATATTCCCACAACAGTCATGTCACCCACCTCTAAACCATAATCATGAAATGCCAAGCGGACTCACACTCACGCCACCACTGTTCGACCTCAATCGGTCCTCATGCAGGCTCTCTTTTGTAGGTCGGCGACTGAGCGGTCTCGATATCGGCTGGCTGCTGTACGGTGCTGCCGTGATCACGGTACCTGGCGTTGCTGCTGGTGGCGGCGTTGGTGAGTCCCTCCGGAAAAGAGGATGGATGTGCATCTGGCTCATCGTAGGGCTCTCAAGCTGCGCTATTGCTGGAGGTGGCTTCGGAGACATGACCACATCTTCATGTGAGCTGCCGGCCGGGCTCGGAAATGGACCGTCCAGTGGCTTTGCTGGTGAGGCTGGTCGACTTCCTGGTATCGGTTCAAGAGCTGTGCCTCGAGAGGGGCCAGAAATCGAATTGGGCGACGTCGCAGACGGCATCAACGCGTCTCTGTAATGTTGCTCCACTGCAGACGTGTCCCACGTATCGAATCCATCCGATTGATGTGGTCTCTCACCGGCTGATTTCTCGGACGTGAAGCTCGAGCTTCCGACAGGAGTTGACGGCTTGCTCACAAGTCGACTTCTTGACGTGACTGGTCGTACGACTTGCTGAATAGACGAACGTAATGAGTCAAATGACTGTGAAGATTTGCGAGATGCTGAAGCTGAGACTGGCCGAGCGTCACGAGCGAATGGCCGAGCCATCTCTTGAAGTGACGTTGCCGGATTCGGCTTCCGGGTCCGGGTGCTTGAGATGACGGAATCCCGAGGACCTGCGTTGAGTGTCATGTTGGTTGGTCCCGTCATTCTCCATCTGCCCCAGGAGACGGAAATGTACATGACGCCCTGGCTGAACGTCGCAAAGCCCCAAACAATGTATTTTATGTAGCTTGGACTGAGCCACCACGCCGGAAGATGATCAATGACTTTGGCAAGGTTGATGTCTACCAAGACATAGCTTGCTACAGTCGATCCAACTGACAGAATCGACATGATGATGCAGCCTGGGACGAGATACGTCTTGCGATTCGCAGAAGCCCATGTCCACTCCTTACCCAAGAGCGAGATTGCAGCAAACAAAATGATTGCACCGAGACTAAGCAGGTCAAAGACAGCTGCTGTCGCTGTTACCGCCAAGAAGCGATATGATGTTTCTGCCAAAGCTACGGTATCGACCAAGGTCAAAGCCGCAGTGGTCGCAGCAAAGATCCACGCCAAAGCTGCTATAATACGCAAAGCCGTTCGGCTTATGCGATCCGCATCTAATGGTGCCTCCATGTTTTCTACCTGTAGATGATGCAAAGAAGCGAATGAAGATAAATAAGTCTGGTATAGGCCTGGACCGTGGTGTTGTCGGTCCAATCGGTGGTCGAAAATACTCGTTACCCGTTCTACTAATGGCCGAATGATGAAAAAGCCATAGCAAGCAAAGGTCTGATATGTCAAAAAAAAGAAAGTGAACGTCGTCTGTGGTGCGGTTTTACGACTGCGAAGTAGACCAGGCTAAGCACGCGAGGTAGCTAGGGATGAAGGCGGGTCCACGCGTCGAAAGAATGAAAACAAGATGTTATTTTGCGATGGGATCTTTTGAATGAAGTATTTGGCAGAGGAATGGCGCTGACCTGTGTTTGCGTTTCACAGTCTCGGATGTAGCTGAAGACCAGTTTGCAGAAGTGGTTGTTTCCAGTAGTCCAGGATGCTTGTAACGTGACAAGGCTCGGAATAGATTGTAGAAAAAAGGGAAACCGTTCGGTTGGACGGTGGTGGGTATAGTACAAATATAACGGAGTAAGCAGCGTCAGAGTGTGACACGCAGCACGGTGAAATCGGATCGGAGGATTTAAGGCATTTGGGGGTGGGGATGCGGGAGAGAAGTGATGTTATGGTCGCGATCGCAAATCTAAGGAAACGCGTCAAAGCGTGGTGTTTATTCTACCAGGATGAACCCAACGGCAAGCCATGCCGCCATAGTGTGCGGCGTGGCACTGGTGGTGTTGTGGTCTGCCGCTGCGACTTGGCCTGCATGCCGGTCCACACTTCACACAGGGCTGAAGCCTACCACTTGAGGTTTGCGCAATTGCCCCTAGTCAGATGGCTTGCTAATCTTATGTCTGGATCGTGTCATGCCCCTTTGTAGTTTTCTATCTTCGCGCTGGAACCTTCATGTCAAAGTCAAATTCCCACCAGGTTTCGACTTTGGAGGGGCCAGAGTTGGGCTCTGGCGCGGCTTTACCAGCAGCTTGTTCATAAGTTACTGCTTCGGCTCAAGGTGTAACAGACGGGAGTAATTGCCGAAGGGGACGCGAGGCAAGGTTCGGAGTGTCCAAAGGGAGCCTGTTTCCGTGCCCTCAGAGACACAATTCCGAACTTTGCAGTCCCAAGACATTCCAGCGACGTGCAAGCATGTATGATCGGGGCGCACATAGCAACAGGTTCGTGTCAGATCCCCGTGGTCGCCAGCGTTCTCGTCTGCGGCCTAGGTGGCTAGCTAGCATCTTTCACTATTCCGACCCCAAGAAATGTAATCTCCGCACGAACGCGTCGCGCAATGCTGGTTTGTGCCATGGAACTAGCAGGGCTGTCAGCTCTCAATCGCTAAAGTCGATATATTCATTCTCGTATGTCTCTCCATCTAGTCTTCTTACTCCTTCCTCGACAGCGTATCAGCATAGTGAGGTTGAATCGTAGCACAGAGGGCGGCTGTAACACGAATAACTTTGTACGTATCACGAGGCTACGACTTGACAGCGAAGCCAGCCTGTCGGGAGTGAGTCAGTAACAGCATGGTGCGTTCATGACGAGCCCTTGATGACAGGCTCAGATTCCAGATCTGGCTAGATCCGTGCTCGCTGCAGTACGGGCCGCGATGATCAAGAGACGAAGCGACGATCTGCCTTATGGCCGTGTGGCCCTTTGTCAATCTCTTGACGCTGGTGAAGGAACAGAAAGGGCCGCCTTGTGGTCTCCATTTGCTATTAACGTTCCTGGCAGCAGGATTCGATTCCGCCTTTGAATACAAGCTGAGCACTGGCTACAGCATGGTAGAGGAATGTTGTGGCTTCGTCACATAGCCTTTGCTCAAACGACTTGACTTTGAGTATGTTATCCTCACTGGGTCTCAAAACACACAGAAGCGTTGCAGGTGGGTCATTATTCGAAACAGCAACGACGATAAATTCGACTGAAGGATAGCGGTGCGGATCGAGCCTATACAAAGGCGCCAGAGCTGTTCATGAGTCGCGGCAGGCCGTTGCTCGGTGATGCAAGAATAGATGGCTGCGTTATTATCGTATATAGAGTTTCGTTGCGTGATGTGCGCATCAGCCCGTGGCAGCTGGCGGCTGGGCGAACGCCGGGTGAACCTTGATGTGCAGTTGGCACCTCAGGCAGTAATACCTCAGGCAGTAATACCTCAGGCAGTAATACCTCAGGCAGCAACACCTCGTCATTTCTAGTGTGTTGTGGTGGGGGAGCTGCGGGCACTTTTGGCAGGTACGTGTGGCATGGCGAAGGTGGCGGCAGTGGCAGTGCCCAGTAAATTAGTGGCAGTGATGGTCCTCTCAGTCTATCATCTGGTATCCATGCATCACTTTCACCTCCACCTCTTCGTTGGCCACTCACTCTAAACACATATCCACATCACAGAACACTGCAGTCAAAACATTCTTTTGGCCTCGTTGCTACCACGCTGTCAGCCGTCGACCTTGAACACCATCTGGTCCTAGGCCCCAGCATAGTTGCGTAGTCAACCTGCCCGCTATCCCTTCGTCTTCCCCACTTGTTCCGAACACACCTTCAACCACTACCTCCACAAAAAATTCGCAAACATGAAGCTCACTTTCAAGGTATGCCTCCTGCTTATCACTGTATACTCTACAAGACTCGATAAATCTGACTCGACGATAGGATCTAAAACAACAAAAGTTCGTTATCGAGGCCGAGCCCTCTGAAACGGTTAGCTATCTTCTGCGTCGCGACGCGACAGTCTACATTCTCGCTGACGAACTACATAGATCTCAGCCGTCAAGGCTAGGATCTCGGCTGAGAAAGGATGGGAGCCCTCACTGCAAAAGCTCATATACTCGGGCAAGATCTTACAGGATGACAAAACCGTTGAATCGTACAACATCGAAGAGAAGGGTTTCATCGTCTGCATGGTGTCCAAGGTATGTAAAATCTCAGCGACTGGTCTGATAGTATTCTCACATCCTACAGCCCAAGGTAGCTGCTGGCGCCGCGTCCGCTAGCAAAGCTGTTCCCTCAACTCCTGCCCCGGCAACTATCCGAACACCTGCTGCACCCGCCCCAGCTGCGTCATCGACGACGTCCAATGCTCCAGCCACGCCATCGCCTGCTCCAGCTGCCCCGCAGACTTCTGAGCAAAATTTCAATGACCCATCTGCTTTGACTATGGGGAATCAAAGAGATGCGGCTATTGCAAACATGGAGAGCATGGGTTTCGAGCGTGCAGATATCGACAGGGCCATGCGAGCAGCGTTTTTCAATCCCGATAGAGCTGTCGAGTACCTCCTAACAGGTATCCCCGAGAGTGCTTTGAGGGAGGAACAGGCCCGAGCAGCTCCTACACAACCCACCGCTGGAGCTGCAGCACCGCCGGCAGCAGCAAACACTGGCGCTGCCACTTCGGCCGGCAGTGACGAGCCTGTCAACCTATTCGAAGCTGCAGCTCAAGCTGGTCAAGGAGGCCGTGGGGCTGGGGCCAGAGGTGCTGCTGCAGGTGGTCAAGCTGGTGCCGCCGCTGCTGCGCTTGCCGGCTCTGCAGGTACTCCTGGTAGTCTCGATTTCTTACGCAACAACCCACAGTTCCAGCAGCTACGTCAAGTTGTTCAACAGCAACCGCAAATGCTTGAGCCAATCCTACAGCAAGTTGGTTCTGGCAATCCCGAACTGGCCCGCCTGATCGGCCAGCACCCCGACCAGTTCCTCCAGCTTCTCGCTGAAGATGGGGACGAAGATGCTGCACTTCCGCCAGGTGCTCAAGCAATCAGTGTGACCGAGGAAGAACGCGAGGCCATCGAACGCGTAAGTCATATGTAAACTTTTTGTGTAACGATGTCTAACCGACGACTAGCTTTGCCGACTTGGCTTTGAACGTGATCTCGTCATCCAGGCTTACTTTGCGTGCGACAAGAACGAGGAGCTTGCGGCGAACTTTCTCTTCGATCAACCTGACGATCAAGATGACCAGTAATTTCCACCTGCCAATATCCCTCTAAAGTATACTCTCGACGCCATCAGCACATAACTTGTTCTACGCAATGGCGTCTCAGCATCCTCTCAAATATCAATGACAGCTTTTTGACGTGTTTACCATACTGCGAAGGCGTTCTTTGCTATTCTGCGAACAAGAGCGAGCGGTGTCGTTACGTGGCTCCCTAACCATCTTACGCCTTCCTCAGCGTAACAAGAGGACCTAGGAATATGTGATATGTGAAGCCAAATGAAAGACGTATTGCGCGTGGATAGCTTCGTATCACATAACTTCGGGTGAGATGGTGAATTACAAAAGAAGAAAATATAATATCTTATATTACACCCAGTGTCTACCTTGCCCTTGTATGTCGATCCCATTGTCCGAATAGCGATAACTTGGAGTCACACACACCAAACACAGCAGCCAATCCACTACGTAATGTTCTAATTTTAGCGATCCCTAGGGGGGAAAGGTTCCAGCCCTGGCAGGGATCTTGCGTTGACGAGCCTCAGCACACTTCCACTTGATAATGCGCTGTATTTTGTATACTAGCTGCTATGGTATCATACCGCAAGCACAAGAAGATTCCGTAAAGGAATCAGACGCTCGTGCAGCACACAACCCTAACCAAAACACCCCTCCCCTTGATCTGGCCAACACTGACACGTCCCACCACAAATTCATTCCGTCTTCCCATAAAACATTAAATTAAACTAATTTTCCTCCCACTCACGTCCAGATCCGCCGACCACATACTCCTCCCCGTATTCGAGTTTGCATGAAACACCATCTTGTACCCACTCTGGCCCTGCACATTCCACACACTCGCGCCTCCTGGCGCCGTCAGTCCATACATGCCCGTTATCAGCAGCGGCGCATCACTCTTCGCATACGGACCAGCCACCCCGCTCTCCGAGATGGCATAGCTGACATCATACATAGGACTCGTGTAGCAATTACTACTAAAGAACAACGCGTGCCGACCATCGTCAAGACGGATAATACTAGGCGCCTCGACAAGCGGACCGTCCGCGACATCACGGTCCAGAATCTTGATCGCGGGGCCGACAAAGGTGACGCCGTCTTCGGCGACGGGCTGTAGCATTATGGGCGTGGACCGCGCGCCGTCGCCGTTGCCGCAGTTGCCGCCGGATCCGATGGCGTTGCCGTCGATTTTGTAGGCGATGTAGCGTGAGCCGTCGGGTTCGCGGAGCCCCGAGGCGTCGATGGCGCCGCCTTGGGAGAGCGTGGTGTCGCCGCAGATGAGGGCGGTTGGGGCGGGGGTGTAGGGCCCCGTGATTTGGTAGGAGGTTGCGTGGCCGATGCAGTGGAGGCGAGGGGTGTTGAGGGCGGAGTAGTAGAGGACATACATGCCGTCGTCCTGGGAGAGGGTGAGGGAGAGATTCAGGAGGATAGGGGGGGGGCGGAGAGCGAGATACTTACACGTTTTATGACGTCTGGCGCCCAGACCATGGGGTTGCCAGATGCGTCTGTAGTGACCCAGTCACCGAGTCTTGGGAGGGCGTCTTTTATTTGTCCGTTTTCGGTGATGAGAGTCCAGGTTCGGAAATCTCGAGACGATGCCACTTGCACGTTGCGGTCTCCTGAGCTGGTACTGAAGGAATACCATGTGTCTCTGATCTTGATGATAGACGGGTCTGGGAAGTCTGCCGAAAGGATTGGGCCTGTTGGAGCTGCATTTTCTCTCCTTTGGACGGGTGAAGATATTACTAATGAAACAAGACAGGCAAAGAATGCGATTATGCGAAATGAAGACATCGGAACGGTCCGATAGGCTTAATAGAACGAAAGAATAGCAGTTGGAGCAGATTATGAAGTAATGAACGACAGCCGGATTTGCGGGGGGCTGGGTAAAGAGAGACGTGAGCGATCAGAACGATTGACATACACGACGAGGGCCAGCTCACACTTTTATGTGCCCGTGGAAGGGGAGAATACATCCGTGGTACTCATCACCGCAGGTACGTAAGTCTACCCACATATCGCCGAGAGCCTGCATCCACAATGGTCCGCCGATACCAATATCTTCGGGCGCGTACAGTAGTGACACCCGAGAGAAACCATAGTGGTTTTCAGGCAATGATGAATGGCGAATAGCCACCTCGCAAGTAAGACATGTCTTCTCGTGCGAAGTCGGGTATGTGGATAGCAGGCATCTTGTGGCGAAGCGCGGAGTAGTCGATTGAGCGGAAAGCTGATCCTTGGGAGCGATATCCAAGCAAGAAATGCCATGGCATCACTTTTGCTTCCTCTGCCAATTTGTGAACATATCAAGGCTATGATAGAGCCATCTTCATTTTACAATGGCAAGCCCTATGTGTTAGCACCTATGATGCGAGACAACACGTTATCGCCCGTGTATCTAAGTCGCTTGATCCGGTAATCAGTTGGGATAAAGATATCTTAGAGTGCCGTGTGGCGCGTACACGCAGCTTCAAAGGGGCGCATCGGAAAGTTTCTTGATACACCACATCATTTCGGAGAAAGCGTCACCATGAGCTCTCCTTGATGATCGAGACCAAGAGTCGTATTAGCTGTTCAAAGTAAATATTGAGAGGCTGGCATTGTATAGCAGTATAAGGACCTGAAATCTCGCATGAACGAGCTTGGTATCACTATGGTAGCGTTGACTCGTTTTGAAGGACGATCTGAGGGTCATGCCCACTTTTTATTCTATGGTTCCCACGCGGTATCTGAGTCTTTTGATAACGTTTAGGGGAGTGTTCTCAGCGAAAATAAAGAAAACCATGGCGATATGTGGATGAACGGAGGTTGGAGGAGTGGTTCGCGGTTGTGTGCCGGAAGAGACAGAGAGTGGGGCAGTCTTTATGCCTCAGGCATAAATATGTCTTAGTAATAACCTTAATCCTCGACCGCAACAACACACTCCGCGTGCGATGCAGCATCCAAGCTCCAGCTCCAGCTCCAGCGCCCGCATACCTACGATACAGTACACTCACTCTTCCCTATACATCTCTCCACGTCCCCACGTACAACTATACCAAAGACAGAAAGACGTTCACGACTACCCGCCCTAATCTGCATACAATGTTGTCTCGCTAGGTCCCGCATCGATCATGGTCGACCTTCCATACCTCTCGACATCAACCGCCAAGAATATCTGGCTGTACAGTTGGAGCGTGCTCCAGCATGGACGCTACCCTGAATGAAGACCTGTCATCTCGCAGGCTGAGCAACCGCTCAGGTCCTGTTCCAATGGCTGTGGACGAAGCCGAAATGCTTGCCATCCCATTGACAGATCAGAACGAGTTCTCCACAGCCGGAAATCCCAACAAGCCTGGCCTTGACACGGTGGACCAAGAAGGCCTTACACTGGAGGGCGAGAAGCCTCATCTACCACAGGATGGCGTTGCTTTACCAACAAGGCCTGGTCTTCGGCGTGAGAAGTCTGCTCCTCCTCCGGCGGCGCCGCAATCTTTACCTCCACCTGCCCCGCCTGCGTCCTCTACAGACATGTCACAATCTACAGACTCGCTGTCTGTGATGCAACTCCGACGGCTTGTGGGCGACATGCCGACCGTTGAGCCGACACCGTACGCATTCGAATACAAAGATGCTTCCACGTTTGCCGCAGAATTGGAAGAATGGTTTTCGTATAATGTAGAGGAGCATGCTATGATACTCAAATGTCAAGCGGAATTCGCGAAACAGTGGGAAGCATTCTTGGGCGAAGAACATCGACCTGCTGTTGATATCGATCAAGGCTCTTCGAACTGGTTGAACACGTGGAAAACACACCGGGTTCGGTTCGTGCTGAAGGCTAAGGATGGCCTACGTACCGACGATCATATTGTGCGGCTCAGTTCACTGGAAGTCTTGACAAACATCGCCCTTGGATGTTGGTATGAGACAGCGGGTTTGTCAGCTTCCCCGGACATACCAGAAGAAGGTACAGACCAGGACCAGGTTGATGGAAAAGGCGATCCCGGCTCCAGCTTTGTTAAGTCCGCCCTTCAGATACAATTAATCAAGTCGAACGTCCGAACTATCATCGACTGTGGTTGCATTCCTCTTATTTACGATGCCATGCGATCCTCGTGTCAACTAGCAAGGTATGGCAGCTTAGTCATTCAATTCGGTTTTGGCTAATTTCCTTCCAGTTGTAGAGATGTGACAGCTTCTGAACCTTCTCGAGATCGGCAAGAATCCGATCGACGTGAACTATGGTGTTGTCTCACATTGATGTACATTATTCTCGACTTTGCGAGGATTGAAGCGACCAAGCAGCATGAAACTAGCACTCGATCGCGTATTCGAGACCTAGAACCTGACTTACTGGTGTGTCTTATGGAGTATATTTCGCGCATTCGTTGGGACGACACCGTTCCTTTGCCGTTGCCGAAAATGCTCCTGATCACCTGGAAAGCCATCCTGGTCTGTTTTGGAGGGCTGTCCGAGGTTGATAAGGCCAAAAGCTCCTTTCAAGATCCCTCGGTAGACCAAGAAGATCAACATGGACGTCCTCTTATCACTGCATCACCACTGGACTACCACCTCTTCCGTCAGGAAATCAGCTCCAAGTATCCTGCATACAACCCTCCACCACCGCTCTTTCCACTTGAACCGGAAAACAACTCCATACTTCCACCACTGAAGAACCATCCTAGCAAGGCAGCTGGATCGAACGTTTTCGGGTCTGCAGTGAATGTGAACGCAAATGGGACATCAATTCTCCATCAGCCAGTACATATTGCAACTCCTGCGCCGTCGCCCCCGCCCTCTCCAGCCGGGCCTGGTGGCAAGGGCGGAAAAAAGCAGAACTATCAGACTAATCAGCTTTTCCCTTTCTTATATCCACCTTTGGATGAGAGTAGCAATAATCTCGGTGGGAAGGGTACTACGGACTTACAGGATCTTCTTGTTGGCCGACGCTGGGATGGATCTGATATCCCTGCATCAATCTTAGAGGCCGCCCAGCTTTTCTCGACAAGGATGCGTGCTTCGAGATCAATGAAGCAATTGTGGCAAGTCAGAGTGCAGTTCATGAAATATGAACGCGGTTGGCTCAGTCCTGGCGACGACTTTGACGGCGACGTCGTTCCATTGGACTTGTCCAAAGAGCAAACCAAGCCCGTGAAACCCAAGGCGACCGTTAGGAGAACGCGCGCAAACTGTGGAAGTCCTGAAGAGCGATTGGAGGCTGTAGAGAACTTTTACAGAGATGCATTACCGCAACTACAATCGCTCATCATTGTTTTGATTAGGGTCATATTGAACCATGTTACGACGCTCGTCACCCAAGCCAATGGTGCCAACGGGTTGCAAAGTGGGTTCCAGTTCCAGGAAAATCAGAACGGGAGTGCAATTCCCAAACCTGAGATGAATGGCGCCCTCAACGGCACATCAAGCGATTCAGCATCTGTAGACGAGATTGATGCTCTCCGGTCGCAGGAGATCCTGGACAAAGCACTCACTGGGACTCTTGTCTTGCTACTGAAATGGTTCAAGGTATCTCGTAAGTTACTCCTCTTCATTGATGCAAGCCTTCAGGATTGACCCAAGACCGTTAGATATTCTCAAGTACGAGTACCTTACTCAATTGCTTGTCGATTCTAGTTATATACCCCTTGTCCTCAAATTATTACAGCTCCAAGAAATCGAGAGGGTGGTCAACTATAATTCTGACCGCGACGAACTCAAGTGAGACCTCCGAACCTGTCTGTAGCTCAGTCCTAATCCTTCTCAGTTTCTTCACATTCTGCTACTCCCGCTCCCGTCATGCCGAAGACGAAGCACCTCCTGGTCCAATCGAGCCCACAGAAATCGACGACTCTTCAGAAGACGACGCAGCACCACCTCCTATCAAGCGCCAACGCGACCCCGACGCTTCCGTCATCAACGATTCTCCCGAGCCTATGATCGCGAAACAGCCCATGGCTCTGCCCGAAGTCGACGAACTCGGCTTCCCCACCTCCGAACTCCCCTCGGAGCCCATCACGACCTTCTCGTGGCGCGCCTTCTACACTTCCATCAACTACCTGCGTATCATGCAGAAGATCTGCAAATCAAAAGCGCATCGCAATCTCATGCTTGTCAGCTACAAGTCCAGCCAGGTGCTGCGCAAGTGTCTGCGCGTGCCGCAGCCTGCACTGCGGCTGTACACGCTTAAGCTGTTCAAGAATCAGGTACCCTACTGTGGCCGTAAATGGCGCCAATCAAACATGCGCGTCATTACTGCCGTGTATCTACACTGTCGTCCGGAGCTGCGCGACGAGTGGCTGAGCGGGGGGGACGTGGACGCTGAAGTCGATGAGAGTGTGCCGTTGGAGCAAGCACTTCGAGCACTGACGCATTGGTGGAATCTGAGACACTACCCAGAGGCGATGGGCGCAAACGAAGGGGTGTTGGAGGAAGAGCGAGATTTCTTCAAGAGGGAGCTCGAGAAGATGCAGTTTGGAGATGGGCTTGGCAATGGTGAAGGGGGTGAGGGACAGGTAGGCAGTGATGGGCAGTGGGAGGGACAGTTGGAGGGATGGTGACTGTGCGAGAGACCACGGTCCGTATAGCAGTCTCGTTGTTGATACCTCTATTCATTCAAGTCACATGATACGTACATCCACTGTTACTGTTACTGTTACTGTTTCGGAAGGACCAAAAGAGCAGTAATTAGCAGTCGCTGCGCCCGGTACCTGGCTCAGGGGCTACTTAGTCCCATTGGCTTTGTTTCGCTGCACCAGAACTGGACGACGCCCCAGGGATCAAGGCATGATACAATAACATACATACCCTGGTCCTACCCTACCCTACCCTACCCTACCTACACTACCAAGGATCCCCGCCAGCGCCACCTTCCAATTACATCTGGTGTAATGTTCCTTCCTTCCTTCCTTCCTTGCTGCCTTCCTTCCAGGCATTTAATTATTAATTACGACTTTTTCGTTCCCCGTTCCGCTTCGGCCGCTATTTCCCCGATGGCGCTGCCCGCACACCCCCGCGCGCGCGCGCCTTGCGAAACGGGGTAAATGCATTTTTTTTGCAGAGTGCATTTCAAGATACCAGGGTTTGGCTTATTCAATTATCCATCGTTACAATAGTGTTGTTTCCGAGGTTGGGATGGGATACCCCTTGAGTCGCGAGCCTTGCATGCAGTCTGCCTATATGCAGCGGCATGAGCCGTTGTGTTTCTGTTGGGACCTTCCTTTTTTTTTCTTTTTTTTTGGTCCTTTTTGCGCTTTGTGCTTTGCTGGGGCTAATTAATCACTACCAACACTCTACTAATATGGATTTGGAGAGCGTAATAAACTCGCTCGCTCGGTCGAGGGGGTCATCCATGGCACCAGCGCAGCCCGATTCGGAATGGGGGATTCATAATGACTTCTCAGGCCAGTCAGTATAGGGAGCAGTAATATATATATATATATATCATCATCATCATCATCATCATCATCATCATCATCATCATCAGGGCGTGCCGAACGTTTCGTACCCCTGCCTACGAGTAGCATTTCGATCGCCGAGATGATTGATGGACGCGGACGAAACGTTCCTTTTGCCTTACTTGGGCGGACGTGTGGTTTCTTCGAGGGATAGATGGGTGTTATTGGCCCCTGTATTGAATCATCCCACGTATGGAGTAGTAATACTGGGGTGGTCGTCTGGTTGTCGGTCGGTAGTAGTACGTACTCCTCACGCGCAAGCTTTCTCCGCTGCGGCAAGAATCTGGGTGAAACTGATATTCTCCATCTGACACGCCGATTTCTTTAAGTAAAAATCCTATTGGAGACTTGGGGATTCAGATTCCACTTACCGAGCCAAAAACGGAACTTTTGCTCAGCTTCGCCATCGTGACGCGCGGACTGCCAATCCCAAATGCAACCCGGGCAAGGTATCGCGGATCGTCTCGTTCTGGGCAAGCCTCGAGGACTTTCAGAAACGCTGGGCCGTCCCACGACGCACCGGGTGGAGTAAACTGCTCGACAGCTTTGTGGGTTTCACACCATGTACCTGTCGGGGATAACATAAGTCAGCCATAGTCCGGGCTATATAAGTCTACATTCAATATGATGAACTGACAGTGACCACACTCCTGAGCGTTCCCGGGCAGAGAGTCGCCGAAGTGTTCGGCAAGCTTCCTTGAGAAACAGGCCTTGTCTGAGATCAACCTCACGACTTGATCCATACGCTTGAGCTCCTGCACTTCACGCATCTCCATGTCCTTGTAGAGTGCATCGATGATTTCCTGGCTCGCATTCGTATTTGGGGGCCATTCACTGGGTTGGCTGACGCGAAATACATTCACCACACCACCGGCCGTCAGCTGTATGAAATTTTCATCGTTCCAGGCGTTGAGTTTTGATATAAGCTCGGCTCGTGGCATTCCAGTTTTCGGGTATGCAGATTCCATGTCCACATTGTGATTTGAGATTGCCTTCTTCGTAATCTTGCGTAGGGCAGTGGCCGCTGGCGACTTGTCCCAGTCTGTATTCTTCAGTTGCTTATAGCTGTATTTGGTGTATTTTGGCGTAGTAGCTCGCAGAAGATCGAAGCGAAGTTCTAACTGAGCATAAATGTTTCCAAGCGCATTTGCCTGAACAGTAGTCAGAATCTATATGTGATGTATTGGACTCTGACATCAATAGTCCGATGCGCAATAGTCCCAACTGCGCAAAATGGCAGCATACCTTGATGTCGAATTCCCTCCCTTGCTGATAGAGATTGGCCTCGATATGATTTTCAGGTGGCGCGGAAGGTTTCAATGATAAGACCTCACGTAAAAGTCGGGCCACGCTGCTTTTGCTTGGGAGATCCCCTCGCGCAAATGACTCCCGCAGATGCAGATCATCGGCACACAAGAACAACAGACAATGACTCACCTTTCCGTCCCTGCCTGCTCTGCCAATTTCTTGGCTGTAAGACTCCAAGCTGGACGGTGCTGCGTAGTGGATCACATTGCGAATGTCGGCCTTGTCGATCCCCATACCAAACGCGATGGTAGCAACGACGACCATATCTTTTGAAGCCATAAAGGCCTCTTGACAAGTAGTCTTCTCGTCTGGTCTCAGCCCCGCATGGAAGTGTCTGGTCTTGAACTTGTGCGAGCGCAATTGGTCTGCCAGCTCTTCTGCTTGTTTCTGTAGAGTTACATAAATGATGGTCGACCCTGGGTGAGCCTTCAAGAAAGCTCGAAGTTGAGGGTAAGATTCTTTCTTGGTCATGTACGACTGTGCGTATAGGTGTAAGTTAGACCTATAGGTAGATGTACGAAAGAGACCGGCTTCAGGAATATCGAAAGCTCGGCGGACATCATCGGCAACAGCCGGTGTGGCAGTTGCAGTCAAGCAGACTACCCTCTCGGCGTGAATTTCTCGATAGAATCTTGCTATCTTCAAGTAATCGGGGCGAAAAGAGTGGCCTATACGTAGTGAGTATGCTTGAAAGGATCTCAACATCTTCAAAACTTTACCCCATTCGGATATGCAGTGAGCTTCGTCGACTGCAAGCAGTCGTACGCCACCCCGGACGTTCGCCATACTAGCCACAAAACCCTCATTGTTCAATCTCTCGGGAGCACAGTAAAGTATGTCCAGAGTCCCGTTGCGCATAGAATCAACAGTTGCTAAGTATTCCTCTCGAGACTTAGTGGAATCCAGAACAGCGGCACTGATACCTCTACGGCGAAGTGCATCAACTTGATCTTTCATGAGGGCGATGAGTGGAGAGACCACCAGGGTTATGCCTTGCTCGGCAGGACCTTGTCGCTCCCCCTTCTTTGTGTCTAGAATCTTGAAGCAGAGGGCTGGAATCTGATAACAAAGTGATTTACCCCCGCCTGGTCACGAATTAGAGCTTCCTTCTAGTAATCACCAGGCATGTTCACCTGTAGGGAAGATGATAACGCAGCTATCGCCTTCAAGTAATCTCGTGATTGCTCTCTCTTGCTGAAGCCTGAACGCCTCCATGCCAAAGCGTTGTCTCAGAACATCCCTAGCAACAGTACGAGCGAGTGATTCTGTGGACGTGTCATCGAAGTCCTTGCAAGATCTCTTAGATTCTATGGGACTCTCCGGCTCGAACTTGCGTTTCGCGCCCGAGTAATCTATATTGAGTAGGTCCGCTTCGTCTCCCGACGACATACCGAATTCGTCATCAGACATGTCTACGACGGCTAGATATTGCTGATGCTCCCGAGCAATACAAAAGCAGCGCTATTAGAGCCGGATTCAAAGCTTAATGATATTCAAGTGTCGAATGAATGTTCTGTATCTTGATATACAAATGAAGTATGTGCAGTCAATGTGAAGTAGCTATTATAACAACACGTCAAAGTTGAATCACCTGGGCAGGGAGCTACTATGACCGCGCTAGTACACGCAGTCACATGATGAGGATTTTCATCAATTAATAACAAGTGATTGATTGACGGCCCGAAACTGCATAGAGTCTACATAAAAAGCTCTCTCATGACTCCTCATAGTATGCCAGTAATCTAGTAGTAAATTACAAAGTCCAAGTATACAGCTCGTTCACGGTATACGTAAGAAAAGGCTGTTTTAAATAGGCAATAGACGTGCAACAATTGATTTTGATCAGCTGTAGAAGGTGAATCGCTTAGGAATAAGAACAGCGTTACGTAGAGCGAGGTTAGTCACAACGATCCACTCTGATTTGCAAGCCCGAGAAGTCTGACAGTTTGTATGCATAGTCAGACTGGTCGAGCGAATCATTATTGGCACCCATCAAGAGCATGCACGGCTAGGAGATCATGTGCTACTCTGATCCTGATCGTAAGGTACTGCGTTCAATTATCACATAGACTAAGAGCACCAGCCGAACATGCATACAGGTTGTCAGGAGGGCGTTGAATTGTATTCGGGTTGTACGAGGTGCGATGAACCTTCGGCCCGGCTTGAAGAGGAAATATAGTACAGTGTAAGCGAACTATTCTCGGGAATGACTCAGCTGGACAGGTCGGGAAGCTGTTGAAGGTGTGTGCTAGAGAAGACACCGTCGCTCTCTGCTTCTGAGACGCCGCAGAAACAGCCGTAGAGATTACAAGCCACGAGCAGGCCTTTAAAAAAATCAAAACTAAGGGAGACCGCCCATCCATGATGGCTTCGAGCACTCGAGCGTCCTCCTACACCTGCTCTCTCAGATGCCAATCATTGCCCTTCTTTTGTAGGTCATCAGACTCATTGCATATGAGAAAGAGATTATGCGCGACTATAGTACATCAAATCGCAGAAGATAAAAGGAAAAGGCCGGATCGGTATAGTTAATAACATATGACTCTGCTCATGATGAAACATAGACATTAAAGTATGATAGGACAGTGTCGCGTATCCAGCGTAGGCGCCTGAAAAATTGGCTGTAAAAGTGGTTGAGTCGTTGGTCGCATGACATGTGCGAAATCGTTCTATACGGCGTCGCCGAGTCAAAGAAAAAAGGTGGAGGGACAGAAAGGGTAAAGACTAGGACGAACGCGTTGTGTAGGTGGTTGTATAACACCATTTCGCTCTTTTCGTGCATTGCATTAGACCTCGACGTCTTCCCATGATCGAATGGTATCGTTTTTAAATGTCGTCATAAATGCGTGACTTGTCGTCAGACCGCTTTTAAATTGATAAATCGACAGAATGCCGCCCATGTTAAGTGTGCTTTTCGTGTATATTACGCAAGAAGATGCTCCTCCTCACATCCCGACTGTCTCCTTGAATGAACGTGATGTAGGTGTTTGCTGTGATGATTGGGATTGTGGTCGTGGTGGCGGGGGTGGGGGTAGTGAGGGCGCTGATGAGGCTTGTTGCTGTTGTTGTTGCTGTTGCGGTTGCTGTTGTGAGGTGTGGTGTAGTGGGTAGAGTGTCTCTATTTGTGCCTGCGGTGTTGAAAATTCCTCCGCTCCCTCCATGCGTATATCACGACGTTCTGTGATAGAACCTTGTTCTTCGGGTGGCGCTGATTGATGATAGGGTGCGCGCCCAGTGTCTGGACGGCTTGAGTGCGATTGCCGTGGCGATGCGAGTGGCTGCATACCATGCTCACTATGCCTCTCTGACAATTCTGATCTCGTCGGTCGTGTACGACGCCTCTTGCCTGAAGACGTCTCTTCAACTTCCATTGGTGGTTGTGGTGGGGTGCTGGCCCTCTCAAAAGGATTAGCGGACGAGGCTCCCGCAACAGGAGTGGTTCCGCCATCACTGCCGGTCACAGATGGTCTCGCAGGCTTCTTCTTGTTAGGGGGTGGATACACCTCTCCACGTAGCATCGCATCGTGGGCTCTCTGTTGGGCTTCTGCCTTGGTTGGACGACCTCTCTTCTTCTTGTGGGCTGGTTCCCCCATCGACGAGGCAGCATAGGGTGAACCATACGGATCATTAGAATAGGCGATCGGAGGACGAGGCTGCAGGGGTCGCGCACTGGATGGAGCTAGGTCTGGATGTATCGGTCTTTTCCTGGGAAGATCTTGAACAGGATTCAAGAGAGGCGTTGGTTGAGGCTGCAGAGGTAAAGCGCGATGATCTGCCCCGATGAATTCGCTAAAGGCTGTTTGACATGAGCGCAGAGACCGTCCTAGAGTTTGAGTCAGAATGAAAGTGTGCAAACGGTGGCCGTCTGACGTTGCTATCGCCCTTCGACGCGTCTATGAATCAGGCGCGCGTAGACGGTCAATAGTGGGCGTATTACTTACCAGGAGGCAGGGCGATCTCGGTCCATCTTGGCTGTATGTGATTGTCCCTGATGATGGCGAACAAAGCTGGCGATGACAAAGATCCTTTGAGGATTTCGGCGAACAGATATGTCTGCAATTAACATAATAGGAGTGGTTAGCTATAATAAACAGGGACAGTAGGTAGGAGGCTGCGAGAAGAAGTTTGGTGGGGGTTACCTTTTCATGTTCCGCCCAAGGCGCCTCTCGAGAATGGTCCATAATGTCAAGTCGTTCCCTGGCGTCGTGACACAGGCGAACAGAGCAAATAGCAGACAACGCCTGGGACGCGAAAACAGCGACCATGTAATCCGCAGTTCAATTGGCACTGCGCAGACCTACACACACATACACACACACAAAAGGACGTTTGGGTGTGCAGACAGGTGCGCCGGGGAGGGTACAGAGACGCGCTCAAAGGGAAACGAGTACCGGAAGTCTACAACAGCAAAATGAAGGTGGTGACGAAGGGCAGAATAGACGAGAGAAGTCGAACATGAAGGGGCTTCAACGAGAGTAAAAGAGAAAGGGCTTAGACGCGACGAAAGTCATGTCCATGCAGTCGAAGCAGAGCAGAAGAATTATAGGCGGTGGTCCACCAGGCGGTACGAACAAGACCGTCGTCACCACAGCACATCAAGAGAAGGAGAAGACGCAGAAACGGATGGAGGACGACGAAGAGAAGATCACAGCACGATGCGCTGCGCTCCTCCTCCCACACTACGTCCAGTCTGCTCGAAGAAATTGCATGGGGTATGCACGTCTAGGGGAGCAGGGAATTGAGGGCAATGCACGGCCGAATGTCTTGCAGCAAGTAGTGCATTTGGGCTTACGACCTCCTGTTCCCAGTGTTCCCTCTGGCCTTAATTAGCATCTCTTTCGACGTTTACGGTTTGTGGTCTTCGAACAAAGGCCACGAGGAAAGAAGCGCCACATCCTTTGACGATCATGATGATCTGGCCGTTTCGTCTGCAAACGAAGCGACTGGACGAATGGCAAAACACTCACTACTCCAACCCAGACGACCGTCTACGCGCCGATTGGCGTTGAGAGGGCGGACGTTGTGCTGCGAGGCGCTCGCCCCTGCGGCGCTTGGTCAATCACTAAAAAGACCTGCTATTGGATTCCTAGGCGAGGAGCCGCGCGCGGATACTGGGCGAGAGAATAGGTAGTAGAATGGTATCGCGGGATTGATGATTAGAGGTTAGACACTCATAATCTCTCCTACCACCCACCCATGCAGCCTCTTCGTTTCTCGGTACCAGCTGTTAGGCATGTTTCCTTTTTGGAGCCTGATGCGCCGGACTGGATGCTGATGGACTAACCTGCTCATCTTCACGGCCAATCGGGACACACGCGGCTGTTTGTTTCATCATGGGCAATCAATTTGTTCGACTCCGACCCCCCCCCCCTCAACTCATCGAAAAAGGGCGGAATACTCGAAGATTATTGATTGAGACCTGGACTCTGCATGGATGCCTGCGCGACTTGGGGTTCGGCTTGGATTTGTCCTCTCGACATGTGAGGGAGAGAGAGCGAGCGTGGACATCAACGTGTTGTTGCAAATAGGCTAGGTGCAGTTACAGGTGCCGCCGCTGAGGAGTGGTATGGAATCATGGATGCTGTCAAACGACTTCCTTGTCTCAGATCGCTCTTCGCTTCGCCTTCAACCTTATCGGACATTGCGCGATAGAACACAACCTTGGGAGCCCTGGGCGATATAGGCTGAGCAGGTTGCAGGTAAGTAACTTGCTCTACTGCTCTGTGCAGCTGTCCTCCTGCTAGAGCCTGCATATCCAAGGTCATCAGAGCTCTTTGACACGATCCTGACAGGCTGTCACTGGACGTCTCGGTCGTTCAAAAGGCGCTTCGGCTGATCAGTATGCAGACTCGATTCTTCCTGGGAACGGAGGTACCAACGAAATAGTAATTCCTCCAAGCTTCCATACCAGAACCCCTGTCGCTGTCACTTGGACACTGTCACTGCCCCTCTTTATGTCCCCTGGATCCCTTGAATCCTTCTAGTCCGCCAGGTGTCATCTAGAAGGTGTGAGAGATTGAGTAGTAGTCAAGAATGCATTCTCTTCGCATTATATACTTTCAGACACTAATGCATTCAGACATGTTTCTGATCGCCGTCAACACTCACTGCCAAATCATATAGCGAACTCCTGCAGGGCCAACGCATCATTCCAACTGCCAACACAACTCCTTCTTCCGAGGATGCTCTAGATCAAAGCTTTGGTGCGGTCGGCTCGTCCCGCATTTCCTTCGGTCGTACATTGTAAAATGCTCCTGTTCCATCATACAGTAATACTATTTTCACCGCGCGCTGGATTTCTCGGTGCTTGGATCCCTAACGAAGCATGCATATCCTTGCAAGATGATGGAGCCGGCGTCCAAATGCGCATATTAATTGCGCTCAGCATGACCGCCACTCCGCACAAATTCGTTCAACACCTCCAAAGAAAAAAATTTGATCCTGTGCTAGATATACATTAGTCGGCAGTGGCCGTGGGCTTGCTTACTCCATTGGCGAGTGCATTTCTTCTCATATGTAAATTTGTCTCAACGATACATTGGCTACGAGAACGAATCGGCAGGCCCCATTGGGAGAGAAAACTCAAGCCTCTGAACCCGACAGGCTTTCCTGCATATTAGATGACCCAGCAGCCGATGCGCATGATTATACAACCGCAGGACTCGCTCCTACTCGCCCGTCCATGGTTGGTAAGATAGACCTGCCGTCCTCACCGGTTCAGTTTGAGGAATGTCATCAACATGACGATGTCTATCTGTCTTCCTACATTCGATGGCAAAGTGGGTCACAAGATCATGATCAAACTGTGCTGTGCTTTTACTTGCATGCCAGAAAGAGATGGCCTCGCGAATGTATTACTCATTCGAGAAAGTCCCTTTCTACTGAGCTGTTTCAACTTGGCTGCTGTCAACCACGCAGTACGCCGCGAACGAAGCCACCGCGTGTACGTCGTTACACCTGATGGGTATCACAAGTAGATTTACCAAGACTCGCATAGCCACATCCCATTCCATCAAGCCCAGAGCTACCAAAAGGTGTCGGTCAAATCGTACAGGTCGGCGAGTGCAGGCTCCAGATGTGAGATTCAAAGCTTCGAACTCCCTATTTGCAGGGCGCCCATTCGAAACAGTCCACGGCCCATACTCATGATACGTAGTCTTGATCAAGGTCAATTGCAGCCACAGCATGCGAATGTTCGCTTTTCATTTGCTGTGACCACTATTTAGCTAGGAAGCGGCCAATCACCAGATGCTCTCACGGTTGTATCATAGCAACTGCTTTTATACCTACTCTATCGATGTTCGCACCGTCGAAGTCATCAATCCACACATGTCTTGTGGATCTAAGATTCCCTATTGAAGTTCTCACAGTTTGGCGTCGAATTGAGATGTTGTTGTGGCCCCAGGCTGCTCTGCCAGCCGGAGCCAGAGGTAGCTCTAGCGTATCTTTGCCGAGAGAGCGTCGGAACTTGGACTGAAGTCAGCGTGAGAGCCTGGTTTTGCGTTCCAACCGGCGCTCCTTATTGTTGACTTCAACAAACGACTCGATAAGCCGCATACGCCGCAGCTGAAGACTTACGAGACGTCAAGACAGTCAGCTGCGTGACATCTAAAGAACACCTCTCGGTGCGCCGCTCTTCACTACGATCGGCTAGCACCTTCTCCGCCTGGATGTCGACGCACGCTTCAATTCCCACACCGAGTCCCACCCACACGTCTTCACTCCTTTGTATCTTTCGCCTTCTTGACGATACGCGCGCAAATTCTTGTTCGTGAAAATAGGGGCCGGCCCACTTCTTTCAGAGGCTGCCCGTTTTGCCGGTCGAAGGCTACACTCGCATGCACAGACAGGCAATTGGACTTACATGACAATAGAGCCGTGAACGAGACAAGGAGGTGGATTAACTGCTGGGAGCCTGTCGCCTGGAGAAGGTCATGGTGGAGTTATAACCAGTCCTCTGTCTTGCCTGAAGGGATCGCTTAGCGTCCTTTGATTCACGGTCGCGATCACGTCTGCCAGCTCCCTGTCCCGCTCCCTCACCCAACCACACGATATGTCGGAAGATGACGGTGATCGCCAGTCAGCGCAACTAGAACCCGAGCTGCGCGAGATGAAGATTGAAGAAGAAGGTTCTCCTAGTCCTCTACGCACAGATGGCCATCTTCAGTCCCCTGCCGGCCGACAACGGTCCTCTACTCCTAACAGCGACGTCGCTCCGACTGCTCTCAAATTCGCATCAGCCTCGCTGTCACCACACAAGATGGAGAAAGAGTTGCAGTCCCCGGCCACTCCGGCGGAACAGGAGGAAACCATAGGTGGCGAAATTACACTCAAGTTGGAGCCAGGCAAGATTCCAAGACTGGCACGAACAGCGTCGCAAAAGATTGTTCCCCGACCACCGCCGCTGTATAACGATCTTCCGGATAAGACACAAGAAGCCGTTTCTAAATTTCTGGTCCTCTCAGATTGCACTTACACCCCCAAGTACTTGGGCGAAACAGAGCACGCTTTGGAGTGCGACTGTCCAGAGGAGTGGGGTACGTCAGCTGCAAAGCACTGCAAAACCTTTCTGACCATGCCATTTCAATTGGACTAACCTTGCGAGCAGATTCGGCAACGCAAATGAACTTTGCTTGTGGCGAAGATTCCGACTGCATCAATCGGGCCACCAAAATGGAGTGTCTTGGGGAGTGCGGCTGTGGCACGGACTGCCAGAATCAGCGGTTTCAGCGCAAGCAGTATGCCAACGTGTCTGTAATTCAGACTGAAAAGAAAGGTTACGGTCTTCGCGCCAATACCGACCTACGTGAGGGTGATTTCATTTTTGAATACATTGGAGAAGTTATCAACGAAGGCAATTTTCGTCGACGAATGCGCCAATATGATGAAGAAGGCATCAAGCACTTCTACTTCATGTCACTCAGCAGGGGCGAGTTTGTGGATGCAACAAAGAGAGGAAACTTGGGCAGATTTTGCAATCATTCTTGCAATCCGAATTGCTACGTCGACAAATGGGTGATTGGAGATAAGCTACGCATGGGCATATTCGCCGAACGCAAGATCAGAGCAGGCGAAGAATTGGTCTTCAATTATAATGTAGACCGATATGGTGCGGACCCTCAGCCGTGCTACTGTGGTGAACCCAACTGCTCTGGTTTCATAGGAGGCAAGACTCAGACCGACGATGCGCCCAAGCTTTCCAATATCACAATTGAAGCGCTGGGTATCCTCGATGGCGAGGATTGGGACGAGGCCACTTCGAAACGACCCAGGAAGAAGAAACTTGGCGAAGCGGATGAGGAATATGTCAACAATGTACAACCGAAATTATTGGAAGAAAGCGGTGTCACCAAAGTCATGGCCTCGCTCAGACAGTGCAAGGAGAAATGGATCGCTGTTAAGCTTCTGGGTCGTTTGCAACGAGTCGAGGATGAGCGAATTCTGAGCCGGGTCGTCAAGATGCACGGGTACCAAATTATGAAGGCAACCCTTATACAGTGGATGGAAGATTCAAATGTCATCTTGCAGGTTCTGGACGTTCTGGACTCCTTACCGCGCATCACTAGGAACAAGATTCAAGATGCCAAAATTGAGGAGACCGTTGAGAAGCTTGCCACCAACGAGGATGAGAGGGTCAAGACTAGGGCGCTGGCATTACTCGATATTTGGAGCAAACTAGAAGTTGCTTACAGGATCCCGCGAGTGAAGAGAGATCCGAACGCGGCACCAGTCAAGGTGGAAAGACTCGACCGCAGGACTAATGGTAGGGGTAGGTCGCGCTCCAGGTCACGCTCGCCGGAGCCGCCCAAAGGACCGAAAGGACCATCTGTACCTGTTGGTGTTCCATCTGGGCCTAAATCTTCACTGCCACAGAGAAACTTTGCTGCTCCAACAGGTCCAAGGGCTTCCACTTTCAGGCGACCTCCTCCACCCACACTACCTCTCCCGCCTGGTTGGCTTTCGGCTATAGACCCGCGCGGTGGCCGTACGTACTATTATACCCAAGGCGGAGGCGAAACACAATGGACGAGACCGACGACCGCAGCAACACAGCCGCAAGCACCACCCCCACCTATATCTCAGGAGAGATTACACCAGCAAAAGCTCCAGGACATCATCGATGGCATCACTGCAAACTCCACACCGAAAGATAAACCTTTGTCTACGTCTGCCACACCGTCCAACGCCACACCGAGAAAAGACGGAAAAGAGAAATGGAGGAGTTTACCTGAAGAAAAGCAGATGAAAATATATAAAAATACTGTGAGTCTAGGGAACAAGACTATGAAACTAAAGCTCAAGCCGTATTTAGCTGCATCCACATATCAAGCATTATATCGACAAATACAAGCAGAAACTTCCCCGCGATGATCTGAAGCGTTACGGTAAAGAGGTGAGCTTTCTCGACTGTAACCTCCAAATTTGCCTCTTAACACTTCGTGACTACAGATCAGCGAATCTATGACGAAATCTGACTTCAAGCACAAACGAGTGTCCGACCCTCACCATTTGGATGATACCCAAGTCAAGCTAGTGCGCAAACACATTGCACAGTTCTTCGAGAAGGCTGCTACAAAACATGCGCGGCGAGAAGAGGAGCGATCCAAACGAAAAGCGCCAAAACAGAATGATGAAACGAAATCCAATTCAACGAAACCTCATGACATCCCTGCAGCGCCCTCGCCTTTCGCAGCATTAGACCATGACGGCAAAGATGTCGAGCTCGACGACATCAACGATACCCCGTCTGGGTCTGTAAGATCTGGATCACCAGGCCTCAAGAGGAAGAGACCTGCCGACAACACTCCAGAAGAAATCACCGCTCACAATGATATCATATCGCCAAAACGATCGAAAGTTGACACGCCATCACCGCCTCCTCCACCACCTACTGAGGATTCGACGCCGACTGAAAATGGTGCTGATGTCATTGAAACTGTAGCATACCACCCTGGCCACATCAGCGACCCTATGGCCAGCTCGAGCGATCTTGCGAACTGCATGAAAGCTTCTCCATTAGACACCTTGATGCAAAGTCCTACGCAGCTTGCAACGCCACCAACTACGACGAATGGATCTGAGCACGACAGCTGCGAGCAAAACAGACATCTGCCCGTTGTAAGCGGTCAATGACAATTATACTTTACATAATCTTTGTTCATCATCCATATTCGCGCACAATTTGGCGTTCCTGCTCCCTGCATCTACATCGGCGTTAGGGTTCGTACGCATGGCTTCACGAGCCATATTCTCTGTTGACTGTGCGCATTTTATGAAGTCTCTATTTCGCCGTTCATGGCAGGGACAATATGGACAAGGTGAAATCTCTATCATTATTGGGCTATGCATATAATTCTTTCTGTGTAACAAGTATTTGCGGGGTTTTGCTTTGATGCGCCCAACCATCTTTTTGGCGTGCGCTTTGCATAATTATCATCTGGAGCCTGGAAACAAACTGAGATGATTCGCGAGGATGAAGAAGTGCTATCGCGAGTTTCTAGGCGAGCTTGATGAAGCCGCTACGCCTGTAATCACCGGTGCTGGTGATTGCAAGCAAACTTTCATCAGAAGTACAATTACACATGCAGATCGTGTGCTCAACCTGTATGTCTAATACACCGCGCAACCATCATCAGTGCAATCTCTACAAATTCGACATATGTCATTCCAGTACGAAAGTGTGTTGTCTTGAGGCAGTTCAGCCCCCAATTCATCGTCGCCGGTATGAACTTTCAGCACGGTCCAACTTACGTTTCTCAATTTTCAACTTCTGGTGTCCCTGGACTAAGCCTAGTATGAAGCCGGATTTGAGCGTATGGAAGTGGGAATCATCCAGAGGTGCAAAGTTGCCATCAGGCTGCCGGAGTAATTCGCTGACAAAGTGTTGTACAATACTGTCGATTTCTACCTCGGTAGGCTCAATTGCAAACTAATGAACGTCAGTGTCTTGCTTGTATGTGTGTGAGTGTAGACCAGAAGCATTGAGAGAAAGAGCTCACCTCGATGACTAGGGCGTCCATCAGTAGCACAACGATCAATTGGACGTAATCCGAATCTGAATCCGCAGTCACGCCAAAGAACGACGCGATGATCCCGATCAGGCCGGCACCGCGATTATCAGCCGGGATAGGACTCTCGAACATCTGTCTTTTGACCGTGGATACATGTTTGCCAACAACACGCTCGAGGATAGCGGCGCCGTAGCCAGCGTGTACGAGGCGGTTTTGCAGGTCTGCGAACTTGAACTCGTGTACGATGGCGCCGTTGGGGATATAGCTGTATGTTAGGTATTCGCACGTGCCCTTGTCTTTTATGCAACTGTCAGTTTGCTGTCTCGAGCTCGTGCACAGATTGACGAGTTCAACGTACAGTGCATGCCAATGAAATTGCCTGTTGGCTTCAAGCGACGAATAAGGCTTTCAGCGTGATAGGTGTGGTTTGCGATTTTTGCGTATTCAATCACACTGATAGTGGCGGTCTCTATATTCGGCACGGCGCGGCGAAACAGCTCCAGCAAGCTTGTGGACGTCGAAACGAGTCTGTCAACATGAGTTAAGTAAGTAAGTCAGAGGAACAGTAACCTAAACGGAACAGGGGAGAGACTCACGTAGAGTAAGGACGGCTACTGTCCGAGCGCCAGATACTTTTGTCATTATAAATCAGCCCAAATCTCAATTCCTTCCCCAAAGAAAGATATATCTGCTTGGCTGTGTTGGGAGGGGACTTACTGTCGGATTACTTGGTCTTGTAGGCAGATGTCGTCTGCGGTGGGCCACGTCTTACGCTCAAGGTTCGGCCAGGTATCGAACTCTCCTCCGATCAGACCGCGTGCGTCTCGGATTGTGCCAGATGTAGCGTGGTCGCATCGGAATGTGAATCTTGGTCTGTCGAGATGCTGGAAGGGGCTTGCTACGCTGTCTGCAGGAGATGAGAGCGGTGACTCGGGGCTTTGACTTGCTTGTGACGATGGAAGTGTAGAGGGCGTTACTACCAGTAGTGACGCGTCCGAGGTTGGAGAATGGGTCGATTCGTCATATCCGTCTTCTTCCTCATCATCGCTGAGACTGATGGGTACTTTGCTCAGCTTCTTGAGCTGTCTAAGGCGCTTGATAGTCCCGGGAGACCTAGGCTTTGCTTCCTTCGCGAACAGATCCGGCGGGTCGATGCTCCGCGGCACAAGTTCGACAGAGCACATTGCCGCGCAGGCTTCGAGCTCTTCGATCACGGCCTCCCATTTCTCGCCTATGTTTGCGAATGCGGTGTCCCTGTTGACTTGTACCCACGCACGGTCATACTAAAGAAGCTGTTAAGAAAATGCCTCTAATACTGCAGACGTAGATTATGGAGTGGAAGTGGGTTGAGCTGGGATGGGGGAAGTATGCTGATACTCACACCGTACCAACGAAGCTCACTAATGTACTGAGACTTTAGCACGCGGCGCTCGACCACGCTTTTGAAGCACTTATTGAAAACAAGTGTGATATCGTCGAAGTCGTTGGCAAAGTATCGGTACATGACACAAAGGTAAACGCGCTCTTTGTAAGTCCACCTAGGTACACACTCTTAGCAAGATAATAAGGCCAGTCATGCTAGTTGTCTGGTTCCGTACCTTCGCGGCTTCGCATTGGTGAGACTGTGAAGGTCATCACCCGGCATGAAAAGAAGCTTCCGTCGAGGAAGATCTACATCGTCGAGGCCGCCGAACTGGGTATATTCGTCTCTCCACTTGGGGTCTGTCTGGGGAGACTCATATATGACGACATCCGGAGAGACGTGCCTTCGTCGCTTCAGGCTCAGTTCTGACACTTGGTTTGAAAGGCTGTTGGAGCGCTGCGGGACCATGATCTGGACTCGATAACGTCCAGCGGTGCCGGCGTCTTCCCATACAACAGTCATCTTCCTTGAAGGTTCGAGGTCGGACGTGGTAGTACAAGTATATTGGAAAGGACAGGACGCGTCTTGAAGACGCAGAACGGGTGTGAGAAGGAGAGTGAGGGGAAGAAGATGAAGCGATTGCGGAAGTGGAAGTACATGACTTTGTTATAAGACGCGCGCAACGCGGTCGCGTCAAAGTGAACTGAGTGAGTCGCGTTTTCCTCCAAAGAGACGCGACTATCATAAAGACTCACCCACTCATCAAGTGAGTGAGTGCTTGCACAGCAAGGATTGAGACTGAGTCGGGAGGTGGACTTCCTAGTCAGAGTCAGATGGCAGTATATGATGACTCTGAGTGATGATCGTATTCTGTTGAGTCTAACATTCACAAGTCGACCGTTTCTCCGATTCTTAGGTATATTTTAGCGAGTTTGCAGAGGACTTTACCTGTAACCCCAAGGTCTTCTAATATGAGCCAACATGAATGTCATTATGTCATATATGCGCTGAGTAACATCGAATCTGAGATCAATAGAGCTATGGTAGACTTGTAGCAGTCTATGGTTGAAGATGTAAGATATCGATCATACTCAAGAAAGACTGCCATAGCATGTAAGAAGAGCCGTTGCATCCTAGCATGATTCATACCTCGTGGCTCAAAATCTCTATACTGGACGTTGTATTGTTTGACATGAATTCAAGCGTATTTCCTGATTTGAAGTTACTAATAAGTGACTTGTCGATGAAATAAATCGACCTAGATATATATAATTACATTAGTGTATATCTGTAAAGATAAAATACGAATATACGGAGACTCCATGTTGATTCTAGAGAAAATTCTGTAGAGCTTATAAAAGTATTTCTTCTTTCTTCTATTTCTTGAAGAATTACCTCTCTTATATTGTTAGCCAGCTTTAGAGTTCTAGAATTTGAGAATCATATGAAGGTTAACACTTGTCTCTATTGCTCAAGCTGTTAGAAACTGTAAGCCATCTCGAGAGAAGAGTGTCTATATAATTAAGGGGCGAAAAACTTTGTGTAAACAAACGCCAAGAGAGACAGACCTCTGCAGGGCTCTGTGCCGCATCCGGTTAGCGAGGTATTTAGTCATCAAGTGAATGCCAAGATAGTAACCGAAAGGCTAAGCTTGCATTCCAGGGTCGACGAGAATGACCGCGCGCATTCGCAGTGGAACACGAGGTATTAATAGCCTCGCGTCACGCAATTCGCTTTCGCGTTATTGCTCTCGAGCAACGCATGATATCTCTTGGACAAAAACGTACGAGCTCTTTCACAGTGTGGTGCAAAAATCTGTATCTCGTGATCCTTAGCTCCTGAAGTTTTATATATTCTCTGCCCCGCGTCCGAGACTGTCACTATACATCTCCTGGAATCGGTGCTCTGCTCTGTAGCAGATACAAATTGACCGTCAACAGATAGGATGGGGCACCTTGTGACCGTTGCGGCATGTTCCCTTAATCAGTGGTCGTTGGACTTCGAGGGCAATGTAGCTCGCATCATCGAGAGTATCAAAAGAGCGAAAGCTGCTGGGGCAACTTTGCGCGTCGGTCCAGAGTTGGAAATAACTGGCTATGGTCTACTTGACCACTTTCTAGAGCAGGATGTGTTTCTACACAGCTGGGAGATGTTGAAGAAGATTCTCACCGATGAGAGCTGCAACGGAATTCTTTTGGATATTGGAATGCCAGTTCTGCATCGCAACATAAGGTACAACTGTCGCGTATTGGCTCTAGATGGCAAGATCCTCCTTGTAAGACCGAAGCTATGGCTTGCGAATGATGGTAACTATCGTGGTATGTTGTGGGAAGCTGTGCCTTGTCCGACTTTCTAATGCTTATGTAGAAATGCGATACTTCACGCCTTGGTCCAGGCCTCAGCATGTAGAGCAATTGTATCTTCCAAGGATGATACAAGATATTCAGGGTTCTGTCACAGTGCCTATTGGAGATGCTGTCATATCTACACCTGATACTTGCATCGGAGCGGAAACATGTGAGGAGCTCTTCGTACCGAACTCCCCACACTCAAATATGTCCCTGAACGGCGTCGAAGTCATCACCAACAGCTCAGGGTCGCACCACAACCTGAGGAAGCTCAACATTCGATTAGAACTTATTCAAGAAGCCACAAGAAAGAACGGGGGAATCTACATCTACTCGAATCAGCGTGGTTGTGATGGAGACCGTCTGTACTACGATGGAGCGCCTCTCATTCTGATAAACGGTGAGGTCGTTGCACAGGGCAGTCAATTTGCACTGAACGATGTTGAAGTCATCACTGCGACCTGTGACCTAGAAGAAGTGCGCGCCTATAGATTTGCGCCTTCACGAGGGTTGCAAGCAATCCATGCACCGGCTTACCAGAGAATCGAGACCAAATTCAGTCTATCTCCCCACGATGACAACCTGGATTTCTCTGTCGCCCCGTCCCAGGGACGACCAATTTTCTACCATAAGCCAGAGGAAGAGATCGCTCTCGGTCCAGCCTGTTGGTTATGGGACTATCTCCGACGCTCAAAGGCTGCCGGCTTCATTGTACCTCTCAGTGGCGGAATCGACAGCTGTGCTACGTCAGTCATCGTCTTTTCGATGTGCCGTTTAGTCATGGACCACATCAAGCAAGGAAACGAGCAAGTCATCAGTGATGTGAAGAGAATTGCTGGTGCGCTGGAAAAGGAGGGTTGGATGCCCAAGACCGCTCAGGAGCTCTGCAATAGAATCTTCCACACCGTCTATCTCGGGATGAAGTCGCAATCTTCACAGGAAACGCGAAGCAGAGCAGAACGCCTTGCGAAGAATATCGGTGCGTATCATATTGATACGAACATTGATCCTGCTTTTGGAGCCTTCAAATCCTTGTTAGCTGATGCCACGGGCTTTGAACCGAATTTCAAGGTCCATGGTGGCTCAAACACAGAGAATCTAGCTCTGCAGAATATTCAGGCCCGGAGCCGTATGGTTTCCACTTATATGTTTGCACAGATGCTTCCAACCACACGAAATCGCAAAGGCGGAGGCGGCTTGCTCGTGCTAGGCAGTGCTAATGTCGACGAGTGTCTCCGTGGATATCTGACAAAGTACGATTGCTCGTCAGCGGACATCAACCCTATCGGCTCGGTCAGTAAGAATGATCTCAAGCGGTTCATCGCTTGGGCCTCCTCTGAGTTCGACCTTCCAATCCTCGATGAGTTCCTCGATGCAGTACCAACAGCCGAACTCGAACCGATTACGGCAGACTATGTGCAGTCCGACGAAGCCGACATGGGGCTGACATATTCCGAACTCAGTACATTCGGTATCATGCGGAAGCAGTACAAGCTTGGTCCGTATGGTTGTTTCCAGCGCCTTCTTCATGATTGGAAAGACGAGATGACTCCGCGTGAGATTGCCGTGAAGGTGAAGCGTTTCTATCATTTTTATGCCATCAATAGACACAAGATGACGACCATGACACCGGCATATCACGCAGAAGCTTACAGCCCAGACGACAACCGATTCGATCTACGACCGTTCCTGTATCCTGCATTCTATGAAAGTTGGAGCTACAAAAAGATCGATGAGGTACTTGAGAAGCTGGAGAAGCTCCAGAAGCAGTGAGTATTGATAGAACTTAGTAGAGTATACAATTACATGCGGTAAAAGAAAAATAGAATAGGAACGGTCACCGTACCTAGCTAAGCGTCTTTGACCAGATATCGCGATCTACTGATCTCCTGATAGCACGTTTCCCAAATGAAACTTGAGATTCAAAGCACGTGCCTGCGAAGATGATCGACCTAATTACTCGGTACCTGACTAGGAAACTACCAAACTAGGCTCCGCTGGACTGCGCAAGCGTATTACCATCACAAATACTTTTAGCTCACGCCTCCAACATATGCTCCTCATCACCGAGTCATCATCTCTGGTGCCCAGCATGCCTAGAAAACGAGATCAATCTTATCAATCTAATCTCCCAATAGTTCCGCTCTACGAGTCTGGGCGGCAGAGATCCTCCACTGTCGAGATGAGTATCCACATTACGGAGTCTGAATTGCCGTGCGGAGAATACTTGTCACAGGGTTTCTGCCCCTTATGTGTCTATGTATGTCTATGTATGAGCGTGCGTGTTGAATCTTGCGCACCAAAGACTGTCGATGCCGTTTTCTAAGGACGTGTTTGTTTACAATTTTCGACCTGGTCAAACATAGAAATCCTATCAGATAAGATTCCCATGAAACGCCTTACAAAACAACATCGAACAAGCCCCAGAATTCGCCACTATATGGCTTTGCGGTCTTGAGAATCTCTGGAAATCTCCCACGAGTCCGGCAGCCCACGCATCCGCAGAACTTAACCTTTTTGCCCCCCCGTTCCCCTCCTTTGCCCCAATCACAACAGTCACAACAGTCCACAAACAAAACCGGTGCTCAAGCAAGGCTAACCCCGCAAAACACGTTCAAAAGTACGGTTTGCCCCATGCACCCAGAGCTGCCCAGACTCCTGAGCATCTATGGCTATGATAATGGAAGACGTCAGGCCATATGGCAATTCTCGACCACTTTCTGATCTTCTGTCGGTGGCAATGATGTATGGCAGTCCCATGTTGAGGCATTTTGCGCTATGCTACGGAGGCGTAGCTGTCGCAATTGGTTTATTAGTGTCGATGGTACAGTAGTGAGATTTGAAGGGCATCATCATCTCATTTCCCCCCAAAGCTGTACGCCTCATGGAGTAATTAGCAGCCGCAATCATGACGGGCTAGCCCGCGTTGGTTATCTAATCCAATCTCCCCGGTAGTTTGCGATGCGGGTTTCTCCATATCGAGCCTCGTTCATGTTTGAGGGCGTACTGGAGGATCTCATTATATCAAGGATCATAGACGTTCATTACTGGGTATCTGTTTGTAAATGGATTCGGGCTGGAATTGATAACGTGATGGAATGGCGATGCTGTGGGCTATGGGACAAGAAGGCAAGGGGGTGGTGATGCAATCGTTGACGCTTGGTGCTTGGGCGTTGGACGGGTGTTTGGTGGACCGATGCGGGTTAGACGCACAATCGATAGTGTGCAAGTCAGACTGGGCAAATAGGAGTTTGGGGGCCCCTCGCGGTGTATTATTGGCTTAGTAAGGCCGTTCGCAGCTGGGTGTGCTGATTGGTGGAGCTGTAGAGTTGGGAGCCAGGGGCTCTAGGACCTTGTTAGCTATAGGTGTGAACCGTAGGATTTGGGTTTGTGAGCGCGGGCATTGTCGTTTTCAGTTGTCGTTCGAATGTGATGCATACAAGCCGGTGCAGGTCTTCCTTGGCAATGAAATCCGTGGACTAGAAGGCTCTTGTTCCACTTATTCAATGTCCACGGGTGATGCATCATTATTGCGAACACATCGCGTCATGAACATAACAAGTTAATAATAATTCACGCAAAAGTTTGACTGTACACGATTTGTTTGATCAGTTATTTTGCATTATGATTAAGTAAATACAGATCTCAATCCGTTGTAATATTTGCGTGACTGCAGGTGCATAACAATCCAAAATGTACTGCCGCTACAGCTTTGCAATTCCATTCCACTTGAACGCCCAACAATGCTGGTGATGTATGCTGGCGCGACGAGGGGAAGAAGGGTATCAGATTCGAGTTAGTAAGTTCTTTGCCACTCCATCAACTGTCCACTGCCGCGTATGACGAATCATCTACGGGGAGCCCTGGGTGCCGGTGATCTCGACGAGGAGAGGACCAGCGGTGGTGGTGTCGTCGGTGACCTTGTCAGAGCAGGTGGTGAGGACGAGGTAGCTTTGGCCGTGGAAGCCCTCTGGGACGGTGGTAGAGAAGGTCTTGCCGTCAGATCCGACAGTGACGGGGGCGAAAGTTGGGCCAGTGACGGCAATCCATGCAGCGTAGAGAGGAACATCGCCGGTGACTGAGTAGCCTGAGGCAGTGAACTCGACGGTGCTGCCAGTCTTCAGGGCGTCCGTGCTGCTGAGAGCGAGCATGGGGAAGGCCTTGACTGGGAGAGGGGCGTTGCTCTCTGGGCAGGAGACGATGAAGGGAGCTGCCAGGGTGTAGACCTCGTTGAAGGTGAGAGGAGCATCGAACGCCTGGGGGAAGGGGCTCTGATCTTGAGCAGCGCGAAGGTAGGAGGAGTGACGAGACTCGACAGTCAAGACAGACCCAGCAGCGGTAAGGTAAGTCTTGTCGACGATGGAGGCGGCGGCACCGAGGTAGGCGGAAACACCAACACCCTCAAGGACACCAGCAGTGGCAACGAAGGTCTCAACGCTGTCGTAGCCAAAGTTGTATGTGCAGGCAGCAACGGGGCTGGCACCAGCGGCGGACAGGGCGCTGGTCAGGAAGGAGACGTGAGTAGCCTCATCGTAGGAGACCTCCTTGAGGTTGGTGTAGAAGGTGGAGTCGAAACCGGCGGCAGCGAAGTCAGCCTCGGTGTACTTCTGAAGACCCTCGCGGTAGAAGGTGTCCTCTAAGTGATTGTTAGCATAGATTCAACATTTCTTTCGTGTGATTCAATGATCGACTTACCAAGGTGCTCCAGAGTCAAGGCGTAGTTGAGGATGTCAGCGTCAGTGATGGCAGCACGCTTGACTGGGCTGGCAGCAGTGAGAGCCGCAGCGGCGATGATGGCGAATGCAGTCTTCATTTTGAATTAAGTATTAGAGATGGTAGTAAGTGACCTTAAACGACAGACAGTGGAGTGATCTTGGATGACTTGAGTTGAGGATGGGAAACTGAACGGTACGGGCGGGCAGTCAGTGTTTATATACGATCTTGACACGAACGGGACATTGGCTATAATGGCACGCCTATCCATTACGGCTTGGACCAGGTACGGTAATCCAAAGTGACAAGCTCATTCTACTCAAATTCAATCGGATTACTGCAACGCCGGTGCTCATTCTGCTTGTTGTGGTATAGTCTAGTAGGTATGGCACGGGCAGGATCGCACCGGAAAGCAGTCCAGCCGTATGCATCCAGGATTGATGTATGCTGCTGTGTACCAGTGGGCGTAGCCAATGCTTGGGGCTAAGACGCAATTGGTAATAACTCTTAGAAAAGCCTCGTGGTGATGAGCATGATGCTTTTGGCCCAAGCCAAGGATAGGGGAAAATCCAGACTGCCACTGGCCGGAAGTAGCCCCATCCGTGCGTGCATCGCCTCCCGCCTTCCAGGAATATTAGACTCTTCGTGTATTGAAACACGTGTAGTGATTGGTCGCGGCGCTATTTACTACTGGAAATGGGTCCGGTAGATCAACAGGATAAAGGCGCTTCCGGTCGGTAGCGTGCAGCCTTCTTATTTTGCCGACCATCACCCTTCTACTCAATTTACTTTTTCGAGCCCCAAACTACACGTGTAGAACGAATGTTTGTTCGCGTTGCCTTGTTCTTGCAGACTTGCTGGCTTACAAGCCTCTTGGAACGCAAATGTGATGTTGATGTGGATGCAAATGCTCTACTTGAACCTAAGTACAATAAGGTCCATGGGTAAGCAGCTTTGGGACCGGGACCGTTGCTGTGTATCTTGCGACTTCATGCCATGCCAGGGAACTTCTGAATGACAACAACGTCCAGGACTTGTTGCATATTTTGCGGGGTCGAGTATCGCATGCGGAAGTTTTGTACGAGAGGATGTTCCGATGTGTGAAAAAAGGCGCTTCTTCGCTTCCATGAATCTCCGGCGGATGCACATCAACAAAGCAAAAGTTTGCTGTAAGCACTGTAAACGGTTTCTTTTTGGCTCCAAACTTCGCCTCCCTCCAAAAGGTCATTGTTCGAGCTCATTTGATGGTCGATATGACGTCATACTTTTGTATTGTCGTGGATGACGCCCTCCTGCACTGTTGACTATCGCTACACGCCATATATCGCAAGTCCATCCCCGAAATCGCGACCAAGGGATTTTGAGCCGATTAGAAAGAGCTAAACGTATACCCCGGAACCATCAGGTATGCTTTCTGGTGTGGTGTCAGAGCATCCGCAGTCAAGCATTTCCTGAACTGAGCTACAAAGCTGAGACTCCAATGCAAATAACGGAAAGCTGTGGTAGGAATGAGTTTTACCGCCTCGTGCACCTTGGAGCAAATGGCTCCAGCTTGTGAGTGAGAATATTGACGCACATACCTCTAGGTGCAATCCTCTTCCAGTCTCCTAAAACACGAATCTACAAACAAACCTGTTCTCCAAAGACCAACAGATCTCTCTAGGAATATGTGATCTCGACCAAAGTCAACGGCAAAAGCAGAGCGATCACATCACCTTCATCGACATCGAAGAACTCCCCCAAAGATGCACGCAAGGTTTTCATTATTTGCAAGGACTAGCTGGGTGCACTTGGGCAGACAATACTGTGTAAATGAGTGATAAATGAGTGACTCAAGGCATCACAGAAGGAAACCAGCACCGGTCTGGAAGGAATGGCATACAAAGTAGCCACATTAATTTGACGCATTTGCAAGATAGCCACGATAGATCGAAAAGAACCCCATTGATCTGGGATTCTTTTTTTGCTTGGTCTGACGGCTCAGCGTGGCGTACTTATTCCTTGACCGCTGGCACATTCTCTTTGATGACTCCAGAGACCGTGTTACCGGCACCAATGGTAAGTCCATTGCCAATCCTCGCATCGCTCTTGATATTGACATTCTTCCTGACGATCACTTTATCGCCAATGTAGACCCCCTGGCCAATGGAGACGTCCTGCCCAATGAAGACTTGCTCGCCAATAGTCGACCAGCTTCCAATCTTGAGGTCCGGCCATAGACTACAATCAGTACCAATGGAGACTCGATCCCCAATGTCGATGCACCCGGCCACGTAAGTTCCATCACCTTGGTAAGTAGTGGCGTGGATGATAGTTTCAGCACCGATAGTGCAATTATTCCCGATAGTGAAGTCTTGCAACGGGTTGTCGTAGAATTTACACTTCCTTCCGATTATAGTGTCTTTGCCGATACGGACATTCGTGAGGAAGTATGCCTCGAACTCGGGCTCGATCTGAAAATTCGGGTCGGTCACTTGAGCCAATGGTTTCCCGTATTTCTCGTTCTTTTGTTCGTCGGCTTTTTGCACCGCTTCGACAATGTCTCTGAACTGCAGATTCGCTAAAGCCTGAGCCTCTAAAGCTTTATTGCACTTCGCGAAATTGTCCCAGATAGCTTTGTCGGACATATCTCCCAACCATCTTTGACAGAAGAGATCCGTTGCGTGTTTTTGTCGAACACCAAGGGGCAATGGTCTCCCTTCTGGCGCATCCTCATTTACCGGTAAACGGTAAGTGTTGTCCTTGATATTCGTCACAAGCCATTCTCGGCGGGACGTACCGTATTGTTCGGAGGTGGTCGACATGCTGTTTGGACGGGCTCAGATCGAACGAAGATGGCGTACTGGAGAGAGCCGAAGTGATGAAGTTGATTTGACAGATGAGAAGTTTGAAACTGATCGTCGATGAAAGGGGGTGCAATAGCGACTGTTCATTTGATGAGTTCAATCCCCTTCTATATATACTGTTAGGATAAATATGGCAGAGCATATATGCTCCACTATGTGCATTCTTGAGCCTTTGAAAAGGTCTGTCCCACATGAAATCTTGAATTCTGATACCGGCTGGGTAAGTCTCACTGGTTGGTATCACCGTTGTAGCCTTGTTCATGCTTCCGTATACCTGTAGCGCAGACAAAAGCATGGATGGATCTTTTGTTCTCATCGAAGACAACTACACTACAGCCACGATGCTGACTTCCCAAGCATGAGTCCGCCACAGTCTCTGTGCGTGAGCAAATCAAATCCTTGAATGCCTGCCCTAGGGAACCAGTCAGCCTCAGATCAACCTGATATATACTGCCAAGTCTAAGTGTGTTTCTCACATTCATGACATTCCTGCATGACTGGATTTCGGATATCAGTACTTATATGTTCCCGCCAGGAATACAAGTATATGCGCCTGTTACTCGTGTAACAGCACACAGTGTCGCGCCCTTTGTTCCCAGTTCATTCGTTGTGTGAACCGAGTGCGGCATAATTCAACGTCGAATATTAGACACAGTGGAGGCGACAGAGAATGGTATGCGCCGGGCAAGGATGCTGTGATGAAGTTAGGGAATCATGCTCCGTGAACAGGAATGAACAGGGTAGAAGAACTGGCAGAAGAAAACGTATTCTCTCCTGTCATGTACCTAATTTCGGAGTCAGCCAGCGTAGAGGAAACGAGTGCGTTTTGCGCTGTTGGGGGATCAATTTTGGCACGCTTAGCGTGAAGGAACAGCATGAGCTGGTGATAGATATAATGCCAGACAGCTCCACGGGACCGACGACGAAGCACTGGTCTAGACTGCTGTTTACAAGTACAAGGAGCCAATAAAATATGATTACATAATATAATCCGAATCTCTTGGGTACATATCATAATTTCGATTCAGATGCCCGCCGAGGATAGTTTGGTATCGAGTTCTCTGTATGTACAGATTCATAGGATACTTGAAGCGATGAACTTGCAAAGGGAAAGATTGAACTGCTCAGGTGAAAGTGCGGTGACTGCTCCGTAACTGCTCCGTATCTGCGGACCCACCCCCACAATCACATTGCATAATGTTTTCGCCCTCTCAATGCAATGTGCTGCGAACAATCACACAACATGTCTTCGATCTTGACAGATACGCCAGATGGACTGTTTCATACGATTCTCAAAGCGCTCAAAGCGCTACCCAGAGGTGAGATGTCTTGCTTCCACCGCAGATATGTTCACGATTGACGCTCGCGCACAGAATTACTAGTGTCCTGGCATTTATATCGCATACCCGTACTCGCCATAGTATCAGTATTTTGTGGTTTAATTATTCTATTTACTTCAAGATATCGTTGGTATGACGAACCTCGCGGCGCCTCAAATCTCAAAGAGCGACCAGAACAAAGCATAGCCTCGGTCATACAGAACAAAATTTCACTGGAACAGAAGATAGTCGCACAGAAAATTGGACCTCGAAAGATAGTCGGACAGAAGCCTCAGAGTCGTGCCAAATTATCGCTTGACACGTTTGACCATACGACTCAGAAAGTACAACCACTTGTCTTCTTCAGCTCCTTGTCAGGCACCACAGAGGTTGCAGCTAAGAAATTGACGGAGGAGCTAGACTCATGGATCAAGCATTCGGAGTCGGATTATACGCCTCTAGAGCCTCGAGTACTAGACATCTCATATGTAGAACTAGATGATTACTTCATCACAGCACCGAAAGACGATCCTGCTGTTAAATATTTCTATCTCATCCTTATCCCCAGCTACGACATAGACACAATCCTGAGCAACTTTACCGAACACCTACGAGAAACCCACCACGACTTTCGCATAGACACTGCCCCTCTATCTGGACTCCTGGGATATGCCGTCTTCGGGTTCGGTGACAAGGAAGACTGGCCTTCGGAAGAGGAGGGATTCTGCTATCAAGCCAAGGAGGTGGACAAATGGTTGGCAAAATTGACAGGTCGAAAGCGCGCATACCCACTTGGTCTTGGAGATATCAAGTCTGATGCCATAGCTCGACTAGAAGAATGGCGGATGGGAGTCCAGGACGCCTTGGGCGAGATCTGTGCTGGGAATGGTCTTGGAGAAGGGGTTCCTGGTAGTGGAGACCCTGTTGAAAGTGAGGATGAAGATGAGATCTATGAGGATGACGAGGCACTTGCGGAGACTGAAGTAGCTGTGCAACCGAAAGCAAGGAAAACGAAGCCTAGTACAAGATTAGACGATCTTGAGGACCTGGGAAAACTGGTTCAGAAAACAGAAGAGACCGATACTGGCCCAATTGCCATCGATTTCACTACCTACAAGCCATCTAAGCCGCGTAAAAGCGCGCTCACCGCAACAATCAAAGAGATGGTTCCCAAAACTTCTCCAACGTACGCCTCTCTCACCAAGCAAGGTTATTCTATTATTGGATCCCATTCTGGTGTAAAGATCTGTCGTTGGACCAAATCTGCGCTTCGTGGCCGCGGGTCGTGTTACAAATACTCTTTCTATGGAATACAGTCACATCTGTGTATGGAGGCCACACCTTCACTTTCCTGCAGTAACAAGTGTGTCTTTTGTTGGCGCCACGGAACGAATCCGGTTGGAACAACATGGCGCTGGGTAACTGACCCGCCAGACATGATCTTCGATGGCATCACCACAGCACATTACAAGAAGATCAAGATGATGAAAGGTGTGCCAGGGGTGAGAGCCGAGCGTTTCGCTGAAGCAATGCGCATCAGGCATTGCGCGCTGAGTCTTGTCGGCGAACCCATATTCTACCCTCACATCAATGAGCTCCTTGCCATTCTTCATTCGCACCGCATCTCGACTTTTCTGGTCTGTAACGCCCAACATCCAGAACAACTCGCAGCACTTGTTCCTGTCACACAATTATACGTTTCTATCGATGCGTCTAACCGCGAGTCACTCCGACGTATCGATCGTCCCCTTCACCGCGATTTCTGGGAGCGGTTCCTAGCATGCCTCGATATTCTGCGTGCTCGCAGACATGAGCAAAGAACGGTGTTCCGACTCACACTTGTCAAGGGCTTCAACGTTGACGAGGAAGTCGCTGGCTACGCTGATCTTGTGGAACGCGCTCTCCCTGGCTTCGTGGAAATCAAGGGAGTCACCTACTGCGGAACCTCTGCATCTTCATCGGCTGGTCTCACTATGCAGAATGTACCCTTCTACTCTGAGGTTACTGACTTCGTCACCGCGCTGAGCGCGGAACTTGAACGACGTGGTCTCGGCTATGGCATCGCCGCAGAGCATGCGCATAGCTGTTGTGTGTTGCTAGCTAGTGAACGATTCAGGAGGGCCGGCCAATGGTGTACGACGATCGACTACAAGAGGTTCTTTGAACTGGTAGAGAGTAAGGGAAAGTTTGGTCCCGAGGATTATATTGGGCAGCCAACGCCCGAATGGGCTCTATGGGGAAATGGGGGCTTTGATCCGCGGGATCAGCGTGTTGTTGGTAGGAAAGGGAAGAGAAAGCACGTCATTGAACCGACTCCCGAAGCTGAAGTTGCAGCTGAAGGGTAGGATAGCTGCCCAGCCAGAGTGACAATAATGAGAAAAACACTCTGATCATCAGTCATGTCCATTCCTATGCCGTGGAATAATAAGTCTATGTCTATGTTCGCTCATCTGCAGCGAAATGCTCATGCCACCACGTCCTGAAGTGATGACTCTTCCCAACAGTCGAGATCTCCTCCACTTCCTCCTTGGACAGCTTCAACTTCATAAATTGCATATACTCCGTGATTCGTGCCTCATTCGTAGTCGTCGTTATCGGCACAGCCCCTTGCTCCAACGCCCACTGGAACAACACCGCACTCGTCTCGATCCCATACTTACCCGCGATCCTGTCCAGCAATGCATCCAACGGCCCGCCCTTCGCCCACGTGAGCGGCACCAGTCCAAAGAAACTCTCCACCACGATGCCCTGCGACTGCAGCCACGGCACGTAGTCGTCGGCGCGCTGGAGGTACGGGTGGAACTCGATCTGGTTCACGGCTGGCTTGACGCTGGCCACTTCGAGCAAGGGCTCAATGTGCTTGCGCATGAAGTTCGATACGCCGATCGCACGTGCCTTGCCTTGTCTATGGACATCTTCCATGGCTTCCCATGCTGCCTTGATCGCGGTCGGATCCTCTTTCAGAACCGTGTATGGCTCGTGGATCAGATACCTGGGCGTGTATCAGCACAGTGCTTTCTATCTCAAGCTTAAATGACGTGGACATACAAATCGAAGTACTCGATCCCCAGCTCGGCGAGGTGTCGATCAATAGCAGCGGGGATATCGCCAACGCTCTTCTCGACCTTGCCCGAGATGAACAACTCGTCCCGTGGGATACCAGATGCCAGAGCATCGGAAATTGCGCGTGCCAGCTCTGCCGTGGTGCCGTATTGCTCGGACCAGTCGAGGTGGCGGAAGCCGGACTTGATGGCCGTGTTCAGGACTTTGACGAGACCGTCCTGGAAGGTGTTGTCTTGCTGTTTGGCTAGGAACCATTTCGTGCCGGTGCCGAAGCCGAGCTGGGAGAGACAAAGGTTAGCGATTTTGTGTAACTTTGGAGTAGTGGTGGGTAGGGCGTACGATTGGAACGGGCTTTGGGCCGTGGTTGAGAGGTTTGGTTGGGAGTTGTACACTCATTGTTTGGTTTCTTTGGAGTTGGAGTACGTGGTAGATGCAAGAAAGCGGGCTGTGATGTGGGGTTGCAGAAAGCTAAATATTGACGGGAGCGGTAAAGTTTGTGAAGGGCTGCGGCGTCTCGTGGTGTTGTCAGAGGCATACCTGTTGTGGCGTAGTAACGGTGTCGATCGCATCCAAGGATCCTTCGGTTTCGGGTTCGTTGGGCGTCAGCTTTACCTCATTAACACTGCCTCGCGTTGACTCGTAATTAGTAAGCTTGTGCATGCGAGTTCGCACTGCTATATTGTTGATGATGTTACTCAATCGACCGTCAGCGCGGCAGACACGGTGGTATCGAGGCTTTCCCTCGCACTGGGCTCCAGGGATGATGAATAGGAGGCAGTGCATTGAGACTTGCATCTGGGATTTCATGACTAGGTGGCTCCGGTGTCTCCGGAAGACTCTCGGTCGGTGTGAGCGAACGAGAATTTCCGCCCCAGGATCGGACAGAATGGAGATAGGTTTGGAGCTCAGGATGCAGAGGATAGGATTTCCCAGTCGCTGATGAGGATCGTGACGCTGCGATGATATCAATCGTGTGCTCCTTCCCGTTGATCGCGAAGTCTTCTTGGATGCTGATTGCGGCGCGAGGAATCCCGCGCACCGAATCCGACTCGTGAGTCCGCTTGTCGTTCATGGTTGAAGGAGTTCCAGGTCGCAGAGCCATCATTATGTCGCCTCTTTCGGTGTCCACCTGGTGCAGATGCTCCTGTGAAGCGAGTGTATCTCGTATTAGTGACGCGTCATCGAACGCGAGCTTGAGGACGATGGAATGCAGTGATCCTACGAAGCCTTTGCGCTTTACAGAACCAGGTTCACTCTTGAAACCGAGTTTCAAGAGGAGGGATTTGAGGAGAGGTCTACAGGTGGCTGCACTGGCTGCTGCGATTGCAATACCGGGCTCAAAGGTAGACCATATAGCAATATCGACAGTTGCGACTGCAAACTTATGAGAAGAGCGGACTATCAATTCATAGCGGAGACAATGCTTACAGAAAAAGTCGGGATCATGAAACTTTTGAAGATATGCCATGCGGGCCAAGGGGCAACAGCCACAACTGAGGTCAAATCAGCATTGAAATCGTCCCGAGGATTTTAACAGAACAACTTACAGTCCGGCCATACTCAGTAAAGGTGCAGTGGCCAGCTTTGTTTGTCTCGAGACTTCCAGGTTCCAGACGAGATGAAGTGGCAAGGCGACAAGGACGAGATCACAAAAAGCGCTGACTGTAACGTTCTGTTACACAACTGGAATGTCTGGAAGAGGAATGTACTCACCAGAGCCATAGAGATAGCCAAGGTCGATGAAGATATCGATGGGAATGCAACGACCTTTGGCTGTTGGATCGACCTTATTCCAGAAATGATTCACCGGTGTACATTGAAAGATGACGACACCAAGGTAGACCAAACCCGAGGTCACATTGCCGAATATGTTGAGGTAAATCATCCAGTGATGCCAACGCCAAACAGTGATGCGTAGGAAGAAGAGCGCGACTGATAGACGGGCCAACGTCATAGTTATACCGTACGCCATATAGTTCATCCACCACAGCTATCTTCGTATCAGTACAAACCGATTAAAGGTATGTGCTCCTTTCTTACATGGTATCCTAGTCGAGCATCCTCTGTAGAGTGATCCGACATATGCGCACTGCCACCAACAGCATAGAATGGATTACGGAAAATATCGACGACCGTCCATGTAAAGAAAGCCTATTCATAGACATAAGCATTATATTAGTATATGTCTTGTAGTACTTACACTGGCAAATACCATCAACCAATCATCCCATCCAAAGAGTTTCACGATCCGGATACGTGTGTAGCATCGCAAGGCAACTGAAAAGAATGCGGCGACTGCACATACAGCAGTAATTATGAACAAGGGTAGAGTCCTACTTATCATCATCGTGTAGGTATCTGCAGGGTATGCGGACAGACGGAGGAGTATCTGCAGGATGACAAGGGAGCATCCGGGCTATATCAAAGAGAGTTATGAATATAAGGTTTGGGATCTCGAGACCCTGTTCACTCATACGTCGCAGCATACTTGTCGGCCTTCAGGATTGTACGCAAACAAAGTGGCAGAATAGTGTTTAGGCCTGCTTACTGGTTAGGGCACGATCGTTCGTAGTCACACACTCCGATCTCAAAGCTTAAATATGTTTTTGTAAGAAGACTGAAACGGTGCTTTACCATTGGTCGAATGTCTCGAGATCTGGACGGCTGAATCTAGTTTCTGTTGGGCAGAGTAGACATATAAAGTTTAATCAGGGCGTTATTGCAGCCTTGGCCTGCCTTAGTGTTGATCTACAAATCAGCAGGATCTTGCGTTATTTGATAGCACCGCGCGGCGTAAAGCGTCTGACGCTATGGATGAACGAGAGGTAAGCCACAGTCGATTTTGCACGATTGTTGAGCAGCGAAATAACTTATCTTCCCTTCTCCATTGTTGTGTCAATATATCCACTCATCTTTCTAATCGGGAAGATGACCGAGTTGACGTTCAAATTGACTATGCGGGGTATCAAACTCATTAAACCCTGACTCGGGAGTTTCATTAGGTTTCGGTATATGCAGTAGTGTAACGTTCGTTGATAGAACGTTGTATCACGGAGCATACTGGAAGAGCTTCAAGAACGGTCTCATGTACGACATCAACACAGCTCAGGTACATTTTCGTTGTCTCCCTGACAATCTCTTTCGAAATATTGTCGGTCGTAATCAGAAAAGACTAGAATTAGTGTTGCCATACTTGAAGCTGTTGGAGCTGCAAGTGGCAATACAAGAGAAATCGACCTCTTCAGAAGAGAACTCTGTGTGAGAGCACCTCAAGCGCACATGCCTAGGAATGACTGATATTCTGGACACCCTCCCAGTCAGTAGACTCAAGTGAGCTAACAGAGATTTGACAATGGTAAAGATGACCTACTTCATGTGCTTCACTTCAGCATCTCAGTCTGCCGTCGGCTCTTTTCGAAAACTAGATCTCCCATTAACATTATCTCGAACCAAACTATCATCGTTGAGTCCCCATTGATAGTCCGAGATGTCTAGTCCGCTCGTGAAAGGCCAAGTCTCTCGGCAATAGGGCCGAGGAATTCAAATTCGACAAGGTCTTAGACCTGCCAGAATTCTGTTTTGCAGCTCAAAGTCTGCCGGACTGTCATGCGTACAGAAGGTTTGTTACTTTCCACTTGCAGATCTAGAGATCCGGACTGAAACATACTTTTCGTCTCACAATAGTCACAGCCGCCTGTAATCTCGATCTAATCCGTAAAGTGCTCCGAAAAGTTCATGACGAAGTGTTCGAATATGGTAAGCGTACCTTGGGACATGCTTACTGGTAATTGCGGTCTCTTCTCTTCGCGTTTGTAAGCCACCTTGTCATATCAACTTATGACTTCATCGTAGTATTTATAAGTTTGCATCCACTGCAAGCTACATGTTCTAGCGAGCACGGTATTGCCCAGACCGGTGATGTTACGTGTGACTAGCTTGAGCCGGATCCACGGCTGCAAAGCGGGAAATGGAAAGTTCGGGATCAGCAGTTCCATGTGACTGTACGGGTCCATCAACATTCTTTACGTGCGAATGTGCCTACGCAAAGCCTTATGGTGGAGAACTAGAGGAATGCATATAAGTGTTGTTTGGTAGATAGCGGTGTGGTATTCGTAGGCGTTGTGGTCGATTAGGCGTGTATGATTAGGATAGATTCTCTTCCTTTGTTTCAATACTGACCAATGAAGCTTTATGATCTCATTAGAGCCAGCATGTTGTATAACAATCCCAATACGTCGCAATATCTGACGGGTTTGACTGTATCAATGTCGGACTTATAGATTTCGTATGAACAGCTTCAGGAGCTCCTTGTGATCGGAGCCTGTATCCCGTGACGGTTTTTGTTCCTTGTTCAAAACGTGTATACCTAATTGGAAATAGCTCGTAGAAAGTCTTGGTACAACAGGACTGCTGGATCAAGGTGTTGTCCAATCTCTATAATGACTTCGTAGGGAGAGACTCGAGTCAAGCAAGATCTCTTGACTCAGGGACCGCGGAACCGCGATACTAACTTCTGACGCATTGATCTGGCTTTTAATCACATGGCAGTGATGCTTGTGAGACTGGCATGATGGTATGAATGCCAGGTTCAGTAGCAGTTCCCTTCGTGGTGAGTTTACTTCTCCAAGGACGTTGGCGAGATACTGTAAGACGCAGCCAGGTATAGAGTCGTAAGACACAACCAGGTAGAAAGTGCACAGGGAGGATTGATATGTACGGGATCAAACATGACGATGTACATGACGGTAGAAGCTAATGCAACTCAAATAAATTCTCCGAGGCATCTGATGGGTTCTGGCGCCATTCTGTAAGGTAATAATTCGGTCCTTGGGTGGGGCCGGTCGCTGCACTACGGTAGCAGCCGTAGGGGCCAAAGTTTCCTTCCGCCCTCATGCATCCGGGGTTTTCGTCTCCATTGTGAGTGTCTTCCGTTCTATTTCACCACAAGGTTGTTGGTTCTTCCATATCGATTGAGATTACGTCCTGGTACTTGGATGGCAATGGTGTTTGCTATCGTCGTGCTATCTACTGAATCCTATCTATCCCAGGCCTCCGAAGCAGTGACATGAGCGAGTTGGCAATTATGGCGCATCTCTAATTGGAGCCCTCGTGATTCTTCACGATCCGTGTTCAGGCTGTCGATTAAGCCTACGATACTATCAATGACTTTCCTCATTGGTTACTGATAGTATACTCACCAGAGCTCAAATTTGTTCTTCATAGAAATAGAAGCGACAATGGTGGCACTCGAGACACCAGCTGAGTCTGCGGGATTTCCCCACACTTTCGAGTCCAAAGATTATGCACCAGTGGGTTGGTAGTCAAGCTGTCGATAATCCTCATTGGTTAGAGATGCTTGATACCGCTGCATGATAATGAGTCTTTACTAAGCTATCTTGCATACTCCACAACAATCTACATATCTCGTTTCTAGATGTCCCTGGGAGATTGGAAATACCAGAAGCCCAACTGATCTCGCAGACTTCTCTCATCTCCGCACAGTAGAAGCCATGGTGCACAGTATATCATCACCTCATTCAAGTACCAAAACAGGTGCTGAGAATATGGTAGATGGCTCTCCATCTCCAGATCCAGAGCTGCAACATGGCACCGTCACTAGCGGCACGAGGCGAGACTTGGGTCGTAGACATATCAACATGATTGCGATCGCAGGGTTAATCGTAACTCATTTCCCGTAATGCTTAAGACGCTCTCACTAACATGTCTACAGGGTACAGGCCTATTCCTAGCATCTGGTCAAGCCATCGCTCTCGCTGGACCTTTAGGTGCATTGTTTGGCTACATGTTGATAGGACTCGTCACATATGCCATCTCCTTGATGACAGGAGAGTTGGCCGCATTCCTACCTGTCACTGGGGGCTTTGTAAGGCATGCCATAAAGTTCGTTCAGCCAGCACTGGGTATTGCTACGGGTTGGAATTTCTGTAGGGAGGTCCTCTACTACCTGCAAAGCTGTTGCTGAAGTCGCGACACAGGGTATACACTCGTCATCGTGGCGCCAGCTGAGTTTGTCGCAGCTGGGACTCTGGTGGGATATTGGGACCAAACCACGAATCCTGCGGTCTACTTGACGGTCTTCATGGTCGTAGCGGCGGCGATAAACTTCTGTGGAGTGCGTGTATACGGCGAGGTGAGCTCCCAATCAATGCACACGACATACCACTGACATACTGTCAGAGCGAAGTCATCTTCGCAAGCCTCAAGATCATGCTCATCATCGGCCTCATCCTCGCCGGCCTGATCGTCGACCTAGGCGGCTCCCCAAATGGCGACAGAATCGGCTTCCGATACTGGCGCTCGCCAGGCCCCTTCAACACTTACATTCTCACCGGCAACACAGGACGCTTCCTCGCATTCTGGAGCACGCTGATCCCAGCTACATACTCCTTCGCAAACATCCAACTCATCGCCACCGCCGGCGCCGAAACGCAGGACCCGCGCATCATCATCCCCAACGCCGTGAAGATGACGTTCTGGCGCATCCTGGTCTTCTACATCCTCAGTCTCTTCATCGTCGGCTTGCTAGTCCCTTACAACGATCCCAACCTGGGCATTTCCACCGGGACCGCGCAACAGAGCCCCTTTGTCATCGCTTTCCAGCGAGCTGGGATCAGGGTCCTGCCCTCGATTATCAATGCTGTTGTCTGTACATCGGCGTTCAGTGCGGGATCAGCATGTATCTTCCTCGCTTCGCGGACTCTGTATGGCTTTGCCGAGGACGGATACGCCCCGGCTGTGTTTCTCCGCACGAACCGTTTCGGCACTCCCTATGTTGCCGTAGCGGCCTCGCTGGTCTTTTGTCCGCTTGTCTATCTCAGTCTTGGGAGTAATTCGTCTGTGGTCTTTGGCTGGTTCGTCAACATCACCACCATCTCGAGCCTGATCAGCTGGGTCGTGGTTTCGGTGACTTTCCTACGATTCTACTATGCGATGCGGGCGCAGGGCATATCTCGCGCACGGCTGTTTTATAGGAGTCCGTTTCAGCCGTTTATGGCGTGGGCTACGCTTGGGACGCTGGTTGTAGTCGTTTTGACGTCTGGGTATAGTGTCTTCTTTCCTGGAAGGTGGAGCACGTCGGTCTTTCTGACGACTTATATTAACCTTCCAATCTTTATATGTGAGTTGCTTGCTCTTGTATTGTGTGACTGCGAAAGCTAATCATTGGGGATCGAAAGTGCTTTGGGCTGTGGCGGCAGTATGGACGCGCTCTGGGTTCGTGACTCTAGAAGCCATAGATCTCGCCGAGATACATCAGATCGACATCGAGAAGAAGGAGAGGGAGTCATCGCCGTCGGCGATGCAGAGCTGGTGGCGCAAGTACCTTATCTGATACCCGTTCTCATACTTCAGAAAGTGAAGGAAAAAAGAGCCATCGGTAAATTCTTAACGATACTCTGCACCACAATCCCCCATAATCTCAAGCATATCCCTCCGCCGACTCAACTCCAGCACGCTCTCGATACGCCCCCTATCATCTGCATCAAGCTCCCATCCACACGACGCAAGATTATCCTCTACATGCTCACTAACACCCAGCCTCGCTCCCACAATCACGGCTCCCACATACGCATGATCCAGCACCCACCTCGTCGCCACATTCGCCACACTCACGCCACGCTTCATCGCAATATTCTTCAGCTCACGGAGAAGGCGCTGGAAGAGTGCCCAGTCGCCCCACGTCTTTATCATCTCAAGATACTTCCGCTGGCTGGGCGTCATACCCTGTGAAAAAGCCTCCGGCTCCGACCTGTCAAGCCACTTATCCGCCAGAAAGCCACCGCAAAGCGTGCCGTACGTGAGAAGTTTGATATTATATTTCGCGCAGACAGCGCCCATTTTGAGCTCTGGGCGGGCGTCGATGAGCGAGAATTGTACTTGATTAGTCGCGATTGGGATGTTGTGCGAGAGTACTTGCTCGAGATGGAGGGTGTCGAAGTTGCACAGTCCAAGCATCGCGACGCGGGAATTAGCGTGGAGGAATTGTAGGACGCTGATGTACTGTGGGTCTGCATAGGACTGCCAGTGGAATTGGAGGAGGTCGAGCGTGCGGGTGTCGAGGCGCGTGCAACGCTCTGTGATGGCGGCGGATATAACCTCGGCGGTGATGGTGACCGGGTGGTTGAAGACGCAGTATTTTGTAGCGCCGAATATGGACTGTCGTTTTGCGTGTGCGTTCCTGAGGCGGCCGAATATGAGCTCGCTGTCGGCGTAGTGGTCGGCCATGTCCCATGCCAGAAGACCTTTGCTAATGTAGTGTGTGAAATGTGTGTTCATGGCGTCGAACGGGGCAGTTCCCCATGCTGGGCTTGATAGCTGCCATAGCCCTGAGAATAGACGGGGGAGTACGATGCCATTCAACTCAAATGTCTCGCTCAACATCACGCCTTTCGAAGTGTCCGAAGAAGCATCTTTGCCAGATCTCACCTCATCGAGCCCAGACCCGAAACCAGTATCCCGCTGCCCAAGCGCAACGGAAACCGCTCCGAGACTCCTCTCAAACGGAAAGCCCTGCTCAAGAGCAATCTTGCACCTTTGCAATGCATCAAGCAGTCCTTGTACAAGCACCTTCTCTGTCCCGTCGAGCTCACGCTTCCCACTCGGTCCAAGCAGCGTCTTCTGGATAGCAGTAACCATCTGAAGCATATCGCCATCAAACGATTCCAAACAGTGTACTAAATCGACATTCCTCGACACCGACGGCCCGATGCTGGATGATACTCCGTCCACGATCCGCCGCGCAAAGGGAATGCTCTGGTAGCACATCCCACAGCCGATCGAGCATCTGATGTATTGCTGCAGTCGATACAACTCCGGTCCCGGCTTACACTTTACAGTGTCATATGAAGAACCCCACCTCTCCTGGTCATTTTGCGATGGATCGGTTTGATTATGCTCTCCTTTGCGTGGGTCACGAGAGTTGATATTGAGGGGCTTGTCATCTACGATGAAGAGATCTGTAATTATTGGCTGATCTGCTTTGTTGTGCAAGTATTCGCGCACGTGGGCTTCGAATTTGCTGGTGATGGAGGGATCTGTGGTTAGGAGACTTCGCATCACGCTTCGTAGGCCGTCTTCAGGGAGATTGGCAATGACCGTGTCGACCATGAGGTTGACGTGAGCTGTCTTGGGTTTGAGCTGCGTGGAATCCATTTTGATTAGAGATTCAGATGAAGTACTCAAGTTTTTGGGCTCTGATGTGCATGCGGCAGAGCCCTATCAATGCATATGACGATGAGAGGTTAGCACAGCTCGAGAATGTGGGGCACTCTTTATCTATCCTTGGAACGGCTGGTTGCTAATCCTATGTCACGAATAGGAGAGTTGACTAGGGCTTCGGAGGTGGACAGTTCTGCCCGGAAGGTATCTATACAACATTACTCCTTCAGGTCGCGTGCAGTAACGATGACAGAGGACATCGCAGAGTAGTTGCGTGCAGAATACAACAGCGAAGCAGGCTTGCCCGCGGTCCGTGATAAAAATCCGTCTAGTCGGCACTGGGACCGTGAACTGAGGAGCGATGGTTGCAGGAGCGTACAAATAGCATAGGACCCGTCCCCCTTTGTGTTATTGGGTAAGAAATGCGCATTACTTGTCGAGATCTTCTCTGCAAGGAACTAACTATCTATATCCCATTCAACAGCCCACTTGCTATTTCCTAGTAGGATTTCTCTTTGCCCTTTTGGCCGCTCCTTGCTTCCCTCCCTTGGCGGCTGAGGTGTCTAGAGCTGTACTTTGCGGGATAATTGGAATGAGCTCGGTGTCTTCCTGGCCTGCTTGTGAAGCAGTGCTATATGGCTCGGAAGGTTGGCTATTTATATCCTGTAATGACCCAGTCGCCTTCTCAGACTCTTCTCTAGACCCTCTTTCTAAAGTCTGAAAGTCAAGACCAGGTGGTAGCTGGTCAATGGCTGAACAGATTCGTTCAAGGTGAGCTGGCATCCAGATGTCGTAGACACTCTTGGTGAATTTATAGGCCGACCACTTGTCTTTGCCTTCTTCGTTGGTAATGTCAATCGTTTTAATCGGATGGCGATAGAAAGTAGTCTTTTCATCATTAATGATAGCGTAATGGCCGTAGATACGGACCGTTCGGTGGTCGTGCGATATCGAAAACGCAAGAATCTCTTGATTTAATTCCTTCTCGCGTTTTACAGCTCTGTAGAGCTCAATAACACCCCTCACAGCAATCGTCATGCTATGAGCATTCTGTCGGTCCGCAACATCAAGAGCTACCGTACCACGCTTAACTTCGCAGGTAAGAAATGGGAAATACATCTGGTACGTTGCGACAAAGAACGATGTATCGAAGACACTACCTACCAGCGGATCTAGCCTATGTAATTGCTCGTCTGTAAAGGCTGAACGCCGGAATCCCACAGAATAATCCGGCTGCGGTCGTGGTCCCTCAACTGGGATGCTTCCCGTCCACCCTTCGTTAACATTCTCGATCAAGCATTTTAACTTGGTAGCACCCATCGTCGCCAGGTCTTCAGCAGACGGTACGATGAATGGCGAAATACTGCGGATGATCCGAGCTTCATTCCTGTCCTGAACACCGCGACATGCTGCTTCGAACACATCGTCTCGAAATAGCGAGTCAGGTGGAATAGTCTGGTCTGTGCTCAACAGGGTCTTATAACTGCTTAGGCTCGTGTTCGAAATACCCAAGTCAGACTTGTCCATGTAGCTCCCTTTGATAGCAAGTAACATAGAGTAACGTGAATCTCGATACGCATTACTCTTGCTTTCTCTCGTCTGCTGGTCACTAGTCCAAGTCAGGCTCGAATCTGACTGCTTCCGGCGAAGCGATCCAGGGGCCTTTTTCATAGGTATTGGATATTTGAATCCGTTGCATTCCGCATATTTGACGGCCGAAATAGGTGGTTGTGCCATGATTTCGTCCAGCCAGCTGTCGTGTTCCAAAAGTTCTGTTCTTGCCTGATCGTCTGGTTCGAAGTATTCGCGAGGCCACTTGTTATTTAGTACCCAGCTCTTAAGTGGGTCGGTAATAGCTGTCCTGCTGTGCTTTTCATCTTCTTGTGGTCGTCCCTCTGCTGTGTAACGAGTAATTGTTCGAGGTCGCTTCGAAGAGAGCAGATCTTGCGCTGAAGGGGAGGAATGTGGTTCTTCTTCACCTCGTTTTCGCTTCAATGGACGTCCGAGGGATGTACCGAGACTTTTGGGACTCTATAGTTCAGTTATTATTAGTAGATAGTCCGCAAGAGAACCATGGTGGATATACCTACGGTTTGATCCTGTAAGTGATGACCCGAAGGAGGTATAGGAGTTCCCGGATCCTTTCCTCTGCTCCGTTTTATAGGCTGTAGTATAGTGTTGAGACGCGTACTTCGACGGACTTCACGCGCATCTACTTTGCGTGTGATGACAGTTGGCTTTTCTATCTAGGATTAGCGGACCGCTGTCGTTGGTCTTTGGACAGAGCGTACTTATACCGTGAGACATTTGAGCGCTTATAGATTCTCAATGGTTGGCCATGACTATGTAGAAATGGAAAGAGTGTCCTGTAGCGTTCTCTAATTAACCGCCGGATGGTGTCGGATTACGCTATGAAGTTCGGCTAAGCGCCGAGCTCGCTCATGAAACGCTGTTAAGCTTTAGATCCGTCTATATATTTTTAGCGCGATTGTTAGAATTTGTCATGCGTGTAGTGCTTCATGCTATTATCTCTAAGTCTAACTCTTATGAAAGTATTTAATATATATCTTCTACTCAGAAATTCTATAATTTATTTATGATTTAATATACCTATTTCTCTTTAAATCGAAGTAATTCTAGTTACTATATTATGAATAATTATACATCTAATCTAAGTACCAATAGTATCTAATAATAAAAGCTCTCTAAATATACAGACTAGAAATTAAAGATATATATCTTAGTCACGTGTTTCACTAGTAGGCCCAGAGCTTTGCATTTGCAGCCAACGAAAAGAAGCGAATTCCACTACTGACCGTCGCTCCTTTCGATGATGGACTACGCTTTTCATTGAATAGCGGACCGAAATCATAAAGACGACAGGGCTTGCAACAGAGGAACCATCTGTCGTCATTTCCCGTGCTACCTGCAACGGGCGTTAATTACAGTTCTCTCTGGCATATCATCAAATTGATTACTATCAAGACGGGAGCGTTCCAACACTGCTTAGTGCATATCATACACTTCATCGAATCTCGCCTTTTGATAAGATAAGTCATCACTCGAATTGATTCAGCATGTGTGTGATTTGTAAATGTCTATTGATCATATCTTAGGTATGTTCTATCTATGATCCGTGTGAATTTAGTGTTTTCGCATGTCTAATATCTAGACGATGACCTTGTGCGGCGCATCCTTCTCCTCTGGCTCACCGAAGATGTTCACCGGCCAGCGCGGCTTGTTGGCAATGTATGGGATGTTGTACCGTCTGTAGTTGTCGCCGATAGCAGTGATGGCGTCGATTTGCGCCTGTGAAAGATCGATCTCCTGGAAGTTTGCCTTGATGCGTGATGCAGTGACGGACTTGGGGATCACACTGTGGCCACCAACCTGAGACCAGGCCAGTATGACTTGAGCTGGGGTGGCATCCACTTCTTTTGCAATCTTCTCAATCTCCGGGTGTGTGAAGAGAAGCGGCTCGCCAACTAAGTTGTTGCCGAACGCTGAGTATGCGGTAATGTGAATGTTCTTGGACTTGGCGAACTCGATGAGCTTGGGCTGGATGAGCTTGGGGTGACGCTCGATCTGGTTTACAGCGGGGGTAACACCAGTGGCCTTGATGATAGCCTCGAGGTGCTCTTGTGTGTGGTTGGAGACACCGACAGCGCGAGTCTTCTCCTTTGGAAGCTTGGTCATGGCTGTCCAAGTGTCGACGATGGAGACGGAGTCGAGCATGGTTACGTCACCATCAGGCTGGTTGGCACCCTCAGTCAAGGGGAACAGCTCAGCGTGGGGCTTGCTAGGAGAGTCGAAAGCAACGGGGAAATGCACGAGGTAGAGGTCAAGGTAGTCGAGGCCTAGCTCCGCGAGACAGTCGTCGAGCGCACCGGCGACATGCTCAGGACGGTGCTGTGAATTCCAGAGCTTGGACGTGATGAAGAGCTCCTCACGCTTCACGCCCTCAGCGAATGCCTTCTTGAACGCGCCAGCAATCTCCTTCTGGTTGCCGTAGACCTTGGCAAGATCAATGTGCTTGTAACCCGCCTTGAGGGCCTCGTAAACGGCAGCTTCAACCTGACCAGGCTCAGCTTGCCAGGTGCCAAAACCCAATTGACTGTCAATCTATTAGAAAGTGACCACATATGCTTGTGGTAACTGCGAGAGCTTACGGGATCTTAGCGCCAGTGTTGAGGGTTACTGTGCGACCTTTAGACATCTTGTTGGAATGGTTGTTGGAGGTGAGATGGAGAAGACTTGGAGTGGAGGTTGTAGCTGAAGGATGTAAGAAAGACGGATTCAGTGTTCTTGTATTAGTTGTAAATCTCTGCTGGAACGTTGAACTATGAGCTCCGGTGGGGTCAAGGGAGGAGGGGCAGATGGCAGGAGGTGGAGGGGCAACATAACACAACAAGTCACCAAAGACACCGTGACGACTAGAATTGCTCCATCGTGCGTGGCCGTGCGACAGAATACCTGTCATATTCCCTGCTGAACCCACATATAACGTTTATTGATAATGAAAACAACCAGCTCCACTGCCCCAAATGCGGGAGAAACCCCGCCGCCCCTCCAACGGCGCCACCACTCTTGAGTACCATGACGTCGAATCACGTGGCTCCGTGAACCCCTTTTGGGAATTCTTTTCTAAACACTTGCGTAGCTAGGAGGTAGTTATCCTTCCTCCAGGAACCAAGGTCAACCACAGTATCAATGTAAGAATGTTTAATCGTCAGCAGTCCCCTGGAGTCATGTACAGGGGCAACATCTCAACAGAATGAACAACTGATATCTCGGTGTCTAGTATGACAGGGTAAGATATATCATTAGTCGAGGAGAATCATCCAGCATACACACTCCTGATATATTGTCTCCCACCGGCAGGCATCTAGTGGACGTTGGGTGCGACCGGAACGGACCGCAATCAGCCAGCCCACCCTCTTGCCCATTCGGCTCACAACTGGTGGACACAACACTCAGGGGACATTTCGAAACATGGACCGTCATTCAGGACGATCTTCTAATAGCTCTTTCACGGATCTAGTCCACATAAGAAGCAGCTGTGTGTGCATAGATGTTCTCAGTCAAGAATACCTATCATGACCGCAATCGATTGGCTGGCAATTGGCCGGCCCCTGTAACCCTATTGATTGCTACAATCGGCAGTCCTGACGGATAGAAAGTAGGCCTCAATACTCTCGCACATGTAAATACCAAGACTCTTATTAAGATACATACCGTGATGCCAAGGGAGCTTGTCATTGCACGTACATTTTGTCCCTTCAGACGATCACCGCGCCACACCACATGGCAAGGGGCAGTTCTCGCTAGCAGAGTCTCGGCTGCTCAATCCTGGAAGCGATCTGTAGGCTAGGGCAATAACTGGGCCTGCTGAAGTGCGTTTGAAATATGTTTGAAACTTTCAGGGGCAGGAAGCATTTTCGTACAAGGGGCATCTCGATCGAATTACCTTTTCCCCTATGGAGACTTGTTCTATTGTTTCTCGAACCGAATTTGGCGTAATCACCAGGCTACTATAGTCTCAAGAAAAGCTTGTATCGACCTCTCGGGTCCTCCGTCGGAACTGAACGTCGTGACAAGACCGCTAAACACGACCTCTACCTGCCAGTCAGTATCATAACAACTCTCTTATAACACTAGTAGTATACGCTCCTTCTATCACGATACCACCAGACTCTAACTCAAGCCATTCCGAGGATATATGATATGTATAGCCTATATGCTCGTACTAACGCATGTAGCCCATTCAGCCTGAAGTTATCCCACCAGTCAAAGACGTCGTGGCAGTGTTGGCTCCAAACGGAGCAGCTAGTAAGCAGCCTTGGGGAATCATTCAAATCCCGCGGGCGGACGCGTAGTAGTAAAAGTTCCTGGATGATATTCTCTTGACGTGTCCGGTGGTGGGGTTTTGGAGGATTGAGATTTTACAAGTAATTAGTAGCGTCTTGCCCGTGCCCACCGCTCGGCTATGTATCCAAATACTGGGTTTATAAACAGCGTAGCCCAGAGCACGGATGTAGAATTCAGACCAGGATAGCCTGTACGCGGCGAGTCATGCCTAAGTTGTGCCGGTGCCTGTCATCGTCATGGATGCAAAGCTTCAAATTATATTCCACTTCCAATGCCTCAGCAGTGAAGCAGCTTCACAACTACAACTCCATTACACCCATACCACTCGATGCGCAGCCTCCTACGCCTATCGAAACGTACACACATCCCACCACCACGAACCCACCCACCCAACCTCTCAATCAACACACGAATCAACCCCTCACCCCTCCAAAAAATGAACTCCTCCACCGACACCCCCTCCACCTCCACCACAACCACCACCCCCCAAAAACGCATCTTTGCACCCGCAACCGGCATCTCCCCAAACACGCCCAACACCGCCCCACAAGCAGCCCAATACACCCAATCCACCCTCTCCCTCACCTCCCTCTCCGCCGACCCCCTCGCCCAATTCCACACCTGGTTCGAGCACGCCCAGTCCCACGCCGTCCACCAGCCCGAAACCGTCACGCTAGCCACCGCCTCCCTGCCCTCAGGCGCGGTAAGCGCACGCATGGTCTACCTCAAAGAACTCGACTCGCGCGGCTTCGTGGTGTACAGCAACTGGGCTACCTCGCGCAAGGCGGCGGACGTGGCGAGTAACCCGCAGGCCAGCCTCGTGTTTTGGTGGCGCGAGGTGGAGAGGCAGGTGCGTGTGGAGGGCCCGACGGAGCGGTTGACGAGGGAGGAGAGTCAGGTTTATTTTGATACGCGGGTGCGGGGGAGTCGGGTTGGGGCGTGGGCGAGTGCGCAGAGTGAGGTACTGGGTGGGGGGAGGGAGGAGTTGGAGGGAAGGGTCCGGGAGGTGGAGGAGCGGTTTGAGGGCTGTGACCGGATTCCGGTGCCGGAGTTTTGGGGCGGTTTGAGGGTTGTGCCGCGCATGGTGGAGTTTTGGCAGGGGAGGGAGAGTCGGTTGCATGATCGGTTTCGGTATGTGAGGGAGAGTGAGGAGGGGGAGTGGAAGGTTGAGAGGTTGAGTCCGTGAGTGGGGAGAATGGGGGGAGAGATGATATATGTGCTGGTTTGGGCACATGGTAAGATGGGTTTGCTGAATCTATGGAGTGTTCTGCACGATTCACACTTGTTTCTATTTCTACAAGAGGGCTCGTGCTGAGTTGTGTTACTATAATGCAATTCATCATCGGATTGCAGCTGCATATGCAAGAGTTTCGAAGCCACCAGGGTCTCCTACCATCAAGGAAACGCCTCTTCCCTCTCTGAGACTTACCTCCAGCTCTCGGCATGATCATGTGATCTCCACGCTCGCAGCTCTCCAGGTATCATTATATGGTTTTTCATCACTTCGTAGCTTCATAGTCGGACGACAAATTCCCATGTGCCGAACATAGTCCCCAGTTCTCACAATACAACAATCAAATCACGACCTCGGAGTCGTCGTTTGTAATTAACCCTCACCTGAGCAATTTTGCCCTTCGGATGCTCCAACGTTCGACCCCAGTATCATCACTACTCGCCCTGCCAACCAGGCTTCTGCACGATCAATGACTTTGCTCTTTGTGGGGGCGGAGACGTTGTAGAATTGGGTAGAGGAGGAGATGCCGGTGGAGATATTGGGGGGGAGACATTAGGGTTCTTGGTGGATTCAGACGCAGGTACCTCAGAGGCTGTCCTTTCTGACGGCGCAGGATCTGTAGTTTGAGGACCCACATGGATCACATGTGCTGCCTGGGCTTCATCTATGGTATTTGCCCTGAACGCACGGGATTGTGGTACTACACTGTCCGCTTTGTGTGTCGACACGGAGACATCTACGGGTATGCTGTCCCCGCTCCTGTGCTTAGACAAGACGGATGAGTGCTGTGGAGCTGTTGGACCTACTGCGCCGGCGGTAGTCATAACAGGTATCGTATATTGTTCTGGTGAGCCAGATGTGGCAATTGTGTAAGATGGTTTTTGACCAGGCTCGCTGCCGGGCAGTTCACTCCTCATGAGATCTTCTCCTGGTGCCTCAGCCTTGCCTTTAGATGCTGAGACAGGCTGTCCTGCGAGCTCTACAAACGCGGGCGGATCATACGGGTTGTGTTTTGCGTATCTTGTAGCCATGCCTTTCTCGTCGTATTCCGATGTGGTGACGCCGGATTTGGCTTTGCGTCGGCGGCGGTAGAGAAATGCGGCGAGACCGAGAAGAGCAAGTACAACGACAGGAACGACGACTCCGATTGCTGCTTTTGCGCCAGTGGAAAGACCAGATCTGGATGCTCCTGTGTCGACAAATGGTGCGGCCGTATCTGATGCATCGCTAGCGGCTGGCGATGATCCGGCTGGCGAGCTGGTCGGAGTTGAGGTCGGACTGGAGGTCGGACTTTCGGACGAGGTACTGTTCGCTAAGAGTGCTGAACAAAACGCCCGGACGAGAGTAATGACATCTACCGTTGCGTTAGAACTGTACGGCTCATGTGTTTTCGAGGTAATTGTTGCTGTTGTTTGAAGAACATCAGGGCGACTCACCAGCTTTCTCAGTCGAATTTGCGCAATGCTTGGTCAGGCAGCTATCAGATGACGAGAGGATCGCGTCTTCGTGCCGGCATGAACAGAGAGCGTCCGAGCAACCAGCGTCCCCGATCTCTGGCCTGATACAATAATCCTATCGTGGTCAGCTAGATGGAGAGGACGTAGAAGAAGTTGAGAATTACAACGCATCCGGGAATGTTCGTTCCAGGCCCTCCGATCGCTTGGGCCTGGACCAGTATTGCGATAGTCGCGATGAGAATGACGATGGACTTCATCTCGCATTGATCTTGCACTCGGACAGAATGAAGACGGCGTCGATGTCCACCAAGCGCGCACAGTAACGAGCGGGGATTCTGGGGTCAAGTAGTGCGATATGTGGCACCACGGGCCAAACAATATGGTGCTGACCATGCTACATGTTATCTGGCCAAGCACTCTCTATGTTAAGGGAATTGTACCGTCCACTCCAAATTAGACATAGCGGCTTGAGACGGTAGGAGAGTTTGTGGTGTGATGCATCAACACCTTGCCACTTTGGTACTAAGTCTGTCCAAAAGCCGCGGCAGTTGGCCGCAGTTCGGTGATCGTCGCCTCAATAGGGCTGGTTCTCTCGAACCGACATGGATCCTGAACATACCGAGAGCGAACGAGGTAAGTCCGCCATCCTTCGTGGATGGAATTTGTGACGATGTGAGATGTGATCGCCCAAGATGTTGATTTGCCCGTGTGTTAAATTTTGATAGCTTGCGCGTTAATATCTGGCGGCTGACGTCGCGTCGAAGGGCGTCAGGATTTCTGACAGAGGACATTACTCTCTTGTTGGAGTGTATCGGGCCTTTGCGGTTGCATGGTACGTGTGTGGGGTTGTTGTTACATTGCAGCGACAGAGCGCTGATGTAACCGAGTCGTTCCAAATTCGTGGTATAAGAGTTCGTGGTGAGCGAAGAAGATGTGGCTTAGAGAAATGTCTAATTATACTGTGATCTCAGTCTTCGGCCATGATAAGCGTTTTCTGGCAGACATGGGTAGACTTGATGTCAGTCTCAAATTTAGCGACTATGCTCTTGCTCTTACCATGAACGTATCACGTGAAATGAAGCCAAAGCAGATGGAAGAAGAGAGGAATGGGACGGGACGTATGTAAGCCTGGATGGAGACATGGCTTGCTTCGAATAGAGTTTGATGGATATTCCATACGGACTCCGCAGATATAATAACTTGAAGATTGCGCGTAATGGAGTCGATGACCATCATCAGGGAATCCATGCATCTTTCAACTCTATTCCGTGTAGACAAGCCAGGATACAGTACTTCTAGCGGTTGCGGACCCGCCTCCGGGATCGCCTTGCTCGCTGGAAGCATACCACGGGCAGCAGACCGAAGTGAAGTCAAAAGCTGTCCGGCAGCTGAGCCTCTCGTCGTACGATGTCGCTGACACGAGGTCGTCACGATATGTCTGTGTAGCTTTTAGTCGTGAGCCTTGTTGTACAAAGATGACGATAGATGGGCACAGTTGCTCAATAGAGTGTATCGAGTACTATGTACGGTTTTCGGTCTTAGATGACACGAGCTCTGGCATATTCCAGGAGGCTGATCGGGCTGTAGTACCATAAGACCACCTAGTCATGTTGATACCATACCTTGGGCGGCGGGTGAGCGGATGTGCAGAGCGCGGGCAACGTGGACAGATATCTCAGTGAGTCGTGCGCTCGTGTTCGGATACAGACCAGGATGTCTACTATATTGTTGACAGAGTGAGACTGACAGCGGCATGTCTTCCAAAGTGGGAGGACTGATTCATCCAAACCAGTGATTGCTACTCCTCGAGGTGTTGTCAGATTAGCCATCGCCAACCCCTGCAGGCCGTGAGAGAAGTGTACGACAGCTTTGATGTGTCTTTCGGGTATCCATGGTGTCCATCTGCGTGTGTATGTGTGTGTATGATGAAACATCGAGGGCTGTTCGGAAGAGGGCGAGGGGGCAGCCAGTGAGTGCTATGTAATTATAGCCAAAGGTAAATAGTCCTATGAATGTATATCTAAAGGTGATTAGTGTTATGATGTCCAGGGTAGGCAGGTGTTACCCCGGCCGCCCCCACTCGGCAGCATCGGAGCCTAAGGAAGGAGCGCGCGAGCGCCATGGACCCCGGCAGTCCTGAGCACGCTGCGTTGACGTCAGTACACAGTCACCGTCAATCCTTCGGACCGGGATGGCTGAATTGGGACTCGGGAGGGGGGCACAAGCAGGGAATAGGGAGCAGGGAGCAGGGATCACGCTTCAATCTCACTTCACCGCTATTCTCCTGCGCTGCAAACGAAACGAACGAACGGCCAACGCTATTGCTGCTATCTGCTATACCCGCTTCCCCAGAACGCCGGCGCCCGTCAATTGCTCATGTCCGACTGTTGAGTGAGCACGCTCTCGCGACCACTTCTCCCACAATTTCTCGACACCCTACATCCTTCTCCCCTCTACATCTCGATATACCCTCATAGATCTCGTTCGCGAGTCTTGAGGGGCTGTCGCAAACAACGACGACGACACGCCGGTCGTGGCACGCCTCCGCCCTTATTCGACAGCAGCTGTTGTAATTCACCTACGCAATTCACCTACGCATACACACAAAAACACACACTCCACCATCCGCCTCACTCGAAACCCTTCTGCGGTCACGCTGGCAATGGGCCTGGTTCTGCACTCGACTCGCGAAATCCACGTAGCTCTTGATGCACGTATAACGCCTTTTCCTTTGCCTTCATCTATGGCGCGAACTGTCTGCCTGCTACAAGTATGCTCAGCAACCTCTTGAATCTTCAAGGCCTCACGCGGTCCCACCCGCGGCAAACCACCTCCTACGAGTCGACCACTGAAGATGCTCATACCAAAGCCCTCCTCTTCCCTGAAGCAACCCATTTCCCGAACGCCATATCCTCCGCCTTCGAAGCCTCGAGCCCCCAAAGTCCTGGTCCTGGGTATGATGGAATACAAGGCGAGATTGATTTGGAGCATTCAAGGGACATACGAATCATAATTGCTCAAGATGAAGCTGGTTCGACTCCAAGGTGTGCGCTGTTCGATTCGAAGCAGTCATTCCCACGCGCCGATTCTTCAAAGACGTTCAGCGGCCGCTCAGCTCGTCCGTACTCTGTATACAACAGCAAGAATGCTGCAACCCCTCCAGCCACTGTACAGGGCCATGCACGACGCTCATCCTTGGTCTCGGATACTTCGACCTCTCGCTCCCCAGCCAGTAGTGCTTTCCAGCGTATACCCTCTAGAGCATCGTCCATTTCGTCCATGCCTAATATCGATCACTTAACCTCCCTCAACCGCCGACAATCCGAGGCTGATGCCAATATCCAGAGCACCTGTCTAGACTGCATGTTTGGCAATATCTCCATGGGCTATAAAGGCACTGGTAATAAGCTTCATATTATCCCACTTGAACCGCGTGCGATAGATCAAAGCATAGCATCCTACGCATCTGAAGGTCAAGGGTCCTTGCCAAAGGGAGAGGCTCGTAAGAGAAGCAACCTAGCGACTTCGTACACCCCTGCGAATCCACCTCCAGACATGATGAACCCTCGCTTATCTGCCTCGCCTGACCAGTCATCTAAAGAGCGTCGACGAACTGTCATGGTCAGCCGGATCTTCTCTGTTTCTCTGCCTGACGAAGTCGAAGCTGGCGACAGCACAAACGTCAGTACTCCGACTCCTCAAAACTCTACTTCGCAAGGCAACGCATTTCCCTTCTCCTCATCCACTGGTACTGGAGCATCTACACCAGGAGGTTATTTTCGGCGTTCGAGAGCACCAAAGTTACCCATGTATGGCGTTTCGATCATCATGCAGTTACCGATTGCACCAAAGCCGCCCAAAGCCTCTAGCAACGTTGGTTCATTTCCGGGACACGAGTCGCTTGGTTCGTCCGTGGACTCCGACCAACGAGGTGGCTGGTCCTGGGTAGACTCAAGCTTTGGAGTCGATTCGTTACTCTCTGCGTCCTTCAGCAGCGATGTAGATGATCGCGTCGAGATTGTTGGGCAACACTGGGATGTCCTTATCAGGACCCTTACGAGTCTTCAGTTCATCGTCCAGGAGAGGGTTCTTGCCCAGTTCAAAGCCACTGACGCGTCTACTGTCAAGACGTCACAGGCTCCTAGGATGCAGCGGGCTGTAGGTCGAGAGCCCTTGTCTCAGGTCGCTCCACGTCGTAGCTTGAGACTTCAGCCATATGCATTGGCAGCAGATCAGCATATTCAGGCCGCTGTTCGCGCCGCTGGAGAGCGGGTAGTACGTGGAATGAAAATACCCCGCGTGTCACTTGGCCAATCCCGTTGGGGCATCTGGCGAGATGAAGCAAGATGGTTGGGTAAGTGGGCAGGTGGTAAAGAGGAAAATTTCTTCTTCTTTACTCTTCTCACTGCTTTCTTGGGCCACCACACCGAGTGGCTCAATGTTATAGGTCCGAAAAGGTATAGGAGACTGCACATCCAGCAGCAAAAGTCTAGTGCTGGAGAGGATTTGACCATATCCAATCGCACCGTTATTGTGGGTCCGGATAAGATGGCCGCCCGTCGCTTGATCTTCTTACTTTCTGCCTTTCTGCCTGCCTCTGGCCACGCTCCGTCGTATGATGGCGCATCACCCATCAGACCTAGTACGTCTGCTTCAGTGCGGGGTTACTCTCAATCTCCCCCTCATCAGATGGCACTGGCACGTCAGAAATCGCTTCGCAGGACTATCAATCGAAGGGGTCGCCCAAGTCAGACACATTCAAGGCACGTGGCTACACACAGGAACGTTGCGCAGCCTTCTAGTGGCACAAGCGACGATAGAAGCGAGTCGATCCCTTTCGATGCCGAATATTTGAGAGGTCATTCGCGGCGACCGTCTGAAGCACGTTCGACCATATCGGTTCAAACTAGCACGCTTGCCTTTCCACCGTTGTCTGAAAGTCCAACTGGTGGGAAGAGTAGCGCAACCATCACACCGACCGCCGCTCCGGATGCGCCCAGACCTGTTCCCCATTTCGCAATGCAGCGCACAAATTCCTCGGGTCTGATGAATGATGTAGATTCTACTAGCTGCGAGAGTATAGCGTCCTCAAATCTCATGCACAACCTCAGACGCACCAGCCACCATGAAAGACATCCAAATCTCGATACACAGTCTTCCGGGAGCAAATGGTCGTCTATCATGAGCTTCTGGAACGGTGGCAGAAGATCCTCATCAAACGACACGAGTGACATTCTCCAGTCCACAGATGAAGGACTTGGTATTTGTGGACAGCCATACAGAAGTCCACCAGATGGACGTACCTTGAACAAGCTCGAAATGATGGTTCTCGAAGCAGATCAAGTTAACCAGCTCAGCGGGACTGATTACGACAATGAGACGAACGAGGAAGCCGTTGACGATCAAGCTAGTGAAGAAGCCGTCACTATCAGTGGTATTCCCAGCTCTGGAGCCAGGGACATTCCTCACCGAAATAAGTCTGTCTATGAACCATTGAAGCTATCTATAAACGAGAACGATGGAGTGATTGATGTAGACATTCCACTTCCTGGTTTTAGTGGGTCTCCAGTGCGGTCCCCATCTATACCGAGTCTTAATCCAGGATCATTCGGAGGTTCGAGTGTTCATTCGTCGCATGGTTCATTTTGCCATGGTGATTATGAACAACCCATCAACGTGGCAGGCTGGCTAGGAAAGTTTCATGCAGATTTCGAACTACAAGGCGTTAGCCCATACGCCAATCTGGAGCAAGATATTCGCAAGGCAATGAGCGCGGAGCCTACACCAGTGATGGCAGCGATTACCCCGAATCTGGAGTCTGGTCCTACGGAGAAGTGGGTGGATGTTTGCAGCGCTCTGATTGCAGATGCGCGCAGCTTTACCGTGAAGCGTCTTCGACTGCGACGCCTCGTCCGACTTGTCCCAATCCCCAGCCAGCCAGCTATCACTCCAACGCCGTTCGCCATGGCTCCACCTCGTTTGCCGTTCACAGACCCTTACCAAATCAGTCAGACACCTCCTCCCGTACCCATGTCGGAATTGCATCTAGAAGAGAAATTTACGGAGGAGTCTGTCATGGACATTGACGACACTCTGGCTGATGCTATTGAGCGTGTTCTTGCTCATAGTGGAGCTTCGTCCCGCGCACAATCACAACCGTCATCACGATCCGGCTCAGTGCGTGGGCGCAAAGGTGCAACAGATGTCCCCACGCCGCCTGTGGTGGAAATCCCTCGCACCGAATGCAGGGATCTCGTCTTCGGAGCTTTGGAGCAAATCGTCAAGAGCGTACAAGAGGAACGGACTGCGAATAATCTTGCCACCGAGCGCAGGAGCCGCAGCGCAGAATCAACCTTACGGGAAGGTATAAAGCGTTGGCTGACCGAGGTGGAATGAATTCACCTCGTCTTTCTTTCCTTAAGTCGTGATACCAGTCTTTCCTATCTTCAAGCTAACGGCCGCTTTCCTATGACATGCAAGAGGGAATATAGAGAGCAGGGTCAAATAGATCTACGAAGGCTTCGTTGTAATGGAGCCCGTTTGCGTCGATCAGTCTTGTTTTTACTACTTACTGCGTTTGAGCGGGCGTTTTGGAATTTACCTGTTTTACATACCCAGCATCCGAGCTCACATAGGGGTTTTTCATATCACTCCCTTGCACCGTGACGAACCCCCCGTGCAGGGAGACGGCCGAAATCACACATATAGAAGAAACACTAGCAATGAAATTATTCTAGATGCATGAATGGGTTGTTGGAACAGTATCAACCTGAGTAAATAAACCCTGCCACCTGGTGCTTCCATGGATCTGCAGAGTCCGCACAGCGCTAGTTCTGCATGCAACCCATACTTGGCACTAGACTGGTATTGTGCTCTGTTGTGCTCTGTCATGCTCATGTCAGCCTCCACAAGAATCCTTAATCAGCCCCTTCTTTAGGCCTGAGAACAGAGTGACGCATTTGACCCACTCGAGGTGTCCCGTACCGTCCGTTCGTTCGTGGTTTAGCAGAAGCACCAAAAGGAGGGGTACATACCATACCATACACATGAGGACCTAGGTAGAGCTTCCTTGCGCCCACTACACATCACCAAGTATATATATATTAAGCAAACTGGTTTTGTTCCTTTCAGCACCAAGGTTTTCTATATATGCTCCTAACACCAACACCGTTTCGTGTATCGTCGATTCGTCTCTGCGCGACTCTGTCCCGAAGAAATACTTTGACATTGAATAGAGGATTGATTGTACGGTCGATTAGGATGGCGGTATGTTTCTGATACTTTCTTTCTGTTTGTACTGTATATATTCTCATTGTAAAAATCTTTTTCTTTTCTTACAATCAAGTCATGGATTCCCTCTTAAGTGGCATCAGGTAGCATTATGTCATGTCTCTCACACACACACATATATATGTATACACACACGTATACACACAAACATCATCCTGCCAACCCTCCAACTAACACAAACCACAGAGCACCGACAACAGCAACAACAACAGTATCCTGAACTGGGTCAAGCCAGGCGACAAGAGCGGCGAATTCAAGCGACAGACTTCTTCGTTCCGGAACTTCATCGAGAACAAGCCAGGCGCGGAGTTTCCGCCTGAGAAGGGGCGGTATCATGTTTATGTCAGCTATGCTTGTCCGTGGGGTATGTAATGTTTCGTCTATGGCTCCCTTGGATTTGACTATTGAGAGAAACGGGAGGGGTGAATTGGTCTATCCCTGACTGGTTGTTTGACTGACTGACTGACCAACTGACTGACATCTCCAAGCGCACCGCGTGCTCATCACGCGCAAACTAAAGGGTCTGGAGGACTACATCGGCTTCACATCCGTACACTGGGAAATGCTCGAGAAAGGTGCCCTCTCCCTCCCCCAAACAACAACCATCCCAAAACCCACAACCCCCCTAACCCACCCCCAAAACACAGGCTGGCGCTTCGCCACAACCACCGAGTCCCTCCCCGGCGAAAACACCCTCCCAGACCCGCACCACCCCGCCTCCTACACCCACCTCCGCGACATCTACCACGCCGAACAACCCGACTACACAGGCCGCTACACCGTGCCCACCCTCTACGACACGCGCACAAACCGCATCGTCAACAACGAATCCAGCGAAATCATCCGCATGCTCTACCACGCCTTCGACGACCTGCTGCCCGCGGAATACGCCGCCGTAGACCCGTACCCTGCCGCGCTGCGCGCCGAGATCGACGCTACGAATGAGTGGACGTACGACGGGATTAATAACGGGGTGTATAAGAGCGGGTTTGCCACGACGCAGGAGGCGTATGAGAAGGCTGTGAGGGCGCTGTTTGAGGCGCTGGATCGGGCGGAGGGGCATCTTGCTGGGACGGAGGGGCCGTTTTATTTTGGGGCTGCGATCACGGAGGCGGATATCCGGCTGTATACGACGATTGTGCGGTTTGACGTGGTGTATGTGCAGCATTTCAAGTGTAATTTGCGGGATATTAGGAATGGGTATCCGGCGCTGCATGCCTGGCTTCGGCGCTTGTACTGGGATGAGCCGGCGTTTGGTGAGACGACGCAGTTTGAGCATATCAAGAAGCATTATACGAAGAGCCATAAGCAGATTAATCAGTTTGGGATTACGCCCGTGGGGCCCGTGCCGGATATACTGCCCAAGGGGGAGGAGGTGGCGGCTGTGAAGGGGTCCTGAGGTTTAGGTTGTTGGGTTCATGTGAGGATGACTTGAGGCTTCGAGGTGTATGTAGTTCCCGTCATGAGTTAGATGTATAGGATTTAGATGCCATCACGCTTGGTTTGTTCTGATCTCTGTTAACTTTCCTGTCGTTCGTATTTTGATACTCATTGTGAGGATAGAAATTGTGGTGGGAAACTTCAAACACAGGAGTGCAGGCGGAACCTAAGAGGTACAACAATTCAAAGCTACACCCTGCTCACTGCGCCGCCCGCGCGCGAGGATATGGTACAAGCAAGGACAAGGCCAGGGAATGTGCAAATTTTATGGCTCCTGCTGGTAATGATAACTGGTGTATCGGACGTGAGACGAAGCGGATGGGACCTTGCGCAACAATGGCGAGAAATTCAGTATTCATGTCCTATATCGTTTCCGAAGACGCCCAAGATGAATTCAGTTTTTTGAATTGTTCATACAGGCGATATAACATGCCCGATTTCAAGCCTACACCATGCCATGATCGAAATTGCTGGAAGGCGTGCCGCATGAACCCCAATGAAACCGTCCGCTCTCTTCCTCTAATCATCCAGTACGATGTTGGTCCTCTCTGACACGTATAGACCATCCAAGAACTGTTGAATGTCAGACACGTCAATTGCACGGCTCCGCGACGTTTCTTTCTCACCTTTCGAATATCCTTGTTCTTGACTCTGCAGATTTGCTGAATGTCTGCAGCGCTTTGTGAAACGTTTTCCAGCGAGTTTCCGGTCAGCTCGAGCTGGTCCTTGACGTTCTTCGACGGCTCGACGTCAACACCGGGTTGCATCACGACCTTCCGCACGATCTTCTCGCCAATGAAATTTCTACACCCATAATCAGTCCTTTCGTTCCCAATGCTGTAGCTGACTTGTTTTCATGAGGCTCTCTCACCTGATCTCAACCTCGTACAGACCGGTCTCCTGGTTCTTGTCGACGTTTACGTTGATGGGAAAATGGGCATAGACGTAACGCATCTTGTACTTGTATCCCTTTGTCACACCGATGATCAGGTTGTTGATGAGTGTGCGGACGGTTCGGAGAGTAGCGACATTTTTGCGGGCACCGTGGTGAAGCTCGATGTTGATAACGTCCTTAGAAGGGTGCGAGAACGAGACGGCGATGTGAGACAGGCTCTTGGTCAGCTTTCCTGTAGCAAGCGATCAGAATATATCCGCCAAATAGTCTGCCGTTGTTTCGAGTATGTACCTCGGGGACCTTCGACGTTGATAACCCTCTTCTTGATGGTGACCTTGACTGTGCGCGCCCAATTAGCCACCGAATCTCGTACTTGCGCAGTCCTCTGTTCTAAACTTACCACCCTCGGGGATGTTCAGCGTCTCCTGGGAGTGAATGTACTTCATCGTGGGCGGTTGTCGTGGGCTGCTGATTAGTACAAGTCGTCAATGGTCTGTCTTTTCGTGGGTTTCGATTTCCTCGCTTAGGGACGGTGTGGTGTGCGGCCGGAAAAATTGCGGCGCGCTAAGGTATCCAAGATGATGCCTTGATGCCTTATATTTATATCGGGCCACCATAAATTGTGCATCACACACATAGCATATTGCATGTTGTCATTGGTTACGAATTTGTCTATATAGTGGTATTTATGAACAATCAGTATCATGTCAAAATCGTGTCTCTCGTTTTCACGTCAACATTACGATGCTGCTCATCTGCCATCTACATTAACCAATTCCCCTCTGCGCTATCATTATCAGTGCGACTTGACATTATTTCAATCGTCACCAGCTCGCCCAAAGCTAATTATTGACCTGGAGCAGTAGCACACCTTTCATAGTCCGGTCCGCACCATGACTGTGGTCTTTCACCACAACCCGTATGCCCGACTGTGCACCGAGCCCCGAATAGCCAGATGTTCTGCATTGGTCACTTCGAGTGCGAAATCCGTATAGACACCTTGCACCGAGATATTATACTCTTCAGGTTCCAGAGTGACGCTTTCGTAGTCCATCTTTACTAGCAGGCTCCTCAACCTGTTTCACTTCTATGATTCTCTTACCACCCGTCGTCGTGATTGTGTCTATAATCTTTCCGTCTTGGTGAAGTGTTTTGATATCATCGCCTCCGCCAATACTCAACCCATTTATCAATATGTTTGGCACGGTCTTCCTGTTTGTCATCTTCGCCAAAGCATCCTGTAGACCGGGACCCAGCTCGTGCTGATCAAGCTCGACTACGTGAGGGGGCGGTGTGATCTTGTATAGGTCAAGTAGGATATGTTTAGCCGTCTTCGAATAGGGGCAGTAGCTTTTGGAGAATATAATTACTGCTCGAGTTAGTGGCGGTATTTCAAGGGAAGGGAACGTACGTACTAGGACTCCGCTTCAAGATTGAGTTGAGCTCCATTTCAACTTCCTGGTCTTCTTCAGACTTGCTTTCTTTGTCAAGCTTCTCCATGTTTTCTGTGTTGCCGCCTACCCTAGCAACTCCTGGAGTGTCCTTCTCTTTCTCGTCCTTGTACTTCACACGACCTGCTACTGACTTTTCATCGACAGCATCTTTCTTCTCTTCATTGCTTGCCATGACCTGCTGTGAGATCCTATGACCTTTCTCGTCAGCAGACTTTTTAGCCTTTTCCTCGGCCGCCTTTAATCGGATCCCAATGTCTTCTTTGCGCGCAGCAGTAGCATCATTTTCAGCTTTCACTTTTGCCGCAATTTCTGCTTGTTTCTTCTCTTCCAAAGCGGCCACTGTGTTTGTGTAGAATTTAGATGACTTGGTTTGTTGCGCGGCGGAGGCCCAGTATATAGTTGTAAGAATAGCCAACACTATCAACAGGCCGAAGACTTTGACGCGGCGTTGCGACGGCATACTGCAGAGTCTGGACGGACGTAAGATGCAAGTCGATGGCCAGGACACTTAATTTGGTGGCGCGTTCGTAAACGCGTCCGCAAGTAGTCAGAAGTGCCGGTGTTACACGTATTCTTTTTGTGATATCTGAATGTCCCAGTTTTACACTTTTGAAGATGGAAAAGTTCGGCGTCCCTTGGTAACTGCAATCAGGCGTGAAGCTATGGCGCAGCAGAACGATCGTTCGCGGTAGAAATACAATGGTCTGGGAATGCAATGTGATGCTCGTGTGTATGGGAAACGCAAATTGTATATTATTGGCGGTTGAGCGAGGGTCTGTGACTGTGAAGAATGGGCAGTGAATAGGATGAAATCATGCGAACAGTTGCGTATGTCTCCTTTAACTATTAGTTCATCAACCATATCTAAATGTGGGGTCATTAGCTGCCCCGACCTGTGCCTGCATACCACCTGGGCAGTAGGCTGCACCACTTGCTACGAGTGCGAATTGGTTGGGATCTTGGATCTCTGTATATACTCGAGGACGAGGTATTAGGGCATGTACTACCAAAGACCCTCCGTTATTCCCCCAGTGTTTGGCTAAGGTCATGTTGTAATGTTTGGGCACAGTTATGGAGCAGGTAAATAGCTACAGTAACCTTTAGGCTAATTCTCCACTTTGCAGAAGTCGCGTCGTAGCTCCCACGGGCTGCCACATGATACATTCCCCTTCGAAATTTGGTTACAACATACACGTACTTTAAACTTTGTACTGCCACCAGATCCCGCGCACGTCCTTAGGAGACGCCATTAATCTCTCCTCGTGTGAATTAATACAAAACACACGGGCAAAGCTTTAGCCTCAAAGCTCGAAGGTTGCTCCATGTCAACGGGACCCAACAATCAACCTCATCTCATCATAGCTCAGATGACAAAAACTTCTGCGCGAGCTCCACCCGTGGACGAATAACGGCTCGTATCTGGTCCAGTCTCCCAGCCTTGTCTGGGCGCTCGGATCTCCTTACTCAATTCAGAATCTCAGTCACACAATGGTGAGCTTTTCGGCTTTCCAGGGCTCGCTCCTTAGTCATCATCATCATACCGGGTAGCTGCGCTTTACGGTCTTGGCTGGGCGGTTTCAACTCGCCATCTCGAGGGTATCGCTGTTACTTTGCCGATCAGACTTCGTATTCAATTGCGTGGCATGCTGTGCTAAAGTATGCGTGGTATGCGTCTGCTATCGCCAGCGCAAACACAGAACGCATGTGTATGCCCAGTATCAATCCGGAAGATGGTGGGAGATACATGCCAGTTTCCCTACTGGAATTGAAAGTAAGAGAGTACGGTAGCAATACCCAGGTGTACCAAAATCGACCGCAGTCGAAGCATCGAATACTGGGGCGCCGAGTCGATCCGCTCTCAGCCTGTATAGTTTGCAATGGTACTGTGACTAGCAGAGAAGTAGTCATGTAGTCCTCTCTCATCGGTGGTTGAGCGTACTGGTAGCAGGCTATCACGGCAAGCTCAGGCATCGATGTCATATTGAACCCAGTCGTGAATAGCTCGGCACAGGCCTCCACTCGCCCATGAACGGGCCGTCAACCACGCGGTCTATCAGCTAGGATCCTGGTTGGTGGAGACACTGGTGTCTTGGTGTCGCTTTTCTGGACAGCCTTGAATAAGGAAGCATGCCCTCCCTTTCCACATCCTTCATCACACCGCGTGTATCAGCCTGCTTGCTCTTCATAAACGCCTTCGTCACGTCCCTGGAGGGCTGCGCATGGCGCATATTGCGAGTTGCGCAACCTCGGCAACTAGTGAATGGCAACCTCCGACAGGCTCCGCTTCGAGGAACCGTTGAAGGTGCAGCGCGAGCGCTCGACGCGTGCCAAGCGGGAGCCCTCGACTGAACAAACACCACTTTCGGATGCAGAATCGATACTTGATGAACACGATGGGAAGCTGAGGGAGGGCGATTTCAAATCAAGACAGGTACATTATAGTCCGCATCCTAATAGTGACGTTTCAGTCTCACTAACTCAACTACGTCAGACGTTCAAAGGGTGGACACTGGCCTGGTAACACTCTTGGCCTGCTTCTGTCCGAGCGCCATGCTAATCTTCCGTCAAGGCTTGCATATCAGTCTATAGGAATTGTCTATGGCGACATTGGAACTAGTCCACTATACGTCTTCTCAAGTACCTTTGAAGATGCACCGCCTTCCAGACAAGACGTATTGGGCGCTTTGTCGCTAATCATATGGTCCATTACATTGATGGTCTCTATTAAGTATGTGTGGATCGTACTTTATGCAGACGATGAGGGCGAAGGTGGCACTTTTGCTATATACAGTCTCCTCACACGATACGTACGAATAGGGTCTCTTGTCTTTATCATAGGATGTTAACCAAATCAGAGCAACATCACTAAATTCGACCCCAAAACTCGAAGCATGACTAAAGTAGAGCGATATCATGTCGAAGATATGCCCTCAAGTAATCTGAAGGCGCGGACCTTCATCGAGAGAAACACTGCCATGCGCACTGTACTCAAGAGCTTAGCCGTTCTAGGTATCAGTTTTGTCATGGCTGATAGCATCCTGACTCCAGCTCAGTCCGTCCTAGGTGCTATCCAAGGTATGTTCTGCAATAACACGATAACTGATACAGAATTCTCATGGCCTTAGGTCTGCGAGTAGTTGCTAGTGACAATATCAACACAGACACCATTGTGGGTGTCTCTTGCGCTGTCATCGTCTTACTCTTTCTTGTACAACCGATTGGTGTCTCCAAGATTGGTTGCATGTACGCACCCATAATTACCGTTTGGTTGCTTTTCAATTGCGCATTTGGTATATACGTAAGTCGAACATGTTGATATTCCGTCGTAGGTGACTGACTCATGCAGAACTTGGTTGTCCATGACTGGACAGTGTTAAAGGCGTTTTCTCCGTACCATGCTGGTCACTTCTTCGTGCGGAAAGGTACCCTTGCGTGGTTAGATCTAAACGGGATCTTACTGAGTTTTACCGGTTTGTGGCTCACTATCGAGAGAAACATAGCACACTCTGACTTGCGATCCTACAAGGTGTCGAAGCGCTTTTTGCTGATCTTGGAGCATTCTCCGCACGGTGAGTGGTATCTATGGTACTAGATTCTGGCTAATTCATGTAGTGCTATACGGTTATCTTGGTTCTGCTTCGCCTTCCCATGCATTCTCTTGTCGTACATCGGCCAGGCTGCGTACTTATCCGAGCACCCAGAGGATTATCTCAATCCCTTCTTCAAGGCTGTACCGCCAGGTCTGTTCTGGCCAACACTTATATTGGCCACACTTGCTGCCATAGTTGCATCTCAGGCCATTATAACGTCCGCTTTCCAGCTCCTTTCTCAAGCTATGAGCGCCAGCTACTTCCCACAACTCCAGGTCATCCATACAGACAAGAGATTCCATGGCCAAGTCTTCATACCCGTCGTGAATTGGCTCATGATGATAGCCACGGTCATCGTGACTGCTGTGTATAACACTGTGAGTCTTCACCTTCACGGAGTCAGGCTAATATCTTGGCACTAACCCTTATTAGACTACGAGACTAGGTCACGCATATGGCGTTTGCGTCATTCTTGTGACTTTCATCACCACATGCTTGGTAAGCTTGGTTGCCATCGTTGTATGGCGACTCAATTGGATACTTGTGCTTGCGGTCTGGCTACCGTTTATCACATTCGAAGGGCTTTTCCTCACCTCGGCCCTCACCAAGTTTCCTGATGGTGCATGGTTTACACTTCTGTTAGCCGCCATTCTGTCGAGTATCTTTATACTATGGCGATACGGCAAAGAGGTGCAGTGGGACTCGGAGAGTAGGGAGCGGTCTGCTCTCTCTGATATGATTGTCAAAGGACCAGATGGATCTCTCAAGGTTGCAGCCCGTTATGGTGGTGCGACCTTGACGAACATACGCGGTCTTGGCATCTTTTTCGACAAGTCAGGAGACCAAGTTCCAGTTTCCTACGAAGAGTTTCTCCGCAAATTTCAAGCTCATCCAGAAGTCCACGTCTTCTTGCACCTCCGAGCGCTGCAAAAGCCTCACGTTCCCGACGAGGAAAAGTACAGCGTCGTAGGCACGTCTTTCCACAACTGCTATCGCCTTACCATCCGCTATGGTTACAACGATAGTCCTATGTCAGCTGATTTGGGGCGGCTTGTCTACACTCAAGTAAAGCGTGCGATCTCTCGCTTCTCAGTTCGGGACCGTCCCTCGGGTGTCGCGTCAGCGCGTTCGTTGTCTCCTGCCAGCAACATGGGAGATAGCATCAGCGTCGTGTCTACGTCGTCTCAGCGCCGTCAAGCCGATATCGCGCAACGACTCGAGGCTCTCGATCGTGCTTTCAACGCACAGGTCGTCTATATCGTGGGCAAGCAACAGCTCAGAACGATCAAGGAGAATCACAATTGGTCCGCGAGGCTGATGCTTCGGGTGTTCATTTGGTTGAAGGAGAATACACGGCCGAAGATTGCGAAGATGAGGATACCCATAGATAAATTGGTCGAAGTTGGATTTGTGAAGGAGATTTAAGATTCGGGGCCGAGCATTTACACAAAGAATCTATTTTGTTTACATCCTCGTCTATGCTTTTCTGCTTTCCGACTTTCCTCGCTAGCCCTGTTTTGATGTGCTGTGGCTGTGCCCAAGTCGCGGACCCCACCAATAAGGGGCTCATCCCTGCAATTGCAATGTGATGATACTCGAGGCAGCAACGTCAAGCAACGGGGCTGTGTGGATCCTATGCCAGGCATTACACATTTGATCGCTTCCTGTTATATTGATTCTCAATCAACTGACAGAGTTTATACTCCTCTGTCTACACATCATCATGATCCTCTAGCACGAGGCAGGACCCATCTCAATTCGCGATGCTCGCCCGCATCTTCGCTCATCACTTCAAAGGCAACCCACGGTCCTCTAAAGTGAAATCAATAAAAGAATGGCAAAAGGAGCCTCAGGATCAGACAAGCTCAAACCAACAGATCCGTGCTTCAACAAACGATGACACTCCTTTACCACCACCCAAACCACCACTTGAACCACTCCAAGGCCCCAGCCAATGCCGCACTGATGATAGTAGGCCAACCGTCTCCTCCAGTCCGATCCTCCAGATCCCCATAGATATCCTAATCCTGATCGACGCATTCCTATGCCAAGAGGACTCCGCAGCACTGAGCCTGACATGCCGCCATCTCTGCCACGTCCTAGGCCGACAAACCCTCCACGAATGCGCAAAAGCCGATAACCCAGCACGGCATAAGATGCGTGTCCATCTCGAGCGCGCATTCCCCAGCTTCCTATACTGCCACCCCTGCAACGTCTTCCACGCCCGCGATCTCGCCCTCCCGAGCAAACCGCAATCCTACCCCCTCCGCCCAACAACAACCACAAAGCCATGTATCCAGACCAGCGGCTACATCCCCTGCCACAACAACTGGACCCTCACTTTCCACCACGCCCAAGCAGCTATGAACGCCTTCCTCTGGACATCCCGCGCCCACGGCCCGTCCGCAGACGCATTCACGTCAGACTTCACATACCAGCCCCCTAACTGCCCTCACCCAATCCACATCACCACCGCCGCGAAACCCCACGATAGCAATACCCCCAGTCTCCTCCTCCACGCATCCGCTACCCTCACTCTCCCCTCCCACAGCTCCCTTCTCAAACCCTCCCGCACCCGTGATCTCCTCTACACATTCCCCCACCTCCTCGTCGCGCACCTCAACGTCCCCGGCGCACAACGCATCCACACGGGTCTCTGGCGCGCCCTCGAGCGCGCCATTGCCACCGCCACCGCAATCTCCTCATCTACTCACTCTCCTCCTCTCAGCTCGAGCCCCGAGACAGAGACAGAGCCCTACCAAACCATCACCCCAGCACCAGGCCCCACAACCCACCGCTGCACCCTCTGCCCAACAGACTACGAAGTCACACTCTCAACCGCCCCGAGAACTCCCTCCGCCAGCAGCTCCCAGCACCACATGCTCGAAATCCGCATCTCCGCCTGGCGCGATCTCGGCCCGTGTCGCGAGCCCTGGGACCCACGCTTCATGGCGCATACGGTGTACGTGCCTGACCCCGCTCCCGCAACACCATCTACTGGCCCCCTAAGTAGGAGATTGCGGAATAGGGTGTTTGGGCAACAGGTGAAGAAGAAGAAGAAGAAGGCGCGACTGGAGGAGTATAGACGGCAGTATGTGGCGAGGCCGGGCTTGATGGAGGGGCAGCGGCGGAGGTGGAGGGTGGAAGGGGCGGGGAGGATTAAGGGGATGTATGAGTGGAGACGGGGGGTGCAGGCGTGGGAGACGAGGAGTGTTGATGGGGGGTGTCGGCGGGTTGGACGGGGGTTGGGGCGTGGGGATGGATGATTGTTGTGTGGTTGTTGGATTTTGGGGGGAGAGAGGGTTAGGGGGAGTCTTGGGGTGGATTTGAGAAACTGAGGAGTTCGTTTGAGGGCTGTAGACTCCTTTCCCTTGTGTCAGAGCATACCTTACTCGAAGCGTATCACAGCTCTACAGACAGTAACAGCGGATGAAACCCGTGATTGTGCGAGATTGCGGTTCAAATGATATATATGATTCTCCGTCTCGTCTTTCTAAGTGGGATATCATCCATCTTAACTAATTGCCATCAAAGATCGCTCCCACCACAATGCAACGACCTGTACACAGTCCTTGCTTTTGAAAACCCTTTTTACCACCGAAACAAAAAAAAGACGAAAAAGAAGCCGACTGAAAGCACAAAAAGATCCCATGTCTGTCACAAACGAACAGCCCCCGCGTCTAGAATCCGATGGGCACGGAGAGAGAAGAGAGAAAGTACAGCCAAGCTGCCGCCTCCAACTACTAAAAGCGCCATTTTCCTCCGGAGTGTGAGAGAAAAACTATGGGTATGCTTGAAGAATGATCTTCCGCCAAGCTTCTTGAAAAGCTCCCCGTCCTGAAGCGCCGCCTGATATGCTGCAAAAAAAATTGTATGACGCCGAATATATCTGATACTGTGAAAGCGCTCGAACGACAAATCAAACCCCTGAAAAAGCGCGAAATGATGGATGGAATGGGAACAAACAGCTCATGATGCTACTACTCATCATCATCCATCCGGACCATCAAAGCCCGAGCTTGTGCTCCTCTGCCCAGCCTTCTTTGACTGCGTCTTCTTTCCCGGTGCGCCGGATGGCCGGCCACGTCGCTTCTTGGGCGTAGGAGCGCTGCCGCCGGAAAGACTGCCTTTCCTCTTCCTGCCTCGAGCCGATCCAGGGGTACGTGACTTGTCGCTACCGGACTCATCCCCTTCCTCCGGAGTCATATAGCCACCGGCGTGATTCGTAGCATCGGCCATCTCCTCGTCATCACTGCCGACTTTGTGCTCGCTGTCGAGGGCGACGGCTTGGCAGAAAGAACGACATTGCGATATCATGCTTTCTCTGCTGTCGAGCGATGACATGATCTGCTCGCTCTGCTGGCCGTATTTGTCTGCAGATATGAAATTGGTTCGGAATGGTGCTTTCAGGTGCTGGTCCTTCTTTGCCTTTGCCTTCTCAAGGCTGTACGCGCGTTTAAGCCAATTGCACGTCTCGAGGATGAGACTCAGGACCATAGAGGCTGCTGTCAGGTGACGCAATCGGTCCAAATCTAGGTCAGGTACCGCTGGAAGATGTGGAGGCTCTGCAGTGGCAACAAGTTCGCCATTAGGCCCCGGCTGAGTTCCATCAAAATCTGTCGCAGTAGACTCCGTCGTGGCCGTGACATTGGCCAAGTCTGTTGGGGCTGGCGCTACCATTGTTTTAGAAGAGAGAACCTCTCTCTCGATAACCTCTGCAACTATCGTACCAGTCGAAGAAAAGATCTTGAGCAAGTTGTCGGTCAGGGTGATCAGTTCGATGTTTTGTACGTATTCGGCGGCTAATAGATTCTCCAGGACATACTGAGGGAAGTAGAGATCCTGTGGCTCGTCGCCAGTCGACTGAAAGTCATCAAAGGCAAATTGGAGTTTCGTGGCGGCGACCTTGAAGAAGTCTTTGCGCACTTTACTACTTGCTCCCTTGATGATGGAGAAGAGATATTTCAGCTTCGGAATGGCAGCCTTGTCTTTCTCAAACTTGGCACCTCGCGAGTTGCTGAAATTGTCCATCTGGTATTGATACGATTGGAGCACACCTTTGTAATACTCTTTCGCAACGATACTCTCGTGCTTCTGGTGTACTGACTCGTGTTCCTTGAAGACTGGAACGGCGATGGAATCCTTATCGGATGTTTCCAGAGCGATGAACGCCGGAATGCATTCATTAGGTATAACGAGACCTTGGCGACTGATGCTGACAAGGATACTGACAGCTACCGGGGCTCGGTCGTCCGTAGTGGAGAGCGCTATGTGTTTCACTGGCTGCAAGAAGTTGCGCGCCAACGTTGTAATGACACCATCGTTGTCGCTGGCATTGAGGGAGGTCCCCATACGCTCGGCACCTTGCACAGCACCCTTACCAACAGCTATCACCGCCCCAGTCTCGGATCGTTTCTCTTCAGACTGGAAGAAATCTCTTAGAACTTCAAGAACGGTAATGTCGAGTCCGCTACTTGAATCCTCAAGCGCTTTTCTCATGGCGGAGAGAACGTCATCACGATTCAGCTCTTTCGGTTTTCTCAGGCTTATCAGGCCGATTGCCTCAAATGCCGCAACTCTGACCTCCTTGTCGAACTTGGGGGAGGTTCTGGGGCAAATTTCGTCCACGAAAAGGCTCAACACTGAAGCGCCCTTCCAGTGAGGGAATCTTGTGCGAAACCTCTCCAGGTGAGGCGCATAATCGTGAGCATTTCCGAACACACCGAGCAGTGTCAACCATTTCCTGACCTTGCTGGAAGGATTCGACGGCTCGTTTTTCTTCAGATTGCTTATTACGGAGCTTGTAATGTTTAAGCATTTCTGTTGGGTACTTGTCAGGTATCCGGACAGGATATCCATACAGATAGCAACCTGGCGCACGGCAACCTTGGAAAGCCTTGCGAGAGAGTCACCCAAACTCTTGTCGAGGTGTTCGAGTAGCGAGTCCTTGGACGACGAGATGAGCGTCTTAAGAGTGGCATTGAATATCTCGACCGTCGGGAAGAAAAGATCTGCATCATCTAGAGTCTGTATATTCTTCAGGAATGGAGTAAGTGAGTTCAATTGAGGCCGGTTTAGCAACTGCGGATTTGCCTTGGCAAACACGGCAATGGCCTTCAGAATTGATATTTGGCGCTGAATACTGGTGTTTCCGCCGAAGCTCTCGAACAGATTGGCCACAAGATCTTTCAAGACATGGGCATTCTCAGCTCTAGATTTTGATTTCTCGTCCAGTAAACTGTTGATCCAGATACCGAACGGTTTGACTAGCCAATCGTCCTGTTGTAAAGCAGAGACGATCAACGTGACATTTGATTTGAAAGTCACATTCAGGCGAGCATCTCGTGCACCACGGAACGGCGAGATCCAGAGTTCTTCGAGAGATTCCTTTGCAAGTTTGACAATAAGCTCTTCAAGATCCAGGATTCTGTTCATAAACAGCCCGGCAATGCTAGAGCGCATGTCCACATCGTCGTTCCTCTGATAAATATCTTTCAGGAACCGCATGCAGCGTTTCTTCGGGTTGGCGCTGGGATCAACACGAGCCTGCTCGATGAGCTTGCTGTACAGATCTTTGTCCATGGTACGGTCCTGCGAAAAACAAGTCTGCAATAGTTGCAGAGCAGTGTCGCGAATTTGTGCTGATGGGTCTTCATATGCCATCCTCCTGATATAAGGAATGACCTTCGGATTTTGCGTCAAAAGCAGAGGATCCTTGATAGCAAGACGCTCCAAGGCCTTCAGACCCCGATTCTTGGTTGATGTTGAAGTGCTCGCGCAGGAGGCCAGAACATGGGTGAGAATCGTTGGCAAGGCACTACCAAATTCGCTTTGCATAGCAACCACGGCAGCTGCGAGATTTGCATACGATTTCGGCACCATGGGGAACTCGAATTTGTATGTCAGCCATTGTGGATCAGCCAAGGCATTCCTCAAATGCTGTGCTAAAGCTGCGAATTCTTTGCTGGCATCTTCCTTCTTGGTCTCTTCAAGAATACCAGCGGCCCAAGTCGATAGGAAGAAACCACGGCCACTATGCAGGCGTAGATCTTTAGTAGTGCTGCCGTGTATATACTCAATGCAGAGTCGATACGGCCCTTCGAACGCGTAAAGTTCACCGGGACCGACATCATTGTTGATAACGTTCTCTCCGAGCTGCGATAGCTTCGCTGACATTGGAGACTCACTTGGGTCCAATATGCGTGTGTCTCGGCGCACAGCCTTTTGCAGGTCATATATCGCGCCGGCCAGCTGACCCATGATATCGAGTGAAAGGGTGCGGTTTGCGACTGGGTAGTTGTCGTTGGAGTACACGTTCAGAGAGTACCCACACACAACGCGTAGAAGTGTCGTAGCTCCGGGCCAGTCGCAAGAATCAAGAACAAAGATCGCGACTAAATCCTCTACGAACAGTTCGAGCAGCTTTTGATAAGGCGAGTCTCCGCTTTTGCTTGCTTCCAAAGACCTCGTAAACATATGTCCCACTATTGACTTGGCCATACTGGTGGCAGCAGAGACGAGCGGGTTTACCATAGCTTCGAGAGAAGGTTTTCTTGAACTTTGCTGCACCGCCTTGGGCTTGGTCGTCTGGGGCATATCATCATCGGATTCGCCATCGGCATCAGAGTCCGAGACATTTGTGGCTGCTGTATTCATGTTTTGTCCGACGTCACTATTATAATCACCTTCGCCCAACGAGAGAGTTTCAGACGCCCGATGGGGTCTTGAGGCACTTGACTGCACGAATCGGATGAATAGCGCGGTCACCACCTGGATTGTACAGCCTCCGGGTGTCTTGAAATGTCTGGCCTGCTGAGGCGTGACCGGGAGTGACGACAGGGACGAGAGAACGTATCGGACGATTGTGTCCCTCTGTGATGGATAGCATTGAAAAAGGCCGGCAACAAGGTCCATTGCACGTTTTCGGAGCAATTCAAACTTCTGAAGACCCAGAGGTGCATTTTGTTCGCTGCTTGCGTTTTCCACAAACAGGAGCCGAATTGCCAAATCCTCAACCGAGCTCCTGACTTCTTCATTGATTGTCATGTTAGCGAACAATTGCTCGAGCATCTTTAGCGCATTTCCCACTCGCATGAGGACGTTTGGGAGGTTCGATTTTGAGTCCTGGATAGTCCTCATGATGTTGTTGCCAGCGCGTGTGTGCGATTCCACTACCGGTATGATCAAAGTGTCCAAGGTGTGCTTGACCGCGGCGATGACTGCCTTGAGCATTTCCTCGGGGCAGAGGGTTATGTTGTTTCCTGCGGCGACCATGATTCTGAGGAGGACTTTTACGGCTTCTAAGCCGTCATTCAGATCCACCACACGTGTGTCGAATTCTGCAATCTTGTCCATCGACCAGTCATCAGAAACTCGCAGGTCGATCTCAGGCACTGATCTAGCGTAGCCCTCGCAAAGCTTTTGTGCTCGCCGTAGAAAGTCTTCTGACAAGTTTCCAAACTGCTTTTCCTTTACCACCTTCTGCAAATGCGAGTCTAGATATTTGAGCCCTTCTGTGGTCAGTGTCTGGGTGTCTAAACCATCGACACTGATGGTTGTCAAGAGTCTGGTAGCGTTCGCCGCAGAATGAGCATCATCCCCGGCATCTTCCAACTCAAAGACCTCCTCGAGAAAGTCCTCGAGTGCCTGCACAGTCACGTCTCGCGTTTTGGTCCGATCCTGGGCTTGACTAGTGTCGTACTCGTCACGACGTTCTTGCGAAAGAGGTTCGTCCCTGGATTGGACCATCGCGTCGAGCTCGGGAAACTTCTTCCATTCCGAGCGTTGAGAGGGGTTCCATTTGGGACCAGGCGTCAGAATCACCTGTGCTTGCCCGGGTCTGATACTTGGTGCCGGTCGCGGCACGGGTGCCTGAACCACAGGCTGCACAGGCTGAACCGGCTGTACATGGTGATTCGGCTGAACCGGCTGCACAGATTGAGGAGTGGAGGATCGCTGTTGTTTAGTAGGCGTTGCGGACGCTGAAGCTCGTTTGACGGGAATGACAACCATGCCAATTGGCCTCTTCGCAGGGCTGGGAGTAGACGGCGAGCCCTCTGACTTGATCTTAGGTAGAACCGTGGGCGTGCTTGACGAAGGGTGATGCTGTACAGTGGGGGTCTTCTGCGGAGCCACCTGCGGTCTAGCAGGTTCAGAAGCTCCTATATTCTGCTGTGAGGGTACCCTGTTGGTGTGCGTTGTAATTGCCCCATTCTGTTCAACTCGCTGTGTTCGGACGGCTTGAGTAGGAACCTGTGAGACTGGGGTCGAGCTTTGACGGCTCTTTGTGTTTCCATTCGCTTGAGCAGAGGGCTGGTCTGGTATCTGTTAGCTTTTTTGCGTGACCTCCAAGAGTGACTCTTTCACATTTATGTCGAATGTTCGTAGCGTTCAGGACGGTCCGCGCGAATTTTCCCAATCTGGGGTTTGTTGGTGCAGGAGGCTTCCCATTTGTAGTCGCAGTTGTAGCCATCATCGAAGCGTGCTGGTGAGGTTCTTTGAAGACGCTGTGAGGGTTAGTCCTGCGTAGGTTTGTCTGATGTATGCAAGCCTTACTACTGAGGAGTGTCGCCGGACTGTAGTAGCCGTTTGAGATCACTCAGGGTCTTCTGCAGCTTCTCAGAAGTATTTCCATGAGCATCTATCTCATTGTCCCAAGCTTCAAGACTACGATTGGCCGCTTGACGTTCGGATTGGCTGGTGAAGATTGACGTCCTGCTTGAAGGGACGGCAGAGGGATATGCTATAACATCTGTAAAGTGTCAGTCGGCACGAGCACAACAAGTAGGGTGAAGTTGAGTCAAGTGAATATCCGCCCGGAAAGCACTCACCAGGACTGAACGGTGTTATGGAGCTGAGGGGAGTGTACGGTAAAGCTTCCTCCACGGTAGGTGGTCTAAAGGGTAACTGAGCCCCATACTGCTGATGAGGCTGCCCGTTCGACTCCATTTTTGCCAGAATCACACAGACATCTGGGAGCGGCGCAAACTTGTATAGATTCGTCTACAGCCGCGAGCAGCTCAGGTAGGGATTCGAAGGATCTGAGGTCTGTCAAGATGCCATGGTAGCCGGGCCGAAAAGGACGACAAAGGTGGAAGCCTGACGGCGCGCAGTACAACAATGCGACGCACGATTCGATAGAGCGAGAGCGATATGAAGGCGAGGGTAGATGTGCATGCGACAATCATATACTGATGTGATGCTCAGACATTCCAGTTGAATGGGTACCTTGGGTTTCCCTCGCCGCACGCCTGACCCACAAACTCTTGGCGGCCAAGGTCCAAGAACTCCGCATCTCCAAGTCTTCTCCTCCGAAACAAGATTCTCATAACCACAGCAAGACAACATGGCCGCAATCGGATCGCTCGTGTTCTGCACCGACTGCGGAAACCTTCTGGATAGCAATACCGGCCATCAGAAGGCTGTGCTGACATGTACAATCTGCGGCGCATCCAATAAGGGTCTGTAACAGAAAAATTTCGCTACGACAGAGAAAACAACGTGCTGACACCGCGTAGATACGTCTTCGAAAGTAGTCACCACGCATTCCAAACCGTCGGCATTCCCGTCTGCACTCCGGGCGAAACGGTCCGAAGTCCAGACACTGGCGGCAGAAGACATGCAGACGGAAGTCGTCGTCAATCAAACGTGCGAGAAATGCGGCCGCGAAAAGGTGCGCTACTACGAGCAGCAACTGCGCAGCGCCGACGAAGGCAGCACAATCTTCTACATCTGCGACTGTGGGCACAGGTACGATGTCTATTGTATGTTTTACAGCCTATGATCTAACTTTTGTGTGATTGCAGATGGAACACCAACAACTGAACCAGATGGCCACGCCGTCAATAATGCTTCCTTTTTTTCTCGATACCCGGCGAGATCGCCACAATGTGTTCTATGCCGCCTGCTGTACACTCGCAACCGACGGTATCGTAGAATACTCCAAGGCCCCGCTCTTCTCAAACTCGGCCATGTCCAGGGCCACGACCACACTCTCCCTAACGACCTGCTCGGGATCATCCAAGAACCTCCTCAGCACCTCCTCCACCCCGTCTTCCTCGCCCAGACTGCCCAGCGCCTCGGCAGCCTCATGGCGGACCATGCTCTCCTCTTTCAGATCACTGAGCGTCTCGATCAGGCTCGGAATAGACGCCGGATGCGACAGCTGACCAAACACAAAGGCGATCTCGTGGCGGAACAGCGCAGACGGGTCCGACAGGCCGCGCGCCAGGGCATGCACGGCAGGAACAGCAGTAGGCAAGTCGGGCGGACTGGACAGATCGCGCAGCGCAAACATGGCACGGTAGCGCTGGAACAACGGCAGCTTCGTATCAAGCAGCGTGCGTTCGAGCGCAGGCACATCCACGCTCGCCGTCTGCGCAAGGGGGGGCGCCGGGTCAATGGACACAAAGTCACTATCGCAGCACGCAGATTAGCACTAGCCAGCCATATAGCAAAGCACACCATCCCAAAACATGAAGAGATCCAATATACTCCATCACATACCTCGTCTTAATCTCCTCCTCCTCCTCCTTCCCCCCCCTCCCAACCTCCCACTCAATCCGCTCGACCGCAATCTCACACGTCTCCCGCACAACAACCTCCTCGCCCACCCGATCGCGAAACGCCCTCAACAAGCCCACACACCCCACATCCCCAATCGCACCCAGCGCCTCCGCCGCCTCATGCCGACACATCGCATCCTCGTCCACATCCCGCAGCACGGCCTCGAGATACGGCACCGCGGCCACGTTCTTGCTCTGGCCCAGGCAATACGCCAGTTCGTGCTTTAGCAGCGCAGAGGGCGAGGCGAATGCGGCGGCGATGGCGCGGATGGCGGGCGCGGTTTGGGCGGTCGGTGGGTGCGTGCTGGCGAGGTGTTTGAGGGAGAAGAGGGCGCGGAAGCGGTGGGCGAGCGGGGTGGATTCGGTGGTTAGGGTGTGGCGGAGGGAGGAGATGGTTGGGTCGGTGTCGTCGTCGGGTTGGAAGTGGTCCGGCATGGTTGTTGGTCTGTTGGGTGGTATGTGGGAGGTGGTTTGGTGTTGTGTATGTAGCTGCTGCTGCTGCTGAACTTTTTCTGTGAAATTCTGGCGGGGTTGGATATGCGGAGCTCCAGACCAATCAGAAATCAGGCGCAGATCTAATCACTTGGCGCTGCCCCTGTATAGTATCTGGTGATCCGGGATCGTCAACATCAACGTCCCAGATCCTCCATCTACATCCGCGCGCGATCGGGATCTAGCAGAGTCCGGACATCCTACAAGCACACATATCCAGAGCATTCCGACGAGGCAGAAAAATTCGTGAAAGTATGGCCGCGAGTAACGTCGTCCTCATCCGACGCGCCGGAGGTATCACCGTATCATAGACGCATAGTATGCCCATATAATATATGCACAGAACCGCAACACATTCATTAAATTATAACACCCAATAACTACAAACCCCGAACCACGCGCGAGCAAAATCTCACCAAAAACCGTTCAAAATGCAAACAGAACCTTTACTAATACACAGATCCGCTCTACTATCACGAGCGAAGTCCCAATGGCCAGCCATATCCGCTGCGCCGTTGGTATATTACGATCCGGGCATTAGCAGCCGCAACAGCAAGAGCAACAGCAACAGTAAAACCAATACAAGCGTCAAATATACACAATCAGATGTCACCTTCGATATACTCCCGTGTAGCGCAAAGCTGGTTCGTTACATTCAGAGCAGGGACTCGCTCGCCGCCCTTGACCCCCTGAGTCGCCGCCCCTGATGACCTCGACTGGATTCAGATAGAATTCAGACTGGATATGGATGATTCGAAGCGTGTGGCCGAGCACGGCAGGTGGACTCTTTCTACGCCACTTTTCGGTGCAACTGGACGATACTCTCTGCGTCGGTGTGTTTAGGGGTGGTCGGTGTGTGTGGATATGTGGTTGGACGGAAGCGTGTGGGAAAGGAAGATGGTGTTTTGGATGTAGTGTAGTGTGGGCGTGTTTGGATGAGGATGTGGTGCTAGAGCCAGGGGTGGTGGAATAGAAGGAGGTCGTCGGATGGTGGAAGATATGATGGGTAGGATGTCGTCGATGTGGACGGCTGGAGCTGTCGGTTGTTGGTAGCTCGTGCTCGTCCGTGAGGTTGTTGACGAGGAGAGAGAGAGAGGTATGTGTACCTGAAATCCCGTCCAGCTCGGTCTGTAACCCCTTTCCGACCTCTTCTCACTCGCTCGCTCACCCGAAGCATCTTGTCATACGACACAGCACCTCTCAACACTCCCAACGTCACAGTCACATTTCCTCTCATTCTGCACTCGTCATTCTTCATTCTTCATTCTTCATTCATTCAAGCATTCATTCAATCATTCATCCCTCATCCCATCCACTCCCCCCACCTTCACCCCTCAACATCCCTCCACCCAACCCCCCTCTCCCTCTCCCTCGCCCTCCCCCTCCTCCCCCTCCACACCCGCCACTGATCCCCAAGCTGCCTCTTCAAGCCCTCATTATACCCATACGTAACCGCGTTCGCCACACCCACAAACTGCGTCGTGGCCTGCAGCGCCGTCAGCCACAGCGGCGACTTGCCCGCCGTGCTCTCGACCACGCGGTTCAGGATGCCCGGGATCCACAGGATGATGTACATGGCCGGGTAGCCGTTCAGGAGCAGCATGCGCTTCAGCTCGCGCTGGCGCGACACGGCGGCGGAGTGGGCGACGGAGGCGTTGAAGCAGCGTGTTGCTGTCGATGTCGTTGTCGTTGTCGTTGTGGTTGAAGCGCGTAGTTCAGGTGTAGCGACAGCAGCAGGACTCGCAATCCCAATCCCAATCCCAATCCCATCACCCACGCCCTTCGCACCCACACCGCCCATCCTCACACCCACATCCTCCCCCTCCCCCTCCGTCTCCACCCTCGTCAACCCAACCACCTCCTCCACCCCATCCACCACCTCCACCGAAACCCCACTCGACAAACTCAACCCCCCATAAACCCGATTCAAATGCACATAAATAAACGTATAAATCCCGACCGTCCCCAGCAGAATCGCAATCCGCCACCCATGCGTCAGCGCATACCTCTCCAACAACAGTTCCTGCCTAATCCAGCACCAATTCCCACTCACAGGACCAAACGCCCCGATCCCCAGCGCCACCGACGCCGTCGTCAGCCCAGGCACCCACACGCACACGCACACGCAGATTGTCGCCGCTGTGCTGGGCGCGCGCAAAAGCCCGCCGTTTGCGGCCACCCCGCCGCGCTTGATGGTCCAGAGGACGGCGAGGGAGATTGCGATGATGCTGAAGTCGATGGTTTGGATGGTGAGTTGGTTGAGGAAGCCGGAGGCGGTGCAGAGGCGGCCGGCGGGGATGACTTTGCCGTGGCGGGCGAGGACGGCGGCGCCGGAGAGGACGTTGGAGAGGGCGTTGGAGAGGTCGGCGATGAGGAGGTTGAGGATGAGGGCGTGGCGGAAGTGTTTGGAGGGGGGCGGGAGGATGGTGTAGCAGGTTATTATGAAGAGGGAGGCGAGGGTGGAGCAGAGGCTGCCGATGAAGGTGGGGAGGGAGACGGCGAGGGGGACGGGCGGCATTGTTTTGGTGGTGGGTGAGTGAGTGAGTGAGTGAGTGTGTGCGACGGAGGCGTAGTAGATGGATGGATGGATGGATGGATGGATGGATGGACCTCACGCGCACGAGTCTTGCGTCGTGAGCAGCATTCTCTGCGGCAGATAGAATAGATTGATGAAATGGTAGAAACGATCAAGAACGATATGCGACGTATGTATGTACGTACGTATGTAGTAAACAAGCAGTACCAGAACCCCTTCACACATCAAGCGGGGAAGGGGGGAAAAAGGGGGCAAAAGAAGCAGACGGGCACAAAGCAGATATAACACCAAACACAAGCACCGCACCACACACACCGCACCTCAATCCCGAACGCACACACACACACACACACACACACACACATACCCCAGCCCCAGCTAAGAATAGCAGAACACGTACAGCATCATCCTCTTTCCCCCCTCTCCCTTCTCCCCTCTCTGACAGGCGAGCAAGCTTCCAGTCACGCCGAGCCCGCATGATAGACCACGTGGGCTTTGGGGGCAGGGCCTCTGGGCGGAGGGCGCAGAGTGGAGCAGAGAGGGGGAGTGGAGTAGAGGGGAGATGGGACAGGCACTCGAAACACAAGTGTCGAGCGAGCGATAGAGGCTGGTTGCATGCATGTGTGCATGTGTCGTGCGTGCGTGCGATGCGACGGCAGCCTGTCTGATGCGACCTCGGTCGGGAGATGGATGGATGGATGGATGGATGGCAGGATGGATTGCCCGCTGGGATTCTTCGTCGTCGGGAGTGATTGAGTGTATATAAAGTAACGGACTCGCGATATCCGTCCGTCCGTATGTCCGGCTGTTTGTAGCACCATCACCACCATCACCCATCCTCACCATCCTCACCCATCTCCATCACCAACCCACAAGCCACACACAATCAAACCCACACACTCACAAAAATCAAACCCCCGGTCCTCTCAAAAACGAAAAAAACGAAAAAACCAAGCATCCTTCGCGAGAATGTCACTACCCACCCCCAGGATTCCCACACACGCTGGGACCACACACGCACGCACGCACGCACGCACCCACCTCCCCTCAACACGTCCCCTCAACACGGCCCCCTTCTCTCCCTTCAAGCCTGCTGATGCTGTGCGTCAGAGTGTCAGAGTGTCAGTGCTGTGTCGGCAGTGGAGGGTGGGCTGTGGGCTTGTTTGTCTGTATGGGTCTGTGTGTGTGTATGCCTGCCAGTCTACGTCCGTGTATACGCTTATACGCCTATCCATGTGTCTGTCCGTGTATACGCCTATCCATGTCTACGTCTGTCCGTGTATGTATCCGTGTATCTAGTACAGTATACGTGCGGTGTGGTTGCGGTGCGGTGCATGAACGCCATCCCCCCCTCCCCAGAACCACCCCAGAACCACCCTAGAACCACCAAATCATAAGATTCAGGACCGCGGTCGTTGTATCGTACCATACTATGCTGTGGTGTAGTGTAGTGTAGTGTCGCGAGTGCAGTCTCGTCTGCTTCAGCCTTGTCAGGGGTGCGCTGGCTTGTCTTGTCGGATGTATTCATTCATTCATGTGTTGTTGTCATGGTCATGTGTGTTGTCATGTGTCTCGTTATGTCTCGTTATGATACAGTATACTCGAACTGTACGGCGCATGTGCATGTGCATATACAGATGGATATACAGATGAAGATGCACATGTAGATGGATATACAGCTACACATGCACATGCACATGTAGATGGATATACAGCTACACATGCACATGCACATACAAACACAGATAAAAACAGCAATAAACGCAAAAGGCACACATCACTCAGACCCCCGAAGACTAAACCGTGTGTATGACCAAGCACAGCACAGTATAGGGCACATATCATAGGCTGTATAGCATAGGCTACATAGCATAGGCTACATAGCATAGGCTACATAGCATAGGCTACATAGCATAGGCTACATAGCATAGGCTGTATAGCATCGGATAGGCCACATAGCATCAAATAGCCATCAATATCAATCTCACCATCCGTACAGCACTCTAGATAAAGCGCAATACAATCCCGCCGACGCCATGCAACACAACAGGTAGCATTAGACGGGCTGTGATTGGATCGCTTAGTATGGAAACGAAGCAGTATGATTGGTTGCGTCTGTGTGAAAACGGGGGGATGTGATTGGACACGAGCAGAATGAATGGAATGGATGTGATTGGATGGAATGGGTGGAATGGATGGAATGGATGGAATGGATGTGATTGGATGGAATGGATAGAGTGGGTACAGACGAAGGAATGAAGGAATGGAGGAATGAAGGAATGGAGGAATGAAGGAATGAAGGATGGAGGAATGGAGAAGCAAGCACCAGCCATACACACACACACAGCAGTCTTACAGTAATTAGTGCCCCGCAACGCTCGCTGGGTTGCTGTCGCTCGCTCGCCGTGCATATCCACCTCCGCCCTCCCGCCTGTGCATCTGCCGCCGTATGTACAGTACAGTACAGTCCAGTCCAGTACAGTACAGTACAGTCCAGTACAGTACACAGTACAGTACGTACTACCCATCTATCTATCCATCTATCTTGCCTCCTACCCACATCCAGTACCCATCCACCACCCATTTATCTATCTTATATCTAAAGTCGCGAGAGCGTCAAATATAAAAATAACAAATAATTATTTCAGTAGGAGTATTTTCCCTTTTTTGGTTTCCACATTCTTCGTTCGGACTATTCTGGATCATGGACAGGATAGATAGGATAGGCATGGCCTCTGCTTTAAGAAAGATGACAGGCAGGACAAAGGAGTGGTTTGCAAGTAAAATTAATTTTTTGGTATATATATATAATATATCATGTTCAAGCATCAAGCATCAAGCATCAATATCATGAACAAGGAGGTATCAAGGCCACTCTGCGCACTATACGTCCCCCCAACTCATCCCTCGATGATGGTCTTCTCGCCCGCCGCTGCCGACGGGGCATTGGCCGACGCCGACACGACAGACAGGCGCTTCTCCACATCCTGGGCCTGGGCGGCGGTGCCGATATGACCGGTGGGCAGCAGGTTGAGCTCGTCCTCCTGCTTGTCGAGGGTGCGGAACTGGACGTAGAAGATGATGCCGGCAATAAAGGCGATGACGGCCATGGAGCCGTAGTTCCACACCAGCAGCGGGTCGGTGGACAGGGGCAGAAAGGCCTCGCCGATGGCGGCGGAGATGGCGCTCATGAAGAGGGCAAAGGCCGCGACGAGCGAACGCATGTTCTTGGGCGCCTTGGAGAAGCCGTACTCGAGCGAGGTGATGCTGGCGAAGATTTCGGACTGGGCAATCAGGATGTAGGCGCCCGTCTGCGCCCAGACGTTGATGGGCGCCTTGGGGCAGGCGGTGTCGGTGCCGGGAATGTCGCCGCCGACGTAGGAGCCGCAGGCCGGGTTCAGCTTGTAGATGTAGTGTTGGAGCACGGCGGTCCAGACCATGGCGGCGGAGCCGGTGAAGAAACCGGCGGCAATCTTCTTGATCGGGGTGAACTTGATCTTGAACTTGCGCATGGTCGGGTAGAGGAAGAGATCCCAGAGCGGGATGAGGATCATGAGGGCAAAGGGATCGATGTTGGCGAGAATGTCGTTGGGCACGCCGTGCAGCTCCATGGTGGCAGCCTGCGAAGTCAAGTTGTTGTTGATCTGGTTGTAGGTGAGCCAGTAGAGCGGGTACCAGAGGAAGACGGCACAGGCACTCCAGCCACGGTGCACCTCGTCGACCCAGGCGTCGTCAAAGTTGTACCACGACGGCATGTTCTCCGGCGCGATGCGAGACGGTCGCAGGTCGGACCAGAAAGTGCCGTCGTGCATGTGCTTCCAGGTAGCGATGGGGTTGAGGTGGAATCTGCCCTTGACGCCGCGGAACAGCAGTCTGACGGCGGGACCAATGACACTGCCCTCCGGCTTCCTGCGGTTGTACATGTTTCGGCAGAAGAAGAGGACCGGCAGCGCAAACATGAAGACCACGGTCGGCAGCAGGAAGGCGAGGTAGAAGCCGACATAACGCTCGGCGTAGACCATGCTGACCTGGCCAATCAGGGCGCCAATGTTGATAAACAGATAGAACCAGTTGTAGATACGGGTGGTGGTCACGGCCGGGTCGATGATGACGCGCTCGCCGGACTTGAGGGTGCTCACGTGCATTCGCTCGTAGGGGATCTGCTCAGCGACGAGGGGCGAGATGTTCGGCTTGAAGCATCCCGTGCCCAGACCCATGATGACGAGACCGACGGCAAATGCGCCAATGGCAGAGTTGGGGTTTGCAATGACCGAGGGGGCCGCCGAAGCAGTCAGGACGATGTGGCCAGTGATGGAGATGAGCACACCGATCCAGATGGTGGTGAAGCGACCGAGATAGGTGTCGGCAATGAAAGCACCGCCGAGCGGGCACATGTACTGCCAGAACTGGTTGAAGGTGGTGAGGCCAGTCGCGGCCTGTTGACCTTTGCCCAACGCACCGGGCTGCGCATCTGGAGCATCTGGGTCGACAGCCTTGCCGGTCGCGGTTCCGGGGTTGTCCTGCTGGATGAAGTTGACAAAGACCTGGGTGGTGCCGTAGTAGGACAGACGCTCGGTCAGCTCGACAAAAGCAATAGTGTAGACCTTCCAGGGGATCTTTGCGGGCACGCGACGCAGCGTGTGTAGTTCCTCGTCGGTCGGGAGGTTCTCGTGGTCGAGGTAGCCGTCCTGGGCGACGGTCTCGCCGGCGTAGACGGGAGGCAGCTCAACGGCGTGGGCGGCGTCACCGAGAGATCTCTTGCGGTCGCCGGAGCCGTCGATGATGGCCGGGTCGACGACCTGCACGCCCTGCTGCTTGAAGGAACAGTTAGCAGAGAGTATGGGTAGTGGACAGCCGAGGCGGACGTACCATGTCGGTGATGTCGCCAGGCATGGTGTGTAGGTTGGGGGCTGCCTGGGTGCCTTGCCGCGCTGTAGCTTCTTCCAAACAGCAGTGCCTCGGCGTAGGAATATGGCAGTCCGCGCAACGAAAGCCGACGGAAAGTTTACGTGAAGCTCGAAGGAGGGAGAGAGAGGAAGAAAGAAAGAGAGAGCAAGCAGGCGGATGAAAGAGAGAGAGAGGAGAAGAGTGGAGGGCAGGCTCGGCTTTAAATTGGCGCGCGCAGAGCAGATAACAGCAGCAGCCAGATCCAGATAGAAGAAGGGTCCGGATGGGTGATTGATAGGATGGATGGGCAGTAGGATGGGGTATAACAGTGGCTCTAAACAGGTAGCGAGCCAGCCAAAAGAAGCATGAGGGTCAGTCAGTAGCACGAGGGCAGCATGAGGACACTACATACACTACAACTACTCATTACTACACTCTGCACTCTGCACGCGGCATGGGACGCGATGCGATGGATGGATGGATGGATGGATGGATGGATGTGTGGATGTGTGGATGGGCGGGTGGAGAAGGAAGGGCGCAGGAGCTAATAGTCGAGCAGCAGAGAGATCCGCACCGAGATCCACAGTCAGATAGCACGCGACACAGTAGCATTGGCCTATCCTGTGCCTTTTGATAGTGATTACTAGGACTACCTAACAGTAGTAGATGGCGATACTGGATTGACTGATGCAGTCAAGAATAGACAACGATGCTTGATTCGCGACAGACGACAGCACCAAAGTGAATGATTATTACCTTCAATGGCGACGACAACAACAGCAATGTAATCAATTAGCAGAGGAAGGAACGCGAGCAGACACATACAAAAAAGTGACAAGACCCGACGACGGGACGGTCGAGTGTGCTAACATCCTGCCTGATTGGGAAGGTGGTACATGTTATGCAACCTCTCTTGTCGTCCGGGCGGGCGGTGGTCGTCGGCGTTCGGCGTGCTCACACCCGCTAACTTGGACAATTGACGACGATAGACGGTCTGATGGAAATGAGACGATGGATGGATGATGATATTATGGTAGAGGGTGTATTAGCCATTTACTACTACTACGCATCGCCGCCGCCGCCGTCACAGAATGACAGAACGACAGAATGACTGAAAATGTGAGACAAGAGTGCTGTCACCGTCGCTGTCACTGTCACTCTTTCTATTCATACCCATGTCGTAGAACCGGGAGCAGCCAGCCATGTCAGCCATGTCAGCCAAGTCGCGTCAAGCACAGACAAGCGACTGGCAAGAACGACCAAGCAAACGCCACCCTCTTCTTGCTGACAATCTGACCTCTGCATCGCTCTTTCCGCATCCAAGTATCTCGCCTCGCCGTCATCCGGTAGCAGTAGCAGCAGCAGGAACAGCAGGAAGGAGCAAACAACCTACGCCACACAACGCCCACTTGCTGCAACTAACTGCCCCGTTTGGCCCACCGCCGCCGTCGTCGCCGCCGCCGCCGCCCAGACCCGCCTGGCGTGCGTTCGCTGACTCTTCTGGAAAGAGGCAAAGTCCTTCCTTCCTTCCTTCCTTTCTTTCTGTCTCTCCATCCACCACCCACCCGTTCATTGCCGCCGCACGCAATCACATCACCCATCAATTCAATCAATCACCACTGATATCCTACCGACGCCCGGCCATGCCTTCCCCTTCAGGCACTCTCTCCTTCTCTCCTTCCTTGCCTCCCTCCTTACTTCTTTCCTTCCTTCCTTCCTTCCTTCCCGTGCTCAACTTCTGTCCTCGCTCGTGCTTTTTTCTTGCTAATCTCTTCCCGACTGTCTGTTTCACCCTCCTCTCCCCACCTTCCCTCGGCCTTGCAAGTCGTCGCCACTGCCGATTGGTCGTTCTTTCCTAGCTAATAGCTATCATCACGGCCTTGCCTACCTCCCTACCTCCCTCCCTCCTTTTCTACCAGATCCCGTGACATGGCCCGTTAGTAGCTATCTACCATCTACCACCCAGCCATCAGTAGTCTAGTAATCCAGTCGTCCAGTAATCCAGTAATCCAGTAATAAACTACACGTCCGACCACTCCCACACCCATCACAATGCCGCCATATCTCTGCTGGGTGTTGTGTCTGGCGTTGGTGAAACTGCAGAGGTGTGGGGCGTAGGGCTGGGACACGGTCCGGAGCATGTGTGTATGTATGTGTGTATCAGGGCATGGTATGGTATGGCAGTGCATGGCATGGCATGTGACGATGCACTGCTCGTGTATTGCCAGTAACAACTATCCATCCATAGATCCCATCCATAGATCCCATCCATAGATCCCATCCATAGATCCCATACATAGATCCCATACATAGATCCCATACATAGATCCCATACATAGATCCCATACATAGATCCCATCCATTCATACAGCCAGACTCTCACAAAGCCTTGTCGTGTCTATCTAGCCTTGTCGTGTCTATCCAGCCCTGTCGTGTCTATCAAGCCTTGTCGTGTCTATCCAGCCCTGTCGTGTCTATCAAGCCTTGTCGTGTCTATCCAGCCCTGTCGTGTCTATCAAGCCTTGTAAGTTGTCCGGCCCTGTCGCGTCGCCGCTGTGCTTGTTTGCGCTTGGCTTTTTCTTGTCTTTTCTTGTGTCGTCTTGTCCTGTCTCGTCCAGCTGCCTTGCCTAGGTAATCTAACTAGCCTGGCCTGTTTTCTTGGGCTGCGTTCTTGGGGACGGGTAGGTAGGGCGTGCTTGCTTGTCTTGTCTTGACTTGACTTGACTTGACTGCCTTACCCTTGGCTGGATGACTGCCTTGATGCCTTGATGTCTGGGTGCCTTCATGCCTGACGACCCAGTGCCTACCTGCGTGCCTGCGTGCCTGAATACCTGCCTGGCTGCCTAGTCGCCTGCTCGTCCAGCATACCTGCCTCAGGCTCTACCTTACCTTTGCCCTAGTTCTTCAAACCTTCCCCAGCTGTTCTACCAGTTCTAATTATTACCAGCACCAACGACACACACACCCAATATCCCGTGATTACAACAAGTACTATTAGCATTTTTGTTAAATAACAGTCACATAATAATGGTCATTCATCATCCCGAGAACTACATGGAAACAGCGTCTCAATTTGAGGATTGGTCTTGGATATGCTAATTGTTTCATTCGTTCATCAGACTGTCCGCTACATCTCCTTTCCCGCCAATCTACCTATCCATACACACACACACACCACCCATCCCATCATTCCCATTAGAATAATCCCATCATCACAGCTTCCATCCCGTCTCGTCTCGTCTCGTCTCCTCTCTCTCGCCCGTCCGTCCGTCAAGACCGCACACTTCCCCTCATTCACCCGAGCATCACTACACCACACGTCAGCATGCATACACACACACAACACAACATAACACAACTCCCTCGCAGGCCGTACCTTCCCATCCAAAGTCCTTCATCACCCCGAGCCAGTGCAACGTCCCCCGCACCGTAAAGTCCAGACACCCCGACCGCGTCAACTGGTCCACACCCTTGCTAAACGCCGCCGACAACGGAAACGTAGGCGACGTCGAGCGGCGCCCATTGCGCATCGCACCTCGCTCGTAGCCCTCCTTCGCCACTCCAGCCACCGCCTCAAAGGAACTCGTGTCGAAGAATGCCTTGCGCCCGTCCTGTTGCTGCTGCCGCTGCTGCTGCTGTGGCGCGCCGGCACATGTCGCCGGAGCTCGAGGCGGCTGTTTGGCGCCGGAGATGGGACATGTGCGCCACCGCTCTGCATACTCGTCTCGTCGCCGCCATACCTCTGTCGTGACGTCCAGGCACTTGTCCACGATGCCCGTGATCATGCGCTGGCCCATGGCGTGCCAGCGCTCGCGCACCCAGTCTCTGTCCTCGCGCTCGACCGTCTCCGTGCCCGCCATCATGAGCGGGAAATGGTGCACCTTGAGCGTTGTCGAGGTCAGGGGCACGGTGGCGAGGAAGACGAGGATGGTCTGGGCGATGCGCCCGTACGAGGTCGTGTTGGGCAGTTCCGGGACTGCTTGTTGGAGGAGCAGCAGGCTGGCCCAGCGGTACGCTTCGGCTGTCTGTACCGCGTCTGACATTGTCGCCGTCAGCTCGTCGACTGTGTCTGGGTCTACAGACGGCTTCCATCGCTCGACTGCGGTCTTGAGCTCTGTGGCGCGCGACACCATGGCTGCCGAGTTGCGCTTCTGGTCACGGTACCGGATGCAGCCCACGAGGTCTGCAATGCCTCGCAGGACTGGAAACAGCGTGGACGCGTAGCCCATGAGGTTGTCAAACTGCAGCTCCGCCATGGACGACGCACTCGGTATCTCCAGAATCGGCGTCTCTTTGATCGTCATGTCGTCAAAGGTCGACGTCAGTCTTGCTATCGTGTCCATGTAGAGAAAGTTGTTGGTCAGGAAGCGAAGGAGTGCGGACTGGTTCGAGTAGTCACGCATTCCCCGGATCAGCCCGCCCGCATTCGCAATATGCATCTTTCCTGTCGATGACAGCTGGCTATCCCACGTCTCTGCCCAGCCTAGAGCCAACAACGTGGCCACTACAACTTCGAGCGGCATGACATTCGCATCTTCACTATAAGTCGCAGACATCTGCGACATGCTTCGGTCCACGTGATAGAAGCCATGAGTCCGCAGATCCGGCCGAGCTTTCGATAGATGAAAGCAAGTCATCGCTGCAAGGCCATGATAAAGCGCCGGGTGCTCTTTCGAAAGTGGCCAGATGTCGGTCCGCCAGGGGTTTAGATGGGGCTGATCATCGATTGAGAGAAGATGGCAAGTGTATTGGTTGAAGACAAGGCAGATCATTTCAGCGCTGCCCGATTTGAACTGCGGCTGCTGGAATAGGCCTGGGAGGTCCAGGTCCAGGTCTGTTACTGGCGACATGGGCGAGTGCAGCCACGAATGTAGCGACATGTCGAGTTCTGGCACCTGCATCGTCTCATCCTCGAGCAACGGATAATCGAGCGCGGGTCGCGTCAGCATGCCTTCAAGTGCGGTCCACTCGCACGCGTCCCAGTCATAATCGTCGTTGTCGGCTGTCCAATCCTCTAGATTTGGAAACGAGAAGCTCGGAAAGGTGCTGTCGGCGAGACTATCGTGCCTCAGGTCACCATTGTGATCCGACATGGGAAATTGCCCATTGCCAGCGATCTCATCACCTGAACAATGCCAACTCATTCTCGGTCGATTACTCACAGACGTATCGATCCTGCCTCTCTGTTCCGCGTCACCAACATTCGGTCGAGACTCTGGCGATGCTCTGGTCGACGTGAATGCCGAGACTACAAAACAATTCGGCTCGTCCTGCTGGACACCATCCCCCAGCCCTTGAGACCTTGCGTTTTCAAGCAGGTTAGCAGCACCACTACCTTTGTGATCTCTTGACCGAGTCGCTATGCGAGTTAATGGCGTGTCCATAACAATAGAAACCCCATACATGCCTAAGCCAGAACTTCGGTCGGTGACAAACCTCTTTGGCTGTCCATACGCTTTCCACTGCAGATCCTTCTGATATCCACCACACACTATTCCGCGGCCGGTGCACTGTCGACATTCAGGCTTGACCTCATCACACTTTACACGCTTCGCTCTGCAAGTGAGGCAGCCTGGTTCTCGCCGTCAGTATAGATCGGGTCCTGTGTGCACGCATCCTGTGCGTCATGTATGAGAATACATTTGGGTACGGGAACCTGCCATTACGACTCTTTGGTTGTCTGCGCTTGCTCTCGGTTTGTCCAGCTTTCTTTGCAAGTCCGCCATCTTTGGGCGCGAGGATGCGCGGTGGGCGGAGTGGCATCGCAATTGAGTCTGGCATCTCTGTTTCATGTCGACGTGAAAAGATATTCGGAGACTGCCTGATGCAAACTCTCTTCAGCGGGGGCGACTCTGTTGAATCGTGAACAGAAGAGCTGAGGAGGGCGTATTCCTCTGTGGCGAAGGTCTGGCACGGGACACCAAGGCCACTACTGAGTCCTGACCCCGCTCACGTGTAGATATCTCTGTGGCGGACGGGATCCTATGCACCAAATGGGTAAGTACGATTGAAATAAACATGTTGTCTAGGATGAGTGGACGAAACGATCTTTACGTTGCTGATAAGCCTCGAGGGCGTCTGGCACCGGAGTGCAGCCTAACCCCAACTGCTGATCATCATGCTCGAGCTCGTCGTGGTCGCCTTTATTTGGTTGTCAACAAGCCGTCCTTTGTTGCCTTTGGAGTGTATTGTCGGGCATGCATGTACACGAGTCAGTGGATGTGTGATATACTTTATCTAGACCGGCCGAATACGTGTGCGTGGCCCGCCATGGGCCGGTTGTGAGGTACGGCTTTGTTTACATATGACCTTCAGTTGCAGTTGACTGGAAATGAGCCCAAACACTGCTATCAAAATAGTACAAAAAACTGTATTGGATACGTATTGCTGGTATAGATAAATCTCTTGACGTCAACAGAAGCTCTGCGGCTCAGGCCTTCTGGTCGACCACGACGTGGCGCTTGAACCCGATGAGCTGGACCATCTCAGTCCAGAAGCCGACAGGCGGCGAGATGAAAGAATTCATGTGAGCTTCGATAGCCTCATTGTCCCAAACAATGTCGACCTCATGCGCGGGAATGATCTTGGTGCGCTTGATCAGCTTCCACGAAACATAGAAGATGGGGTATAGTCCAAGCATGGTGTAGCTGAAGAAGAAATCTTCCACTCTCCAGTGCCCGGGCAGGAAGACGGCGTAGCCGTAGCAGAACACAACGGCAGTCAAGAAGATCAGAGCAACCCAGGTGCCGTAAGGCTGGAAGTATCCATAGTACGGGAGGGTTTTGCGGTTGATGCCCTGAGCTTTGCACGCCCGGTGGAAGGCAAGATATGTGATGCACATAGTGATGAAGTTGAGCAGACCACCGGCGGTAACCAAGCTCACGAGCCATGTCAGAACCTTTGCAGACCCATCTGAGACCTGGAGGAATGATAGCAGCGGAAAGCAGACGACTATGGCGGCGCAGTAGATGGGAACGCCGTTTTTCGTCGTCTTTCGGAGAAACTTTGGGGCTCGACCGTCAAGAGACAACGCATGTAGACTGCGGATCGCACAATAAGTGTAGGTATTTCTGGTTTCAATCAGCAGCCATACATAGATGCCGAGATTCAGTGAGACAAAGACTTACCCGGCGGAAAAGATACTCGTAAGCAGCAGAGCGTTGGTGAGATCAGGCAAGCCCTTGATGCCCAGATTCGTCATGGCAATGACGTATGGGGAAGCAGCACCAGTACCGGCGCCCCCAGTATCGCCTGAAAGAATGGAGACCAACTTGGGGTCATTCCATGAGACGACCGTGCCAACACAGAAAGCACCCAGGATGAAGAATAGACCGAATCGAATGTAGACAGTCTTGAAGGCGTTCTTGATGTAGATGCGCGGACGCCTGGCTTCACCAGATACCATTGAGATGTACTCAGGGCCGACAATGCAGAAGCTTGCGGCCCACAACGCACCGAGGAAGCCCTCGAAGCGACCGAGATCTCCTGACGACAGATATGTGGCAAATGCAGACGGTGTATGCCAGTGTCGGAACCCGTATATATCTTTCTGCGGGTTGGCGCCAACCATGGTAAAGAATGTGAAGAAGAATAGCATAAAGATCAAGATGACCTTGCCGCCGGACAACCAAAATTCAGCTTCTCCATACGCCTTCACGGCGAGGAAGTTGCAGAGCCTAAAAGGGACGTTTAGTTCCGAAATATCATGGCGGGTGTCAAGCGCTTGGGAGATGAAGACAGAGGGCCATACGTATAAAGGACAATGACCACGGCACACACGGCTGCCACGGGAATGTCATCTCTCCAAAACTTAAGAATAGTGTTCAAGGCAGTGATTTCGAAGGGAATGAGCAGAGCCTCGTAGAGGAAGAAGTTCCATCCAGCAGCAAAGCCCAGAGCCTGATCTACCCAATGACCAGCCATACGCACGAAGCCTCCGGACACGGGCATATAGATTGCCATTTCGGCCATGGCGTTGTTCACCAAAGCAAGCATGCAAGCGTACAGAGTGTATGCGATCAGCATTCCAGCAGGACCGCCTTTGTTGAGAGCCCCTCCGATGCTCACGAACAGCGCAGTTCCAATCGAGCCACCAATGGCGATCAGTTGGATCTGTCTGTTCCCGAGATGGCGCTGCAGGTCATTTGCATGGACATACTGGATCTCGTCGCTGCTACGCTCCGGACTGTAAGCGGCACCCTTCTTGGACTCGACCAGATGCCCTTTGGGTTCTTCATTCATGGTCGCGTGAGTTTCGTGGTGCTACTGTGACACTTATGCTACTCTTGGGAGACGTCGCTCAAGCGGAATCAGGGCTTTAGGAGAATCAGCGGCTTGTACAGTGTCGCATTGGGTCGATATAGTCGCTTTTGGGTTGGCGAAACGGCACAAACACGACAGGAAATTTGGTGCAGTCTTGTGAGGAGGATACGCAAACGGGGCCCTTGGGAGAGGCAGATGGTTGTTGGGGCGCGAGACGTGGGTTTTGTATGAGACGGGAGCGTGCTGGTATCCGCTCGACCAGACCAGAGCCAGTCAACCAGTTGCGAGAGATCAGCGTCTACTAACACGAGCCAGGCCCACAAGCACAAGAAGAGGCTGTTCAAAATGCTTGCAGAATGTTGGACGCCCACAGTATTAGGTCCAGGATGTTGCGAACCTCGCGCACGGGACAGAAGTGAACAAAAACTGCGAAGGTATCAAGGCCAACAGACGCCACACTCAATCTTACCGACCCAACAGCGAGGCAGTACAACATATGACTTGGGCGGAAAGGCGGTTTATTCGCTCACTCTACTGGTGGCGTGGCAATCAGTCTAATACTGAATATTCTAGTGGTGTTTGACTGGCTCGCTATATCATAGCCCCCTAGTACCGTGGACGGTATGTGTTAGCGGGCTATACTTCTAAAACTTAAAAGTCAGAAGTTAAAGTTAGAAGTTAGAAGTCTCTATAGCTATTTTCTATAGAAGTCCCTTCTAGATCTAATAGTATTAATTAGATAAAGTTATTAGCTTAAGATTTCTATAGAATTTAAGTATAATAATAATAATAATATTATATAACTAGGTAGAGTAGTACTCTATAGGCCTATGCCTTCTCTAGTCTAAGCTACTATATAAGAAGAAACCCTATAGAGAAAAACTTCCTTATATCTATAACTATATCTTATTAAACCTCTATTTCGTCTTAAGTATATAGCTATAGGGTACGCCTATTAGTCTATAGCCTATATTACTATTATTTTACCCTTAGGTAGCACGTGTAGATATAGAGGTTATTAGTTAAGGGCTGCCCTTAACTAATAATTAGGGTTCTCCCGGGGTTCTTCCGGTATATATTAGGTTACTACTAGCGTATACCGGGTCTCTTCCGGTATATATTTCTAGGTCTACTAGTACTAGAGGAGTAGTAGATATATAAGTATCTATTAGGAGATATCCTTAGGGTACTTATTAAGCTATTATATAATATCTAAAGTCTTCGTAACGTAGATAAGCTATTACTATTATATATAGAGGTTAGGGTATATAGCTAGATAGTAGTGTATTATACCTCTCCGGCCGTACGCCTTATACTATAGAGAGGTATTAGGAACGCCTCTCTTATAGATATAGTATAGGAGTTCTATAGCGCCCGTTCGGGCTTAGATAAGTATAGATACTTAGGCTTTCGTTAGCCCTTTATATATCTATTTACTTAGTTCCTTCTATAGCCCTTAAATCTACTCTAGGTACCTATTCTACTAGGAGGTCTAGTAGGTATAGAGTGTCTCTTTCTACTTATCTTAAGTCTATAACCGTATATTTTTTATAAGTTCTTAAAGGCTCTACTAGTCTAGGAGAGCGTCCGGGTTATCTTAGACTTCTTATACTACTTAGCTAGAGTTAGCTTCTATTAAGTATCTATACTATATTTAATTCCGGCCTATATATAGAAGTGCGCGGTAATATATACTAATTTATATATATAGCGCGGTAAAAGTATATTCTATATTTCCTATACGTTTCTATACTTATTATTTAGTAAAGTATACTACCCTCTATATCTAGTAGAAGTTATATATACTTATAACGTCTATCTTACGTCGTAGTAGTACTATATTAGTAGCTTTATATACGCCTAATATAAGACGGAGTATACGGTTCTATATAGATTTAAGCTTTATTTACCTAGTCTATATAAGGGCCGTATACTAGTACTTATATCCGTATATAAAGGTAGGTCGTGCCATAGATATATATAGCTAGCATGCCTTATCCTGGGCGGTTCCCTACGTAGAGGCTATAATCTATTATATAGCGGCTTCTATCTAGAGGGCCCTAGAGACGGCGTATACTACTTATAGTCCCTATTTAAGCTTACTATCTAGTATAACTCCGAGCGTGTATATACTTTATACTAGTAGTTCGTTAAATACGTTGATTTAGGGGCGTTATTCGCCTTCCCTAGTTACCTATTTCCCTTAACGATTAATAAAGTGCATGAGCTAGTATTTCTCTAGGGCGAACTTTACTCCGTAGCGTTTTACCTACTAGAGGCACCTCTTATAGTTCTATTCTAGTTATCTATACGTTCGGTTAGTATTATTATTAATAGCTAGAAGGTATATATTATTAGTATATCCGACTACCTCTATATACTTTATTTCTTAAAGAAGGTCTACCGTAAAGAAGAGAAATAGAATTAGAGAGATAGTACTCCCTTATAGAATGCCGTATACCATCTCTTTATATTCGCTCTAGTATCTAGAGATATATATCTAAGTTATTCTTCCTATAAGGAATAACTATATAAAGCGTATAATCCATTCTAGTATTTATCTTATCCGGAGGTTATAAATAAGTCTTATATAGTTTACCTTATTAAACGCTCCGGCTATATTAAGGGAGAGGAGTAATACTACCCGTCTCTATTTCTATGCGGCCTAGATAACTTTAATAATATATTAGATAGCTATTATTAGAGAGCTATCTATCTTTACCTTCTAGTTTGGAGGGAGAAGATTATATTTCTATACTATGGTACTTATCTTCTTCGCTACCGTAGTCTCTAGTATCTTACCTAGGTAGAAGAGAAGGGCGATTAGTCTCTATTCCTTTAGAGAGTTAGGGCTCTTTTCTAGTTTCGGGAGTATAATAGTATAGGCGACTCGGAAGCTCTAGGGGTAGTATCCCTACGTGACGTATACTTAGAATATATGAGTAATAAGTGGTAGAGTCGCTTTTATAGTACTTTTTAGACATTAATTTAGAATTCCATCTGGTCCGGGTACTTTATTATTTAGGAGTATCTTAATAATATTAAGTATATCCTCCTCCGTAACTTCTTTAGGGATATCTACTATATATAGATATTCGGCGCCGTGAACGTCTAATAGATCTACTAGTTCTAGAAGAGGGAATATGGCCTCCCGTAGGGCCTTAGTTTTCTCTAGGCTCGTAGAGTATATTCTCCCCTAATATATTAGGGGAGGTATAAGTAGTAGGGGTGTCGGAGTATCTACGCCCTTAGCCTATTTCGCTATACGCCATAGCCCCGTTACGTATTATATCTATTAACTAGTAATTATATACTACTATTTACGCCTTTCGTTACGGAGAACTTTATCGCGTTATTATATTACTTCCTTCGAAAAAAAAACTTCTCACACCCTAACAGACTAAACTGGTTAATTCGGGGCAAAACAGCGATTTACATACATTAAACGATAGAGTACACCGAGTATAATAACCTCCGACACACGTGTGTACGTATAGTATATAATACGCGACGATACTAACGTATAGAGATACTATATATATATACTTAAAGACTCTTCGATAACATGAGTATAGACTATATCTAATAAACGCCGATACGCCGACCCCCTTTTATTAGTTAAGGGCTACCCTTAACTAATAACTATAGCGGCCTTAGGCATTATAATACCCCGGTATACGCTAGATATACCTCTACTAGTACGGTAGAAACGGCCATATAGCGATATTAATATAGATAGCTAGACACCTATCTAAAATATAGGAACTAACTAAGGGTGCGAAGCGCTATAGATAACCTAGACTAAGGGGACCCCGAGAGGGGAGACCCTCCTAGATAAAATTAAATACTAGGTAATACGTATAGAGAGGGATACTAAGAAGGGAAAGAAGACCCTTCTTTATATATTCCGGGACCTTATCCGGAATCTAAGAGAAATTATAGAGGAAGAAAGGAAGTCGCTACGAGAGGAACCTAGTAGTAGACTCAACCGAATAGAAGCTAGCCTACGGAGAATCTAGAAAGAGCTATTCTAAGGTAAGCGCCCTAACACGTGGGCTTAGATTATAGTAATACCCGGAGCTACCGCACTAAGGACTACTAGAACCATAGATAGAGTATATAGTATACGTGTCGTAATCTAGGATAAGAATATACTAGCGTAGGTCTAACGGGCATCCCTAAAGGAAATTATAAATAAGATTAATAAATAGAAAGAAATATAGTCGAGTGTCGTGGCTACTAAAGTTACGCTAGATAGGGTAGTACTTACTACTATAACGAATACTACGTAGTAAAACATCTCGCGAGATCCAAACGCGATAGGTAGTATCTTCCCCGGCGCGTCTATTAGGGTAGCTATATACCCGATTATAGTATATATAGTACCTATACGGGGATAGGCTATCGGAGTAGAGGATATTACGCGTATAGAATAATCTAACACGCGAAAATACCCAGGGATTAAGATTATAAAAGCGTGGTAGAAGAATCTATAGGCGATTAAGACGACGGCGAAAAAACACTCTACTATAATTATAGAGCTCTAAGACCCCGCCCTTATATAATATATTATATAGAAGGGATTCCTAATAGAAGGAGAGCTTCTTATAGCCGAGCTATAGAATAGAGTATAGGTAATAATATAGTACTTTAACTATTAAGGGTATAGATATACTATATAAAGGTACTTATAGAAGACTAAGTACGGATAGTACCGTGGGGACCACGCTACCTAGGAGTGCCCTTATAAACCGCGAGGAGACAGACTAAGAAATAGGGACATAGTATAGTATTTAAACTATGACGGGAAATACCCGTTATAGTCGTTAACGTGTATAAAACGTAAATAGATTATAGAATATATTCGTATAATAAAAGCAAGAGGCGCGAGATAGTTATAGAATATAACACCTACCACGAGCCCTTCCTTTATAATACCCCTAACCTCCCCTCCGGAAGATAGTTAGATAGGATAGTAGACTATCTCGAAGACGATAGGACGACTAAAAGGCATAGTTAAAGCCGCTACCGCGCGAGGACAGTCGCGCCTCTAAGGAATAAGTATATAGATATATATACTCCCTAGTACCTAATAAGGGACTAGAATATACTCCGAATTATATAGATAAATATATAATATAAAAGAGAGAACCAGGTAACGC